AAATGGAAACGAACTGATGGCAAGTCAGCAAGATTTGAGTACATCAAGGACCTCCCTTTCTCCTTTGCTAAGTGTTCACACAATAATATGCACACACACATATGGAGGATTGCAGTTGCAATTGACTGAGCCAATACTATTTTTATTTACTTATTTATTTCCCACCCTTTGCCCTTACATCCAAAGGCAGGTTACAGCATTAATACACAACATTAAAAACAATTAAAAACAACTTACAATCATAAAAATAAGGTGGGTCTTCAAAATATACACCTCAAGTGTAAAAAGCCCGGGTAAAGAGGTGTGTGTATTCAGCACCCTCTGGAAGCTGTATAATGAAGGTGCCTGACACACCTCTATGGTGAGCTTAGGGCTTGTCACAGAGAAGGCCCTCTCCAGGACACCCCTAGCCTCTGAGGGTGGAAGAACTACTAGGAGGGCCCCTTCTGTTGACCTCAGCCCCTGAGAGGGTCTGCAGGGAAGGGGATGCTGTTTCAGATATTTGGGGCCTGAGTCATTCAGGATTTTAAACTCCAACGTGAGCGCCTTGAATTGGCTCTGGAAATGAACTGGCAACCAGTAATCTGGCTGCTGCATTTTAGACCAGTTGAAGGCTATGAGTTGTCTTCAAGGGCAGGCCCACACAGAGTGTGTTGCAACAATCCCATCTGGAAGTTAAGCAAAGCACGGACTACAGTGGCCAAGTCTGTGACAAGTAAACAAACATGTGGAAATGAAACACAATCCAAGCTGGCTGATATGTGCACCTAAAACCATGTTGCAACTCTGTTACCTGTGTGGGTGAGATCTGTTGCTGGGATATGGACCCCGAGATAAGAATCTTTGAAATAGCACCTGAATCTCCGATGGTGCAAACAATCTCGATATCTAGATAAGAGGCCCAATGCAAACTCGCTGAGGTTAATGGGGAGATGGAGAGCGATAACCCAAGTTATTTGATTTGGTTTGGCTTTGGGATCATGGATATAATGGTGTGGAAAACTATGTTCGCACTCCGTGAGCGAATGAATTGTTATCCCCGGGAACAGCTGCATCTGTGGTTGAGAACAGCAGTCACAGGACGTGCTGTGCAGGAGGACCTCAGTCTGCAAACACCTGTTCTTGGCTAAGCAGGGCACCTGGACAAACAATTATCCCCCACACAAGGCATGCACTGCAGGCATACAGTTGCTGGCCTGTGCATGCCATGGTAAGACACAGAACCTATTATTTTTCCAAGTTAATCCACTTGCATTCCATCCCATAGGTATTTTCTGAACGAGTTTGTCAGTAGCGGCAGATGGGGTGGTGTTGCTTAACTGGCTTCCCAACGTGGAGGTTGCTGCCAGTTATGGAGATGGAGAGGAATGAGCTGGGGTTGCTCTGCTGCTGTGCTTGCACCACGCTGGCCTCCTCGCCCCTCTCAGTTACTGACAGCAGCCTCTGTGTTGGGAAACCAGGTGAGCAACACCACCCCAACCTGCTCCACCAGCTGCTACTGGCAGATGCCAATGAAAACCCAACTCAATCAGAGTTGAAGAAGAAGAAGAAGAAGAAGAAGAAGAAGAAGAAGAAGAAGAAGAAGAAGAAAAAGAAAAAGAAGACAGTAGTTCACGGTCCATTTTGTGGTAGGCTGAGAGTGGTCATGTGCAGGGCTGGCCCTACCATGAGACAGAGTGGGGCAGCTGTCTCAGGTGGAAGATGCTGAGAGGCAGGGTTGTAGTGAATTTCCAGGTATTTAAGGCACAGGAACTGTTCAGTGAAAAAATGTTGGCAATTCTAGTAGATGTACCAAGTCAACATTATCACAGAAAAGAGACTGGTAGGCAACTGCCGCAAGAGGAACTTCCAGTGCCAATGATTCAGTGGGAAGAGATAGGACTACAATGCCCGATGTGCCACACCAACTACACAGCGCATATCTGTGCCTGCCTGCCCTGGTTCTGGATAATGTGCCTCTGTGCTGTATGAGGGCAGGCAAGCTGTGTGGCACTAGCATAGCCTATGCTTGAGAAAGTACAGAGCAGTATGCTTTCATGGGCAAATATTTGCATATTATCCACTCATCCGAGCAGATGAACTGCTCCATGCCCGCTCTGGCTCTGTGGAGCCCCTTGCTCATTTCAGAGGTGTGTACTGTGCATGCGTGCAGCTGGTTTTTCACCACATCGGAGCTGCAGCAAGAGTGCCAGCAGCCCAGGCCTCCCCCCCCTCCTCCTGACGATAGCTTGCAGTGATGGCGAGTGTGCAAGCAGCCTGCGCAAGTGATTAAGATGCATCGCCTTGTAATAGGCCCTGCGTTATGCCAAGTCAACCCCCTCCTCCGCTTCCCCCCTCCTTCTCTCTCCAAATCTCTTTAAAGCCCAGCAAAGGTCTCTTTTCTTTTCCCTTTTCTCTCTCTCCCTCTGCCTCTCTCCAGACGCCACAGCCGTGGCTTGAGGGGCTGTAGAGGCAGTTGTGAAGGGAAGGAGACGTGACTGATTAGTGCAGTGGGTACATTCAGCCGAGGGGGTGTGTGTTGGTGGTACGTGGCGTTTGTGCTGCGTGGGTGAACCTTGTTTGCATGGGAGGGCTGTGTGTCATTGTCGTTTGCGTGGGCGGCTGTGCTGTGGTGGGCCAGCTGAAACTCGAGGTGTGTGGAGTCGCAAAGGAAAGGCCTCTCTTCCTCTACAGCAGGCACACAGGCAGAGGCTGCTTTTGCCTTTAGAATTTGTGTGCGTGTGTGTGTGTACTTCTTCCTATGCAACCTGACTGTGATCAAACAGGAGCTGGGAAGAGGCACTGCAGGGGCTGGTGTGTCCGCCGCAAGCCTTACAGCTCTGGCCACTGTGTGACAGCAATGAAAAACACTTTGCCCCCTGCGGGGTCTGAAGAAACCTCTCGTCTCTCCGACTTTGCACCTGCAATTGGGGGAGAGAAATCCATTTCCACAGCGGATGAAACAGATGCACTAAGACATGCCCAGAATGCAACTCCAACGCTGCTCTGTGTGCGAGGCTCCTCTGCCGTCATCCCCATCGCAGCTCTCTCTTGCGCAGTGCGCAAGCCAGACACGACTCTCAAGGCTGCTCAAGCTGCAGGAGCAAAAGGCAGCTGGGCTTTGCTCCCTCCCAGGACCACAAAGAGCCTGAGTTCAGATTCCCACCCCAACCCTCATTCTTCCTCACCTCTTCCCAAACAGAACAGCCAGTGGGGTTTCATGCAATGGCCTCCAGCTTTTTCCTACCCAGTGTCAGTCTCCTGTTACAATGTGGCATCCACTTGTCCAGCCCGATCTGGGGCTTTCTTTTTACTGCTGAGTTCATAGGGGTTTATTGCCTGGTGAACATGCAAAGACATTGCAGCCTTAATTTTCTATGATCCATGTCAGGAGTGGGAAACTTTGCTTCTCCAGATGTTGCTGAACTACAAGTCCCATGAGCCGAATAAGTGAACACCGGCAATTTCCGCTCCCGTTTTCATCAGAATTTGACAACCTGGGTCTTGTAGAACCTTAAAGCCTAATAAATAGATCGTGGCACAAACTTTTGTAGGTCACAGTCCACAACTCACTTCTGCCAGTGGCCAAGCATGATGAATAAATATAGTGGCAAGATGAACCATGTAAGAGATGAGCAATTGAAGAAAGACAATTCCACACTCTAGTGGGCTGGGCATTCCCCGTGTCTATTGAGACCAATATCCACTATGTCAGGTTTGCTAAAACTGATTACAGTTCAGTAGTTTCCATGCTGGAGTCTTCCTTTGAAATTATTATTTTGATAGAGTATGCTATCTATGATAATTTATTTATTGCATTTATATCTCACATTTTACTCCAAATAGCTCAAAATGGCATACATGGTTCTCTTCCTCCTCCTCAGTTAATCCCCACAACAATCCTGTGAGGTAAGTTTGGCTGAGAGAAGACAGTGATTGGCCCAAGGCCACCTAATGAGCTTCATGGCTGAGTGGGGATTTGAACCCTCATCTCCGAGGTGCTAGTCTGACACTCTAGCCACTACACTAAACGTATTCATTGCCTGTGGAGGCCATGAGTTACGCCCACATTGTATGTTTCTATTCAGAAGGTTTATGTGTTTGACTAATGCCCTGATCAGACATTTGCCTCCATTCATACTCCTGATGTGTGCAGGAGGGAGTTTGGACCACATCCTATTGCCTTGCCTCTGATATCATTCACCCTGTTCCCCAATGTTCATGCATTTGGCATGATGTTTGAAAAACAGGGATACTACATCAACAGCACATCATGAATTCAGAACCCCCCCCCCCCGTACCCACTTTTGATGTGCAATGGTGTGGGTGTGGGAGAACAACCGAATATAGACTCATATTCTGAAATCAACAAAGAATGGAAATTCAAGATAGTTTATGGGCTTGGCAAGCAATACAAGTTTTGCCAACACTTGAAAGGCAGATCTCTAAAGAATCTGCAGTGAGTGGGGAATGAGGAGAAACGATCTCTCCGCTTAGGAAGTGTCAAGTTTTGATGGTTTGGTTTCCCCAATCCTTCATGTTCATGTTGGCACTGATAGCTGTTGTTTTAATAGCACATATGTCAATTACAGCCATCTGGACTCAATTTGGAATATAAATTGTGCAGGTACAGCAGAACAGGAAGAAATGACTTATTCTTGCCTAGACTGGGGAGAAGGTCCATAATTCTGTGTCTTAGCAGACTGCTCCTGAGAGCCTGATGTCTTGCTCACCATCGGGGTAGTGCTGAAGATGGCGCTTTGCACCTTTACCCTTCTAAACAAACTATCTGTGCATGGCAGGACCTGTTCTTGCATGTTTCCTGCTCCTCAGCAAATAAGGCAAATGTGTGACTGTCTGAAGTAAGTGCCTTTCTGTTTTTTTTTTTTAAATGATATTTATTAAAATTTCAAAAGAAAAAGATCACATTAATAAGAAATTTAACAATAAAAAGAAAAAATACAAAATACAAAGTACAAAAAAGAAAAAACAGTTAAAAACAATTCCATCTTTTTTTATCACTTCTTTTACATTTACTTGTTTCCCGGACCTCCTCATATCTCCCTCTTTTGTATTCTAATTCAATTTGTTAGTCCAGCGATTCCTTTCCCTCCTTTTTAATCCTGATCTTTAATCTTGATATATTATAACATTAAATTTTTAGATATTAAAAACCAATTTTTCCATATTCTTTTATACCATTACCGCTAGAAACCACTTAAGTTCAATCCGTCATCATTCTAACATTCATTAATTTTGCAATATTTCTGTAAATAGTCTTTAAATTTCTTCCAATCTTCTTCCACCGACTCTTCTCCCTGGTCTTGGATTCTACCAGTCATTTCCGCCAATTCCATATAGTCCATCATTTTCATCTGCCATTCCTCCAGTGTGGGTAGATCTTGTGTCTTCCAATGTTTTGCAATAAGTATTCTTGCTGCTGTTGTAGCATACATAAAGAAAGTTCTGTCCTTCTTTAGCACTGATTGGCCGACTATGCCCAGGAGAAAGGCCTCTGGTTTCTTCAAGAAGGTATATTTAAATACCTTTTTTAATTCATTATAAATCATCTCCCAGAAAACCTTAATCCTTGGGCACGTCCACCAAAGGTGAAATAATGTACCTTCAGTTTCTTTACATTTCCAACATTTGTTATCGGGCAAATGATAGATTTTTGCAAGCTTGACTGGGGTTATGTACCACCTGTGTATCATTTTCATAATATTCTCTCTTAGGGCATTACATGCCGTAAATTTCATACCTGTGGTCCATAACTGTTCCCAGTCAGCCATCATTATATTATGCCCAACGTCTTGTGCCCATTTAATCATAGCAGATTTCACCGTTTCGTCCTGAGTATTCCATTTCAACAGCAAGTTATACATCTTTGACAAAATCTTAGTTTTAGGTTCTAACAATTCTTTTTCTAATTTTGATTTTTCCACCTGGAAGCCAATTTTCTTATCCAAATTGTATGCCTCCATTATCTGATAGTAATGAAGCCAGTCTCGCACTTTGTTTTTTAATTTTTCAAAACTCAGCAGTTTCAATCTATCTCCATCTTGTTCCAAAATTTCCCAATATTTCGGCCATTTGACCTCCATATTGAGCTTTTTCAGAGCTTTCGCTTCCATCGGTGACAGCCACCTTGGGGTTTTGTTTTCCAATAAGTCCTTATATCTTATCCAGACATTAAACAATGCTTTCCTGACAATATGGTTTTTAAATGATTTATGCGCTTTGACCTTATCATACCACAGATATGCATGCCATCCAAATACGTTGTTAAAACCTTCTAAATCCAAAATGTCTGTGTTTTCGAGAAGCAACCATTCTTTCAACCAGCAAAAAGCTGCTGATTCATAGTAAAGTTTAAAGTCTGGCAGGGCAAATCCACCTCTTTCCTTTACATCTGTTAGTATTTTAAATTTTATTCTGGGCTTCTTGCCCTGCCAGACAAATCTAGAAATATCTCTCTGCCACTTCTTCTTTTTTTTTTTTAAAGAATATTTATTCCAATTTTAAAGTCACTTCTTGAAACAGTCCATTTTGTCCACAATTTGCAATGTTTGAAACAAAAACAGCATTCTAGGCCTTTCTGTTCAAATTGCTCTGGTTTCATGTTGTGAACGCGTGTATACCCGGAAGTGTATACTTCCGGGTTTTGCTGTGCGCACGTGCAGAAGTGCTCTGTGCATTTTGTGCATGCGCAGAAGCACTCTGCTTGCTTTGTGCATGCGCAGAAGCGCTCTATTGTGCTCTGCACTTGCGCAGAAGCGCTGCTATAGTTGTGGACTTTTTGGGGTGCGAACGGCACCCCGGAACAGATCGTGTCCGCAACTAGAGGTACCACTATACTATGAAGTGCTTCCTTTCTCTCTCTGTTACCTCCCTTGAAGTTATTTTGCACTAGTCTTCAAGGACAAGATCCTCATTCATACATTCTGCAGAGTCTTAACCCTGTACAGTGGTACCTTGGGTTACAGATGCTTCAGGTTACAAACTCCACTAACCCAGAAATAGTACCTCAGGTTAAGAACTTTGCTTCAGGATGAGAACAGAAATCATGCAGTGGCAGCGCAGCGGCAGCGGGAGGCCCCATTAGCTAAAGTGGTGCTTCAGGTTAAGAACAGTTTCAGGTTAAGAATGGACCTCCAGAACGAATTAAGTTCTTAACCAGAGGTACCACTGTGCAGCAAATATTTCTTTATTAGTATTATTTAACAAAATTTGTAACCTCAATTGTAATAAAACCTCGCAGCAGTTTATAAATGAAATAAAATAAAATTCTGTTTTCTCTTAAAAGGATGTTAAAGCAATGAAGGGGAACTTGTGACACACACACCAACATTGTTGGACTACATCTCCCATAACCTATCCATGCTGGTTGCAGCTGATGGGAATTGGAGTCCATTACAAGGCTCCAGAACCACTCAAAAAGATTTGTGCCAACAAGATGGCATTTTAAAGCCCAAAGTAATACTGTAGGCAATACTTGGATAGTATACTGACTGAATGTATGCATGTACACTCAGAAGTAAATCCCACTGAGTTCAGTGGAACATATTGCAATATAAATGAGCAAAAGCTCATTTTCTCAAACTCTCTCTATCAGCTGCCTGGTACTAGGCTGTCTGATCCCTCAATGACATCACAGCAGCAAAGCCAATTGTAGCTTCGAGGGTCAGTAACACCGACACTGACTTCAGTCATAGGTACATGCTAAAATCTATCCCTTTTATAGCTCTCTATAGACTTTGCTACAGGTTGTTAAGGAGTAATACCTCAGCTTTAAGTCATTTAAGGTGTTGATAGCTTGAAATGTGCTCACCCACCTCCTTTTAACACATCAGCTCTGACTCAAATATAAGAAAAACTGCACAAACGCTAACATAGTTTCTCACAGTTTCACCTGGGCTGTTCCCAAATGGGGCATTTTTGGAAAAAAGAAAACCCAATGATTGATGTAGTATTGAAGAGCAGGGTTTCTCTGTGCACCCCTGTCCACCCATCCATTTCCCTCTCAGCATATCAAAACCCTTTCCCTCCTGTTCTTTCCTCCTCTTTTGTCCCCCCTCCCTACCCGCCTCTTTCTGTTTCTGAAAGCTCCCTCTGGAGGATAGTGCCCAAGATCACACACAGGACTCCAGATTGAAGTTGGTCTGTGTATCTTAGCAACGGCCGTGTATCGGAAAGTTCAAGGCGTGGGGGTGAGGGAAAGTCATATACCAGCACTTGTGGGAGCAGAATAAACCTGAAGGAAACATACTTGGGCCCACTTGTTCTCCCATCCACCCACCCACTCTCATTCCTCATTGAACACGCTCCCAAACATGGCTGTTTTCAAATAAATGCACTTGTTGAAGCCGCTTGGCGAAGAGGAGAAGGGTTGACACCAGATATTGCCTAGCACCAACACGGAAACTAATTTCAAGGATTCCTACTCAAGCAAAGAAGAAGAAGAAAGCCCGGCTGCAAGAAATTAAGAGGCTGAAAGGAATGTTGATGACAAATGGTGAGGTCTTGGAAGCGTTGAAGTGTGCGTGTCTTCACAAAGCTCTCTTAATCTGTTCGGGTTTTTTGCTGACTGCCATTTAGCTTTCAAAGGCCGGTACTTGGGGAGGGAGAAGATGGCAATGTGAGCATCAGAACACCAGGAGAGCTCTTCTGGATCAGGTCAAAGCCCCATCTAGCCCCATCTTCACAATGGTCAACCAGATGCCTCAGGGAGAAGCCAGGGAGAAGGACCAGGTGTAAGAAGGACTTTCCCTGCTTGTGATTCTCAGGAACTGGTATACAGAGGCAATGGAGAGATCCTCTGGCAATGGAGCATTACGCAGCAATCATGGCTATGTTGTGAATACAGTGGTACCTCAGGTTAAGTACTTAATTCATTCCGGAGGTCTGTACTTAACCTGAAACTGTTCTTAACCTGAAGCACCACTTTAGCTAATGGGGCCTCTTGCTGCCACCGCGCCACCGGAGCACAATTTCTGTTCTCATCCTGAAGCAAAGTTCTTAACCTGAAGCACTATTTCTGGGTTAGCGGAGTCTGTAACCTGAAGCATATGTAACCTGAAGCGTATGTAACCCGAGGTACCACTGTATTCCCAAAACATTTCTTCTCCTCTGCGCCCTTTCCCACCGAGAAACCACCACAGATCCTAAAGTTAGGGACAACACATTTAGGAGAATTCCAACAGTTTTGTAAACATAAAAGACAGCAATGAGAAATGGAGGCCAATACCTCTGGAGGGAAAAAGTTTATTGTATTTGCTTCCTGAGGAAGTGGTTACTTGTCAGAAAGGGTGGGTATAAGTGGCAGCATTTCATAAAAACAAACTCTTTTTTCCTGCCACCTTCCCTGCTCACCCACAAGGGCACATCACAAACCAGACCCCTTCCACTGAACGGAAGGCTGTGCTTCATAACCTCTCCATATGTTACAGAGCAAAGCTGCAGCGAGAATAATCACAATTCTAGTCTTTTTTTTTTTTTTTTAAAGAGAGCATTTCAGAGCATTCATTGCACTTCACATACATTCCTTACAGGGGCGCAATCCCATAGGGACCGAGCCCTCCCCGCAATATTTTTGGGAGGGGGCCAGGGCCTCCCCCCATGTTCAAAAGCAGTGGAGGAGATCAAGCGCGGAGCCAAGCAGGGCACAGCTTCAGAGACTGGCTCCTTCTCCTCCTCCTCCTCTGGTAGATGGGAAGGAGGGTTGAAGCAGCCGCCTGCCAGAGGCTGAAGGAGGAGGAGCCATTGAAGCTGTGCTGCCACCACATTCAACATCAGCCCTGCCATTCTCCTTCAGAAGCCGGCACCTCTGGTTCCTTCAGTCAGTAAACCTTACAACAACCTTGGAAGGTAGGTTAGGATACCCGAGTGGCAGAATGGGGTGCCGAGACTGTTCTCAGTGTTCCAGTTGGTGGTATGGGGACAATACTAGCAGAGAGGAAATGAGATTTAAATCAGGGACTTCCTGGTCCATAACTCAGGCTGTAATCCTATGAATACTCCCTTGGGAGTAAGCTCCATTGAATATAGTGGGGTGTACTTCTCAGTAAATAGGCATACAATCACACTGCACTTCTTCGCCACTATATTGCACTGACTCTCCAAAGACTTAAGTCTTGTCCTACATTTTTGTCCAACAGACCTTGTTTTTCAGGTATACTGCCTATTTTCTGGGACGTTTCCTTAGTAATAACAGATACTTTTTTAAAAAAGAGATTCTGGAATGGCTTTTAAAGCATTTTGTTAGTAAAATGCCCCTGTTAGTAAAGGACCCCTGTATGGTTAAGTCCAGTCAAAGGCGATTATGGGGTTGCAGTGCTCATCTTGCTTTCAGGCCAAGGGAGCCGGTGTTTGTCCACAGACAGCTTTCTGGGTCATGTGGCCAGCATGACTAAACCACTTCTGGCACAATGGAACACTGTGATGGAAACCAGAGCACACAGAAATGCTGTTTACCTTCCTGCCGCAGCAGTACCTATTTATCTACTTGCACTGGTGTGCTTTTGAACTGCTAGGTTGGCAGGAGCTGGAACAGAGCAATGGGAGCTCACCCCATTGTGTGGATTCGAACCGCCAACCTTTTGATCAGCAGGCCCAAGAGGCTCAGTGGTTTAGACCACAGTGCCACCTGCTCCCATCATTTTGTTAGTGGGAGCACATGGGAAGGTGCCTTATACTGAGTCAGATCATGAGGTCCATCTCAGTCAGTATCTGCCCTGATTGCCAGCAGCTCTCCAGGGTTTCAGGCATGGGACATTCCCAGCCCTGCATGGAAGATGCTGCAAACTGAACCCAGGACCTTCTGTATGAAAATCAAATGCTAAGGCCCTTCCCCAGATATTCCTTTTTCTCCCTTTTCCCATGTGCATAAGTTTCTTTTCTTTCCGCTTTCCCATGTCCATTGAATCAGAACAGTAATAAACATTACCAAATGGGGTTGAGTCATAGCTGTTCTCTAAGCCAGGATAGCCAATGTGGTGTCCTCCAGAGGTCACTGGACTACAACTCCCATGATTCCTGATCATTGTCCATGCTGGCTGGAGCTGATGGGAGTTTGGATCCAGCCACATCTGTAGGGCAGCAGGTTGGCTGCTCCTGCTCCAAGAAGTCCAATCAAAGTTGGGGTGAGATTAAAGTCCTATTTTAAGTAAATTGTTATGGTGGGCCGAGTTATTAATGCAGGGTATATTAGCACAGAACACCACACAGCGATGTGCAATAATGCATGGATGGAGGTGGGATTGCTTCTTGGCAGAAATCCTTGGTCTGAGAATCATAAACATGAGAATCCCTGTTTTCAGCTGTAAGATGTTGGAGAGGACACAGACTCTCTTGACCTTACTCAGCTGACCAGTCATGTCAGCCAAGGAAATATACTTCTTCCAAACCAAATCCCGGAAGCCTTTGTTCTACCCGCCACTCTGGTTGTTAGGCCTTGCTTTACTGTTTGAAAGCGGATATTTATCTGCCCACATCCCTCTCAGGCTTTCTGTTTTTTAGGAATCCCTTGCATTATGAATGATCCTTCCGTTTGTTATTCCAAATGAGTCACTGCCTGGGTGTTTCAGAGAGAAGAAGAGTCACTATAAGTAGCTAATGTTCATAACACTAGGCTTCTCAGAGATCCCAGGCTCCTCTGGCAGTGGCTTCTGTTCACTGCTCCCCCCTGCCCCACTGATGGGGGTGCACTCTTGCATGCCATTGCCGTTTTGGGCAATCTTGCTGACTTCACTTGCTTCTGCCTCCATTTCATCGTCTTCCTCTTCCTCTTCCTCCATCTTACCACCCGTGGTTGCTGCTGCTGCGATTTCTTGGTTTTGCACTCGGCGGGAGGGTCTGAGAAGAGCCCTGCGGAAACCCTGCTTGAAGCGGTACGAGAGGAAGCCATAGATTATGGGGTTGGCACAGCTGTTAGCATAGGGCAAGACCACAACAAGGAAGTAGATGCCAAAGAGAGATGGCTCCTCAGGCAAAGTCCAGATGACGTTGATGATGTTGAGCACATAGAAAGGTAGCCAGCAGAGGACAAAGACCGCGACGACGGCAACCACCATGCGCGTGACTCTCCGCTCGGAGCGCTTGCGCTTGGCCGTCAGCGCTCTCACCTTTCTGCCCGACGACCGAACCTTGACAACAATAAGCAGGTAACATAGGCAGATGACCAGCAGAGGCCCAAAGAAGCCAAGAGTGGCTGTGTAGACAATGAAACCTGCTTTCCAAACTGAAGCCGGCTCAGGCCACTGGATGTGGCATGTGCTCATGCCCGGGGGGACATCTGAAAACACGACCACAGGCAGCACCACCACGGAAGAGAGCACCCAAACAGTGGCACTGACTGCCTTGGCCACACGTGCCGTCCGCCATTTTGACGATTTCACTGGGTGCACTACCGCCAGATAGCGGTCCACACTCATCACGGTCAGGCAGAAAATACTAGTGAACTGGTTTATAGCATCCACGGCCATCACTAGCCGGCACATGAAGGAGCCGAAAGGCCAATAGGATAAGGCATTTTGTGCAGCCAAGAAGGGCAGGCCGAACATGAAGAGCTCATCGGCCAGCGCCAAGTTGAAGATGTAGACGTTGGTCACTGATTCGCTCACAGAATGACACAAAACCACATAGATGACCAGGGAGTTTCCAGCTAGTCCCACCACGCAGACGATGAGGTAAACCAGAGGGATGAGGACACCGCTGACATCCAGGCCAAGCCTGGAAGCTTGGGATAGGTTCCCAGAAACAGGGGCTGCCCAGCTGGCTGTTGAATTCTCTTCCCAGGAAGCCAGTATGGTGGTGAAGTTGAAATTGTCCATGGCAGAAGAGTGAGGTGATTGGATCAGTTGGAAGCGGTCTGCATTTGGGAAGAACAGGGAGGGGGGGAGAGAGAGAGCTTATAATGCATCTTATAGCAAACTAAAGGTAGCACCAGAGAGAGAAATGGGGGAAAAGTCCACTTTACAAACTCCATTCATTTTGCCGGGGCATGAAGAGGAGCACAGAACTTAATGGAGATTCCAGATTTTACAGCTGAGTGGCTTGTTCTCCTCCTGTACAGAAAGGTGCACAAAGAAGTCCCCATTGATTTTGATTGTCAGCAGACTGTAAACTTCTAGCTTTCAGTTTTCTGCTTCTTACATAGACTTAACTTTGGCTGGATCATGCCTAAAGTGTCTTACGAGGGACTCAAATGCCTCCTATCTGAGTGCATGCCAAAGCTTTGTCTTTCAGTGTTTAGATCTATATCGCCTAAACCAATAAAAATAATATTTTAAAGAAAATTCTGCCTTCAAACATAAACCCTTTAAAAAAGATTTGTGCAAACAAACCAAAGCTATCACCCAAGGGGGGGAGCATTGAGGGTTTGTTTTCTGTGTTGTGTTTTTTCAATCTAGCAGCATATAAATTTTATGAGATAAATGAATAAAACAAATAGTTTTGCTGGAGACTAGTGTTAAGCAGTTGCACTATGGCCTCAAGTGGCCTGCTGCCACGTATCAGTGCCCCAGTACTTGTTGCCATTTCTGCATTGCCTCAAAGGTTGACAATGGCAGGAGGGAAGAGATTTGACCCAGGGGCTGCTAGCTTGTGCCCCCAGTTCTCCAGTCATGGCATGGCCGAGAACTAAAACTAGCAGGGAAATTTCCAAGGATGGGAAAGGAAATGGAAGCATGCAGTGTCCATAAGGCTGCTCAGAAAAGTGAGAGCATCTCCATCTTCACTGTCTAGTTGTTTCTTAGGAATGATTGGGCCATTGGACAGTTATAGAAAATGGGAGAGATCTAAAAACTGATGAATTGGTCAGATTAAGTTACTGACCACCCATATTGTATACAAAGTGGTGCATTCTACAAATGGCTCAGACTCAAATGCATATTTTGCTTCAGTTAATTTTAAAAATACTAATTATTATTATTATTAAATTAAATTAAATTTTTACACCGCCCTTCACCCGGAGATCTCAGGGTAGTCCACAAGAAACAAATACAGGATAAAAGCACAAATAAATAGAACAAAAACATAATGAAAAAAATAACCCCCCTGTCCCAAATCATATCTAAAAGGCTATAGAATATTAAACAGCCCAAGGTCTGGGTGAAGAGGAACATTTTCACCTGGGGACTAAAGACGTCTAAAGAAGGAGTGATATGAACCGCTCTGGGGAGAGAACTCCATACTTGACTTGTCAAAGATTCTTACTGAAAATGTGAACCCAAATCGAAAGCTGCAAATACCTTAAGGAGGAGATCTTGAAGAACTGGTCTCTGAATGGAGGAAGCCCTTTCAGCTGGACATGCATTTGCTGTTACTGTATTCTCACTGAACAATCTATTGCTAGGTCATTTAACCTGCACCTTTTAGCCTGTTACTATGACACCCTGGCACATGGCTGGATTAATCATTATGCTCACTATATCATACAATAAAGGCCCCTGTTAAGCTAAGTCTCTGTTGCACTGTAATCATCCAAGGAACATCTATAGGTAGACTATAGTTGTCGACTATGCAGTTGTCCTCAGGCCTCATTTAAAACTTTTGTCAACTTTAGAAATGCGATGGTTGTTCCTATGCAGAGGAGCATCAACCATGTTTCTTGCTGAACCCTTGGGAAATCTTTGTCTCCGTGACAGGAAAAGGGGAAGGACAGCTGATTGACCTATCAGGCTTTTGCATGAAAAATGGCACTCATATGCTTACAGAAAATCCTGAAGATGCTTGTATTGCAATGTTACATTTCTGCTGGGGTTTTCTCCCCAAAGAGTTCTTGCTCCAAACTTAAGTCTTGGCTTCTGGGATTCAACAATGGGTAGAGGCAACCCAATACATTTTGCTGCCTCCAAAGTCAAGGTGTATATTACCCAAAGCTGGTCAAGATATTTGGGTATCTAAGACAGAAAATTCCACAAATGCCTCTACCATCCATAAATCAACTAACCATTTGCTATGCTTTCATGTCACTCAAAACCAGCTGCTTCTGCCTAATGGGAGAGCCGGTCCTGGCAACAGGGAACCTTCCTCAAACATCCTGTTAATAAGCGCCAATCCCTCCTCTAAATGTGTTGACATATCATCCTTATGTCCTTAATGACATTTCTGCATCCAGTGCTCCAATGAAACAAACCACCAGGCCTTCTGCCTGAATTTCTACAATTATATTACTTGGATGGAAGTGCTGCAGATCCAGGAGATGAATTGTTTTGAGAGAATAAATTGAATCAAGTAAAGCCGAGAATCCAGAAATATAATACTTCCCTGTACCAGAGACCCTTTATGAGACCCTTCATTATTCAAACTTTGGGCATTCAAAACCCCTTATTATTATCTGAATTTGCCACAGGGCTCTCAAGTACTCCTGTGTCAGTTTCACCCTCCATTAAGAGCTCTGCCACCTTCCCCAGACGCCTGATTACACCTCCCAGGTCATTTGAATAAATGATTGTAATACACAGTGAAATCACTAATTTTCCAATGAAGTCCCGTCGTCAGTCTCTTGATACTATGTTAGACAAAGCCCAGAACTCATTGTTTAATGAGAGGGAGGACTAATGAGCCCTTTTCTGCTTCTAATTCCCCTTGTTATCCTTATGATTATTTTCTTTCTGCTGTTTTCACCCAACCAAAGACATATGCTTGCAGGCATGGGTAGTGCCAGAGGATGGGAAGCCAAAGCTGTTGCCATGAGACGGCCTGGGGTGGGCAGAGAGCTTCACTGCAGAGGTGAGAATTAGCTTGGGCAAAACGAGATGCCTTGTGGTCCTGGTTACCCCTTTACATCTTCACTAGGTTTCCTTTTGCCTTCATTTGATGCCAGATCTGTATATAAAGCTCCAGAATGGCATTCTGTCATGAGTTATAATGGGAATGAAAATTGGGCAAATTTGGAATGGAAAGTGAGGGAGCTGCTTTAAACCAGGAATTGGGGAAAAGTTTTTTTCCAGGCCAAGAGCCACATTCCCTTTGGGGTGGGCTACATTTCAGTGGTGGGCAGGGCCAGGGGCAAAGTGGTCTTCACAAGGGTGCCAATTTGAATAAAATATTTTGGGTGGAAAGATGAGGACCTTCAGTCACTATAACTGCGGCACGCCCTACTGGGAAGAGTGGCCTCTGAGACCATATAACATCAATCCTGAAAGACCTTCATTGGCTCCCAGTACATTTCCAAGCACAATTCAAAGTGTTGGTGCTGACTTTTAAAGCCCTAAACAGCCTTGGCCCAGTATACCTGAAGGAGCGTCTCCAACCCCATTGTTCAGCCCGGACACTGAGGTCCACCGCTGAGGGTCTTCTGGCAGTTCCCTCATTGCGATAAGTGAGGTTACAGGGAACCAGGCAGGGGGGCTTCTTGATAGTGGTGCCCGCCCTGTGGAACTCCCTCTGATCAGATGTTAAGGAAATAAACAACTATCTGACTTTTAGAAGACATCCAAAGGTAGCCCTGTTTAGGGAAGTTTTTAATGTTCGATGTTTTATTGGGTTTTTAATATTCTGTTGGGAGCTGCCCAGAGTGGCTAGAGAAACCCAACCAGATGGGTGAGGTATAATTATTATTATTATTATTATTATTATTATTACTACTACTATTATTTATTGGAATCACTAGGTCTGAGCTGTTTGGGTTTCTCAGAATAAAGAGTTAACTGTACTGACACTGTGTTTTTTATCGCTGACCCCTAGGCATGTCTCGCATGTCTCTGGCTCCTGACATCCACTATAGTACTTGCTACTTTAAGATGTAGTGATGGCTGCTGACATGGGCAGTTTTAAAGATTGAAAAGTCAAATTAGTGGGCAATAATCAGTGCTTTTTTGAGGGGGTGCAAAAAGGGTACACGGTACCGGCACCTCTCTTTTTTGTTGTTAAAAAGTGTGGCACTTACTGCAACAACTTCATGGTGATGAGTACCGGCACCTATTTTCCTAGGGAGGGGGAGCACTGGTGATAATGCTATCAATTGCTACTAGCCAGGATGAATATATACCACCTCCAGCATTAGAGAGAGTCTGCATATGAATTTCAGTTGCTGGGGACCACGAGCAGGAAAATGCTACTGAGCTCAGGTCTGCTTGTGGGTTTCCCAGGAAGTACCGTATTTTTCGCTCTATAGGATGCACCTTTTCCCCTCCAAAAATTAAGGGGAAATGTGTGTGCGTCCTATGGAGTGAATGCAGGCTCCTTGGCTTCAGCGATAGCAACGTGAAGCCTCCGAAGCGCAGAGGAAGTGCTCCCTCCGCACTCCGGAGGCTTCGCGTTGCTTTCACTGAAGCCTGGAGAGCGAGAGGGGTCGGTGCGCACTGACCCCTCTCGCTCTCCAGGCTTCAGGGATAGCCGCCTGAAGCCTTTGGAGCGCAGCGCGAGTTCCCACTGCGCTCTGCAGGCTTCAGGCTCCTTTTGCTGAAGCCAGGAGAGCAAGACTCTCCTGGCTTCAGCAGAGAGGGAGAGCTGCGCAGCGCCCCTTCAGCCAAGCGGGAGGAGAAATGGAAGGGGCTCTGTTTCTCCTGCCGCTTCGCTGAAGGGGTGCTGAGCAGAGAGGGGGAGAATTTTTTTTCTTGTTCTCCGCCTCTAAAACAAGGTGCGTCCTATGGTCCGGTGCGTCCTATAGAACGAAAAATATGTATGTGGCTGGCCACTTTGAGAACGGTGATTGGACGGGAGATTGTTCTGATCTAGCAGGGCTCTTCATACACTGAACTGAAGGAGGAAAATTCCTTGTCCTTCTCTATACCAGCTGAACTGGAGGTAGCTACTGGTGAAACACGAGAAAGGAGACCTTTCTAGTTATGAGAGCAGTTCCACAGTCGCAGAAGTGGGGATGACCCTGAAATGCAGATAATGAAACCAGATTTCGAGGAGTGGATGTTGGGCTGGATCATGCAGATCTAGGAGCACATACCTAAAGAGACTTTCAGGAGTTCCAGGAACAGCCCTGGAAGTCCAGCTGGGAATGGGGGTGCTGTGGGGAAAGCTAAAGCAAGGAAGTAGGTGAAGAATAATGTGGACGGAAAGCTCACCCGGATATTTCATGATCTTCTAACCATTTTTTTAAAAAGTAATACAAAAACAAAGAAACCAGGCTAAATGAATTCTCCAGCTAGAGGTGAACGAAAGGTTCGCCAAATACATTTCTTTCGATAAATTTCTGGTATTTCCCCTCTCTTAACCCCAAAGGGCCACTTTGCAGAATTTTTCCGGAATATTTGCCACCATTCAGAAATTTTAGTTTTAGTTTAGCTTTTTTGTGGCAGCTGCCATACCTGCAATCTGGCACAGCACCCTGGAATGATGCAAGGTCTGGGGCACTGAGGAAGATGCAAAATGGTGGCCAGGTGGGGAGGGAAACCAAGCAGGGGGCAGGGGAGAAGAAAGCTGTTCTGCTACCCCATCCCTGGGAAACTGTTGGATAATCTTCCCCATCCTCCCATATGGAGAAATTTTGTGAAATGGTCTGTCTTTCCCAATTTCTCTTCCCACAAATTTGGTGCAGAATTTCCAGAGGCCATTTGCTCAAAGCTTGAGTCCGAATTTTGGTGCAACACAGTGTGAATAACTTGTTTTATGTGTTTCAGATAAGTGTCCCTGACATGATGTGGAAGTATGAAGCCAACCTTGGACGATTGGTCCAGCAATATGGCACTTAAATAAACAAATAAACCCACAAATGCATCCGTGTTTAGGAATTGCAAGCTAACAACGTGGTGAGAAGATGAGGAAGATGAGGGCTGGGTCCTGGTGGCATGGCGATGCTCCATCACTGGTGGGTGATCCTCACACAGCCATTACTCTAGACAGCCCCCCCCTTACTGGAATAGATTGGACTAAATTGGGGGAGGGAGTTGAAGTTACCCCCTCAGAAAAAATACTATTGTTTGGGTGCTAGGAAAAGGCAAGATCCTACAAACAGAAGCACAGCCTCAAGGAAAGACATTTGGATCCCAATTCAGGAATTAGTAATGACTGTGCATTTTATTGTGCAAAAAAAGTCAGCCGATGAAAATTCCAAAATGATGCCGATGAGATATGTGTGTTAACTCACTAGTGCAGACTCACCTTTATTCTGTAAGGTCTTCGGGACAGTAAATTACATATGTGCAGTGTCTAATCCAAAAGAACCTCAGTCTTGTTTTGGCAATAGTTGCTTCAGATATGCGCATTCATAAATTCTTCACATGTTCAGTTACTGGGCTCCATTTTGTGCATCGGTTCAACATGTCAATCAGCCTTTCGGAAATGAAAGCTCTCTTTATTATTTTATCAATCTAGCAACAAAGAGGATAGCAGGACAGGACAGGATCCTGCAAGTAAGAATGCCATGTCTCCTGAAAGGAGACCGTGTTGACTTTTACTTATAGGGAGAAATAGGTTTGTTCAAAATTGTCTTGCACTGAGGATGGGAGAGGGGATCACAAAGACTTCTACCTGCCTAGCAATCAGTTTGAGTTATTTTAAAAACCAACATGGCAAAACAACCTCCAAACAGAACCAAAGATTTCAAAAAGAGTCTCGTGTGCCTGCAGATGTAGAAACTTTTCTTATGAGGACCCCATCTAAAATGACCCATAGTTCAAATCTGCATGCTATCGTTACTACATCCAGAATTTCACGTGTGTGTGATTGTGTGTGTGTGTGTACTACTTGTTGCACATTTCCCTCTTAATGTTTACAGGAGTGTCAAGGAGCCCCAGTTCCAAGCAAACCCATGTCATGCCACTGAGTACAGGATGTCTCTTTCTGCTCCAAAAGATTTACAACCCAAGACTGCAATCTTCATCCCAATTACTCTGCAACAACTCCACAAAAGTTTGTTCTGGAGCAAACAGTTGCAGATTGCAAACAGCAACCAAAGTGTGAAATGGAAGACAACAGGTGGGTGCCCTGGACAGACCCAGCAGGAGAACACAAGCCAGTGAATCTGAAGATAAGCAGCTCTACCGTCCAGCCTGTTAGACCCTGTCGCTTGTCTTCCCTTCCTACTTGGACTCAATAGACAAATATTTTTTAAAACCTGCATATCCCCAGGAGATCTGGGGCGGGGGGGGGGGAGGGGTGCAACACAGCAGGGAGCTTCAATGATACAGGTGTCCAAAGAAAACTTTTGCATGCAACAGAATTTGGGGGATTATAAGCAGAAGCAGGAGGCAAGTTTGCCCAATACTCACGTATCAAAAGAATGGATATCTGCCTTCACTCTCCAGGACGATGTTTAGTATTCTTGTTAATTCCTCTTGGGGAGGGGGAAAGACAAAAAATATTTCAATTCCCGAGTTGGTATAAATCCAGAATCCGTAATGCTTTTTAACATCTCTTCCCCCCCCCCCACTTCCTTTGAGATACCTGATTATCTCCCCTTCCTTCTGCTTCTGGTGTAGAGGTGGCATCCCTGCTCATCCCCCTGCGCTCCTACATCTGTTTCCCTGCCGCTGCTGCTAATACTTTTGCACCTGGTCTCTCCAGGGCTGCTGCAGGTAAGAAGGCAGTCAGTCTTGCAGCGTTTGCTGAGTGGAGCCCAGCCGGACGGTCCCCCCGCCCCACCAGCTCTCCTTCTGCTGAAGTGGGGGGGGGGCGCTTGTTGTCTCTCGCAGGGTTAGGTAGATCAAGCGGTGTGTCAATTACTCCCGGGAACGGTGCCACCAGCCAATCGGAAGAGGTTCCGAGGGGAGCGACAGGGGAGGAGGTGTGGGGCGAGGATGAGAGAGGAAGAGAGAGAATGAATGGTTGAGTGAGAGAGATTGAGAGAGAGAGAGAATGAGGAAGGAATGAGGGGGAGTGACATAGTGATTATGATGGAGAGAAAGAGCATAAGGGGGGAGAGAGAGAGAGAGAGAGAGAGAGAGGGAGGGAGGGAGGGAGGGAGGGAGGGAGAAAATGAGAGGGGAGGAAAAAGGGGGAAATGAGGGGGTGTGAGAACGCAGTTGTGACAGATGGTGACAGAGGAGAGTAAGCGCAGGAATGAGAGAGGGGAAACAGAGAGAGAGAGATGTGGGGAGAAAAGATCTCGCAGGCTCCTGGAGTGTAGTCGAAAGGGAGGCAGAGCTGAGCATTCATGGAAATGCAGGATTTCATACACATCCCATCATTCTCCCTCTCTCTGGCTTCTTTGAAGTTTTGCAGACTTTTTTTTTTGGCTGGTAGAGATGTTCACCTGCTCCGACATCGCTGCCTCCATAAACCATCTTCCCATGCTCGTTAATTCAGAAGTGTGGCTTGGCTTTTAATAATTTGGTGTTATGTAACCTGTTTATGAATGGCTGAGCCCGGGGCCATTTCTACAAGGGGCAGTTAAATTTAAACCCTTTGCATTTTTTGGCATTTCTGTGACTGGAATCTTCACCTTAGAAACTTGTTACTTGCTTGAACAGAAGTGTTCATAGAATCATAGAACTGTAGAGTCAGAAGGGACCCTGAGGATCATCTAGTCCACCTCCCTGCTGTGCAGGTATATGCAGCTGGCCCATATGGGGTTTGAACCCACGACCTTGGCATTATCAGCACCACACTTTAACCAGCTGAGCTAACTGCCCAGAGGAATCTGCCTTACACTGAGCCATCGAGCTCAGTAATGTCTACACTGGCTGGCAGTGGCTGCCCAGGGCTTCAGGAAAAGTTCTCCCCCAGTCTTACCTCAAGATGCCAGGGACCTTCTGCATGCAAAACAGATGCTATGTCGATCTTCATAATAATATTTTAAAATTTAAAAATATATGGCTAGAATTAATATACATTTGATTTTTAAGATGCTCCCCAGACCTTTTCATTCCATAAGGATATACCGTATTTTTCGCTCTATAAGACGCACCAGACCACAAGACGCACCTAGTTTTTGGAGGAGGAAAACAAGAAAAAAAATATTCTGAATCTCAGAAGCCAGAACAGCAAGAGGGATCTCTGCGCAGTGAAAGCAGCGATCCCTCTTGCTGTTCTGGCTTCTGGGATAGCTGCGCAGCCTGCATTCGCTTCATAAGACGCACACACATTTCCCCTTACTTTTTAGGAGGGAAAAAGTGAGTCTTATAGAGCAAAAAATATGGTACTTTCATTGCCTTGCTTGATCAGACCAAGTTCCATCTTGTCCAGCATTCTGTAGCATAGACCAACCAGATGCCACTGGAAATTCACAAGAACAGCATGGAGGTGATGGCCATCCCAAATCTTAGTTTCTTCATCTCTTCAACTGTTGCTCAACATCAATGTTGCTTTGGTGTGGCTAACAGCAATTGTTAAATCTGTTCTGCAAATCTACCTAATCTGCTTTGAAAGCCAGTGGAACTAATCTGGCAGTCCTCAAAACATCTTCTGGCAATGAATTCCACTGGTGAATTATGTGTTGTGTTAAAATCCTGCATCCACACCATTCACAGGTGACCCATTCCAGATGAAGAGCCATTGGTGGCTGCCACCACCTCTCTCATAGTTTAACTTATTTCATAGTGATTTGAAGAAGCACTTTCTTTTGTCGGTCCTGAATGTTCCAACATTCAGCTTCAGAAACTTCTGCACAATTTTATATACCTTTCTCTTGTTCTCACATTTTTTCTACCCCCTCTCCTGTCCTTTTCCTCTTCCGCACTCTGAAGGTGTCCTCCTGATCCCTTCCCTGCCTCTTTCACTCAAGTGAGCTTGCTGAGTGCAATTATGAGACACATTCCCCCATCACTTAGCCGCTAGGAGCCTATTAAGCTGCCTCTTCTCGCCCTTCTAAGTGGAATTTTGAGGGCCAGGTTCAGATGCCTAGCTGGGGGTGCAGTTCCACATGAACGGTACATTTTCTGCTTCTTTCTTCTTGTCTGGCCTCCATTGCCATCACATCTCAATACTTTTGCAATAGCACTTTGTTAGTTGGGTAAAACTAACAATGTCTCGTATTCTTAACAAGCTGGAGAGGATTATGCCATTCCTTTCCCCACTGAGAGACGGAAAATCACAGGAATGAAATGTAATGGGTCAAGAGCTGCTTTAGGTAGCACACAGCGCTGTCTTTGATGACTGTCCCCAAACTGCCATTAGTTCAGAATGCAGCATTAAATTTTGCCAATTTATATTGTTAGAGATTCCAAACTTCTGGCTGCAGCACCAGCTGGGCTTGGCAGCGAGAGCTGGGTGCAAAGGACAAGAGATCGCAGGAGATTTGGGGTGTTTGCAAACTGGGACTTAAAAACGGCAACCAGGTTGTTCAGATATTGCAATTGGGACAAGAGAGGGAGAAAAAATTGGGGAGCTAGGGAGGCGAGACTTCCCTGTGAGCAAAGGTTGTGGCATTTGGAACTTTTAGAGAAAAGGCAAGCATGGCATGGAGAAAGTGGATAGAGGTCATGGAGATCCAATGAAACAGAATGTTGGAAAGAGTTTGAACTTGATATCCCGCTTTATCACTACCCGAAGGAGTCTCAAAGAGACTAACAATCTCCTTTCCCTTCCTCCCCCACAACAAACACTCTGTGAGGTGAGTGGGGCTGAGAGACTTCAAAGAAGTGTGACTGGCCCAAGGTCACCCAGCAGCTGCATGTGGAGGAGCGGGGAATCGAACCCGGTTCACCAGATTACGAGTCCACCGCTCTTAACCACAACACCACACTGGCTCTCAGATAGAGTCAGAACAGATAAAAGCACTTCTTCATGCAGCACCTAGTTAAACAATGGAACTTGCTCCCACAAATGGCAGTGGTGGCCACCAGCTTGGATAGCTTTAAAAGAGGAATAGACAATTTGGGGAGGGTAAGGCTATCCATGGCTACTAGCCATCATTCTGCCTCCACAGTCAGAGGCAATAATGCTTCTCAATGCCACTTGCTGGAGACTGCAGGAGGGGAGACTGCTGTTGGGTTTGGGTCCTGCGTGAGGATTTCCCACTGGTGGGCCAGTTTGGCAACAGGATGCTAGACTAAATGGGCCATTGACCCTGATCTAGCAGGTGCTAATGCAGGGGCTCAACCTTTTGAGACCTGCAAACTCCTTCCAAAACTGGAGAAACCTGCACACACACACATACACGCACATACGGCAAGCAAGCACACACCACAACCTATTGTGCAATTGCTGTGTGGGATTGCTGTATTTCATATTTTAATTCTGGGTGTTTATATTTTAATGTTTCAATGAGATTGTCTCATTGTGTGCCTTAATTATGGATGCTCATAGTTTAATGTTCTGATGGGATGGTTTCGTTGTGCATTTTAATTATGGATAGTTCCATTTTAATGTTTGTGTAACCAGAGGTGGATGAAGCCACTCGGGTGCCTGGGGTGGTTTGCCCAGGGGCAGGGCAAGTTGCCCATAGGGGCAGGGTGCACCACGGGGCCTCCAGAGTCTGCCTGCCTTCTCCCACTCAGCCACCCTACAGCAGGTGGAGGGGGGAGGCAGTGGGAGGCAGCGGACGGACTGTTTCGGGTGTGCTGCAGGCCCCGCGGTGAGTGCCGCCCGGCATTTTGTCACCCCTCTCAGTGGTGACACCCAGGGCAGCCCGCACCCCCTTCCTCTGCCCCTGTGTGTAACAGGTCCTTTATGTTTTGTAAACCGCTTAGAAGCCTATTCTCGAATCAAGTCCTTGATATAAATGAAATGAAATGCTTCTTTCAAGACTCCTTTCAGCTGGGGGAGGGGCTGGGGAAAGGATCCTATGGCTGCCAGGGAAGGTCTCTGCGGGTGCATGTCCACCTGTTGGCACAACACTGCTGATCCCTTTGCTAACGTCATCAGCTTTGGGGCTCCTTTGGGATATTGCTAACTGACTTACCAGTAAGCATTTTGCTCTCAGTTTTGACTTGCATCCACCAGTGAACTGCTGAATTATTAGGGATTGCAATTTTTATTTCGTGTCATGGTTATTGCACTATTGTGCTTTGAGCACGACTGTATATGTAGCATATAAATAAACAGTCTATAACTATCTGGTACAGCATACTGCTCTCATAGTGACCAGCCAGAGGCCTGTGGGAAGCCAATAAGCAGAATCCATGAGCAATAATATTCTACCGCTGTTGCTCCCAAGCAGCTGGTATTTGGAGGCCTGTTGCCTCCGATACTGGAGAGACTGGCTATCATGATTCACGACTAACAGCAGCCATTGATAGCTTTATCCTCCATTAATTTGTCTAATCACATTGTAAAGCCATCCAGTTTGGTGGCTATCAGCACTTCTTGCGAGAGGAAGTTTCGTAGTTTAATTATGTGTGAAGAAGTAATTCTTCTTGTCTGTCCCATAACTCCTAATATTCAACTTCACTGGAGAACCCTGGGGCTTAAGAATTATGCATTTTCTCCATTCTATGCAAAACTGTATACACTTTGATCGTGTCATCATGTTGTGAACTGCCCTGACTGAGATCTACGGATGAAGAGTGGTACATTGAATGAATGGATGGATGGATGGATGGATGGATGGAATGGATCACCCCCGTCTTGCCTTTTTTCTAAACTAAAAAGCACCTCGTGTAACTTTTCCTTAGAAGGAGTTGCTCCATCCCCTTGATTGTTTTGGTTGTGAAACTTTTTACCTTCTACAATAGCCTTTTATTTTTTTTTATTTTTTTTTGAGGACAACAACCACAGTTTTCCTGTTGTGGCCACCCTACAAATTTGTAAAAAAAGCAGGGGTGGGAAGTCTCCAGTCTACAGGCTGAATTTGGCCCACCAGGCCATTTCCCTTAAACCACACCCTCTTTCCCCATACCTGTCATTATGTGACATATGGTGCAGGGCAGGTACTGATGTGGCTGCAAAGGAGCAATTTGGATTTTAAAGCCAGCTCCCAATCATTCATCTGCTGGAACAAAGCACACTCTGCCCTGCTCATCAGCTAATGGGCTGGCGGAGTGAACCTTGCTTCAATAGCATGAAGCAGCTTGCATCGAAACTACTGCTAAAATGACGGGCGAATTCTTAATATTAGCAATGTTTTCAATGCAATTTTTCAGCCAAGTCACAGTTCAAAACTGCAGGTCAGTTTCCAGATTCTGGTGGCCTCTCTCATTGAAAGATTTCCAACTTCTTCCTAATCATAAGCTCCTTCTGAGGAAAACATCCTGGGCTATTAGCCTCTAATCTGCTTAACAAATGTAAATTGCCAAGGCACTGTAACAGGACTGTTGGTAGACAATATTCATTATCGTTATTGGAAGAGCTTCACTCAATGCTACCACTTTGCTTCTGGACACAATTTAAAGTGCTAGGGCAGACCTCTAAAGCCTTATAACATTGGTGGCCAGGGAGCGGAAGGACCACTGATCAGATTATTAAGAACTTCATATGAAGCCCTGCTAAGGAAGCTCCTGTTTTCTGAAGTTAGGTGTGTAGGAAGCTGGGACAGGGCCTTTTGGGTTGTGGTGCCTCTTCTAATGGCATGTCCTCTCACTGTCCATTCTCACACCCAGGTATATGTCACATTACTATGTTATAGTACACAGAGAAGTTTGTTGTTGGGGGAGAACATATAAACAATGATCATAGGAATTCATTTTTGTTTTTGCTGCTTTTAAAAATTGGATTTGCTGCTGCTATTTTCACTTCAGTTTCTATTTTTGAGATGCATTTCTGTTGCTGCTAATTTGCATTGTGAGCACCTAGGAAACCAAAGTTTCATGGTGCACTATTTTATTTTATTTTAGAAATAAAGAATAGGTAATATGCGGTTCTTTTCAATATCAACAGGAACTGCTTTCTCCTGAGCCAGACTGCTGGTCCATCCATCTCAGTACTGTCTTGTGCTTTTTACAAAATTGCAATTTATGTATATTGTAAGCCGCTTTGAAAATTTCAATTAAAGTGGGGGCATAAATGCTCCAAATAAGCAAATGAAACATATTGGCTGGCAGCCATTCCCCAAGGCTTCAAGCAGTGTGGTTTCCCCAACCCTACCTGGAAATACCTGAATTTGAACTGGTGGGGTCATTTGCAGGCAAAGCATGTCCCCCACTCCTGCATTACAGGCATTCTCTTATGGGGTTGTTGAGTTCACAGCAACCACAGCACCATCTTATTGAATGCATTTATTTTTATTTTTTTTTGGCCACAGCTGATTCACAGCTAGTAATGCCAGAGAACTGGCTTTAAGCCCATTGCTCCTGTTAATCTTCAAAATAAAATGTGTGGTAGAGATCCCTTGCACAGAATTATCGAGAGCTAGAAGCTGCTTTTCATCTACAGCTCTTATCTCCCAGTGTGCGTGTGGTTCTCCTCAGTCATTTCTGTTGCTCTGAACCTTGTTATCAATGAGTAAAAAAATCTCACGGGGTAGCAAATGGGACACAAAGCAAGAGGGACTCCTGGAAAAAAAATAATCTCAAGCACCAAGTGCTCGGGGGGAGATGTTCTCAAATGCATCCTGTAACCAGGGATCACATCCAGCCCCTCTCCTCTCCTGGTCCATTCCACCACAGTGCTCCCAGAGCCCTTGTAATGAGTCAGTAATACAGGTGCCAGCAGCTGCCAATTCTATTGCACCACAGGGACAGCTCTCATCAGTTTTATTTTAGCAACCCGTAGGCTATTAGTCTTGACGGGTGACTCATTCCGTCGCCTTCTCGCTCTTTCCAGCTTTCCAGCCCCATCCGCTGCTCCGCGTATGCGAATTAGTGTGTGCGTATGTGATGGAACGTAAGTGGAGCCATGCACAGTTCCTTGTGGGGATCTTTGAGGACTCTGGGAAGATGAAGGAGCAACAGAGATCTCTCTCTCTCCCCCGGCCCAAGTCCAGAGTGTCTCCAATCTCCTTGCATATTATGCATGCTCAGTAATTGCCATCCTAGAAGGCACTGATTTTAATTGTGATGGGCTGGTGCAGCCTCTCCTCATTTATGCCCTTTGGCACCATTTCTCATGGAGGGGAGAGAAGCTAAGGCGCTGATGTAAAGTGGTCTGGCATATAAGTAAAAATAATCATCATAATTACCATCCTGCGAAAGTTGTTACCAACCATCCTGCTTACACACGTACATCTCTGGGTCGTGGGGTAACTTGAGTGGCAGGTCAGATAAGCAAGAGCAGCTGATGGGAGGTCTTTATGCAGCACTGGCATACAACCGCAGCATAGTTTCTGGTGCTTGATTGAAAGGAAAGCTGGGATTGGCTTCTGTGATCTGGGATGTCCCACTTCAAATGGGACAGTTGGTAGGTCTGCAATTGTCTGAGGTATGAGGTACCCTTCCTATGTTCTTCATCTGGCTGTGCCCTGTGTCTTTAATTTACACGCCACTCCAGTTAATAATAATAATAATAATATATTTATACTCCACCCATCTGGCTGGGTTTCCCCAGCTACTCTGGGCTGCTACTAGTGCTGCTATTTCAAAAAGTGGACCTCACAAGCTTAATGCCTGGCTGCACATGTACTATTTTATTTTTGCACCCCTTTAACAAGTTCAGTATAGATCCTGAGAGCAATGAGTCATTTCAGTACTTATTTCCTGGGAACCTATAAAGGAAGTAGTTCCCCAACCTCTTCCCAGCCAAACAACCTGAATACAGAAGAGTTGCACAAGTTATTTTAGATCCAGGGGCCAAAGATATGCTTCTGAGAAGAACATTCCACCCACCAACAAGTCTCAAAACGCCATCACACGCTAAGATAAAAACATGGACCTAGAAAGGGCCTCGGCAGAAGTTTACCGAAGCCTTAGATTCTTCTTTTGCAACATGAAGCCATGGCAACACAGTTTAGGTCGGGAACTTGACATATTACATCTGGGCTCAGACAAGCTAGAATCTCAGCAGGCCTGGGGGTCTGACTAATGCTGATTGCCAAACCCCGTAGGAGATGGTTTACAGGACCCAGAAAATAATGTTACATATGGCACCATTAGGAAGATTTCCTGTGTGTGAGACTCTGCCTCCAGCAAGTGCCTTGGAGCATATACAGGCAAGCCTGTGACAGGGAGCAGCAAGGAAATTTGCCCATTTGTTAGAACAATCTTGTTGCGTGGGGCTGATGGGAATTATAGTCCAAAATGTCTGGAGGGCATCTTAGGCCACATGCACACCATACATCTAAAGCACTATGATACCACTTTAAACAGTTATGCCTTCCCCCAAAGAATTCTGGGAACTTAACTTGTTAAGGGTGCTGAGAATTGTTAGGAGACCCCTCACAGAGGTACGATACACAGAGTGGCTGAACAATCACTCCCTCTTCATGCAGAACCCTGCAAATTATAGCTCTGTGAGGGGAAATAAGGGCCCCCCAACAACTCCCAGCACCCTTAACTAGCTCCCATAATTCTTGGGGGAAGCTATATCACTATTTGAAGTGGTATCATAGTGCTTTAAATATATGGTGTGAATGTGGCCTTAGATTACAGAAATAAACCTGACTGAGGCTTCCTCACATCCCTTCTTTTGGCCTGTTAAATGTCCAAGTGGCTCTTGCAGGCTGCTTTCTTGCCATTGCCTCCTGTCTGGGGTCATACCACTTGTGACTCCACAGTTCAGCCGACCCAATCCTGAGTTTGCATGGCTGGACTAGAGGTGACAGAATGCTGGAATCTCAGAAGTCATTTCAAAAGGTTCCTGAATGAGGAGAGAAGGATTGGAGGACTGCAACCAATCATGCAAGTGGGGGCAGAAGGGGAAAGGAACTAACCAATGGGAAGAGGGAGGAAGCCCACAACAACCCACCCTTCCCAGATCCTGGTATGTCAGGATCATGAAGGCGAGGGAAAGAAGGTAGCATCTCCGGGAGGAAATCTTGAGTTGCTCACCTACATCATAGCTGTCAACTTTCAGATTTGAAAATAAGAGATCAGCAGCCTCGAAAATAAGGGATCAGCAGCCTCTCCTGTCCCGGGGACAGTCTACGGGATATCTAATAATCCGGGATACCAGCGGGAAGCAGCGGGAAATGGCGCTGGAATAAGGGAATTTCCCGCAAAAAAAGGGAAGGTTGACAGCTATGACCTACATACAGAGATGACCCAGCAACATGGGACAGACCATCCAATGATGAAGTGAGTCTTTCTTCCCCGTATCAAGGAACTCGGGCACCTGACTGGCTTAAGCCAAGGACTGGAGCTATGCCTTTTGAGGTAAAAGTGGCCATGGCCCTGACTTATCTATGACACATCACATCTCCTTTAGCTTGAACTCCATAATTGGTCAAAAATCCCTCAGAACATCCCCAAGGTCCCAGGATGAGGATTTGATGTAGGTCAGAGTTGTCATGATGCTTTGCAAAAGGAGATGCAATGTGTGAGTTACAGCTTCTTAGCTAAGTAGCAGACATGTCGTCATCAGAGAGGCCCAGCCCTGAATACCCGTCTCTTTATCATAGTTCTTTAGAACCAGAACAAGACAAGGGTAGCAGAAGAAGAGTGGCAGAGATATTTATTGAGCCTTTATTGAGCCTTGTTTGCGATGCTGTGATCAGGAACAGAGAGGTTATATGGGGAGATTTCAGAGAACAAGGGCACTTGCACACAAGAGCCCTTTAGCACAGCTGAAGCACTGCTTTTATACAATTGGCTAGAAGTGGAATTAAAACAGAGTTACCACACAAGAAACTTTACAAAGCGCGGTATTCTCCAGCAATACAAGGGTCGAGATCATCCATGAATTACTCAGATGAAAGGCCCATTCAGCAAAGGTCCTTTCCAATGCTATTCAAAAGCCTTCTGTTTTACTATTTCATGTTGGTATACGTTGAAAATGCTGAATGGTGTTTCTAAATTGCCCCAGGGTCAGTTTCTCTTCCCACAGGGATTTGTGGTAGGGGGGAGGAAAGATGTTAAGTACTTATTTTCTCTTATCCTCCCCCCTCTTTTCTTTGGTTAATGGTGAAATAGCACTTTTATGATGCTATCTCACCATTAAAATAAGTAAATAAAGGTATAGTTAGATGAAAGCAGTAATTAGAAGCTCCTCTCCCATCCACAGGGAGAGAAACTGTCATTGGAGCAATTTAGAAAGGCTATTAAAGGTGCAAAGTACACTCTGTTAACCAAAGATCCTTTAGCCAAGATCAACAGGAAGCAATAGAACAGAATAAACCTTCAAAGAGGAACTGGAAACTACAGAAGCCTTGAAACCCCTTAATAGCGCTTTTCCTGTCCACACTGAAGAGACTGGTGCTACAATTGCACTAAACTTTTTTTAAAACAATAGCCATAGATCAGGTTGGGGGTGGAAACTACAGGCCAATGAATCAGGAAAACAACAGAACACAGCAGACTAAATATGGTGTAATGGGGAGGCTTCCTAACAAGTGAGGAATTCCAGGAGGCAATTCCAGACTAATAACTAGTGTGGAAGCATCCACCACCACCCCTAAAAAATATCTTCACTGGCATCACTTTGGGAGATACAGGAGAGGAATCCAGTCTTCAGTCTCTTTCCAATCAGCAAAGCCCAGAGAAAGGAGCAATTTCATAGGGTGAGGGAGCCGGGTCTGGAATCTGTAAGGCAAATAAAAAGGGTCAGTCTGCACCGTCCGCAAGTGAGACTTCCATGTGGCACTGCAGTGGGGACTTCTAAGCATCCTTTATAAGGTGTTGTTTCCTTTGGGGAAAGTGTGCTGGAGACATGGTCAGTGGAGAGTCCTTTTCTATTCACGGTGTTTGCTTGCTGGACACCTGCCCACAGCTCTAACAAACAAAAAACTGAGGAAAGAAAGAGCAATGGTGGGCTGGTTCACTGGGACTTCTCTTGGGCTCCTGGCAACCCTTTCTTCTTCCAGCTCCTCTGCCCTTTGTTGTTGAGGGTAACTAGAGCCACTCATTAAAGATTGGTCTTGGGGGAAGGAGAGCGAGAGTACAGATGACACCATCAGCCTGGCTGCTGCTGACTAAAGCTGAGTCAGGAGAGCAGTTTCTAATTGTGTTAGATGCCCAAGCAGCAGGAGGAACTCCTGTTTGGATAGTATCAGGCAACATCTATTTTCAGCAAGCTCCCCTCTCATATTCAGTTGAGTGTCCATCCAAATTTTCTTGACTTTCTTACCAAATGTGTAAGTGGGGAAATCACTCATTCCTCCACTATGAATGTGTGAGGGGAAAGTGGGGCTGCCCCTGAATTTTAATTGAAGTAGAGCCCCTTCACATGACCAGTAAATGGGTGGACCTACAGGTTGAATAAATGAAATTTGAAAGTACATTTAAAGCAAGCAACTTCCCCAAGGAATCCTGATAGTGGTAGTTTACAACCACCTCACAGAGCTACAATTCCCATCATCCTTAACAAAACTACAGTTCCCAGGATTCTCTGGGGGAGGTTAGGGTGCATATGTTAAGATTTACAAACCTTATTTCTATCCTATACACACACATATAGCATCAGAAACTCATCTCATGCTTAGAAAATCTGAAGTCACTTGTTCATCTGGTCTATTTTGATTCCATTGCCGAATAAAAGACATCTGAGTTCTTTTAAAAATCTGTATTTCCCCTTTCCATAACAGTTTGCAACCAGCAATTTAATCCATGACCATACTGTTCCAGATCTTCCATTGATCAGCTGTCGGGACACAGGATGTTCTCCAAGCTTTTGCTAGCAAAGTCAGCTAGCATATGTGTAACTAATTATAGTTATATAGTCTCTCCCTAATTGGTTTTTAACATGTCCCCCAAATATTGTTAGAGGGTTTAATTGAAACTCTAAGCTTGTGATATCTCTTAGGCTTTGAATTGTTGTTTGCCAGTATTCATTAACCAGGCTGCAGTTCCACCAGATGTGAGCGAAAGTTCCTTTCTTCTCCTACACTTTGAATGCATGTGTGACACAGCTAGGAATATATTTGGTATAGTGCCTGGGGTATAATTCTGCCTAGGTGTTGCTTTGTGAATTTCTCCTTTGAATTTCCATCTATCCAGTACTTTCCCCCTAGAAAAATAGCTGCCGGTACTCACCATGAAGTTGTTACAGTAAACGCTACATTTTTAACAACAAAAAAGAGAGGTGTTGGTACTGCATGCCCTTGAGTACCACCTGGGAGGGGGGAGTACTGCATCTATTACCTATCTTACAAGGGCCTGTACACATAATTCCTCTGTACCTCCAATATAGTCACAGTGAACTCTCCCAATTCTGTTTTGCAATACTGATTTTGCGACCGCTTGGGACTACTAAAATTTTATACCTTTTAGACAGCAAACATTTTTTCTTTTCCAGAAACTAATTTTCTCAAATAACATGGGATCCCTTTCTATATCGACTGCTCTTGTAATATTTTCAGTATAGCTCCTTATTGGCAGATACTGCAAAAATCGGCAGATGGAGATTGACTTGCTTTTCTGCTAATTGGCTTTATGAGACCATAACCCCCTGAAATATAGTGTCTTTAAATCTGGTTATGTCCTCTCTAATCCAGGCAGAATAGTCTCGTTTTTCTTTCATTTTCTGAAAGCCCATATTTCAGGGGAAATTTCCAGGGCCAAAAACATTATCCATACTTTCCCCATATTTTAACAATTGGTCTCTTGATTTCACTTGCTGTGCCTTTCCTTGTCTCTGTTTATTACATCTGAACCAATATAACAGGGAGTTGGTTCCTATTTGCTCTCCCATCCATGGTGAGGTATCTCTGAATTCCCAATCTGTATAAGGGAATTAACAGCAAGTCACAGAATGATTCTGTTTTACAGTTTTCCCTCCCAGCCACAGTCTCATTATCTGGTGTCTTCAGGTCTCTTTCCCACAATCTCTGTTAAGATACAAGTGGTTCAGGAACTGGTGGAGGGGGTGGCAGCTTAGGTAGGACTGGAGGCAGTGGTAAGCCGCTAAGAGTGAATCAGATGTTGAGCCAGAATCGGTTCCACCTCCCAAGATGAAGGGATGCTGGCCCTGGCATGAACAGACTCTTCAAGCTCAACACACTCAGAGAACTGCCTGCTTGCTTGCCCAGTCTCAGGGCTCTGTCCATTTGCCACACTAAGTGTTGTGACCTGTCCCATCCTTCCAAAAAGTGTCACTCATTGAATCAGTGTCTTAGCTTCCACCTAGCCACATATCTGGTCCTCTGGTACACCTGCTGCACCTTGTAACCATGCCTTGTTTATGTACCATTCTGATTTAAGTATCAAAGTCCTTGGCAGAAACCAAACTGGACATCTGAGCTCTTCGTCTGGCAGTGAGGGCCAAGACAGAGGAAGGCCTTTGCCAGTACTTACTTACTTACTTACCCTTAAAGGATACTGCACCCCCTTTTCTTTGTCTTTGTGGGTTGTGGACAGAGAACTGCCCGAATTGCCTCATCAAACACTGTTTTCAGGCCGCGCTGAGTCAGTGCTGAGCACTCAAGGTACTTCACTGCATCTGTGAATACAAAAAAACATTCTGAGGAAGGGGTGCTTTTTAAACTCAAATAAATCACAGCATCATCATGAGTACAGGGACAAAATGGGAACTTGCTTCTGCTGCCCTGTTGCTAAATCAGGTCCTCCCTTAAAGAGGGCACATATTGCAGTGAGACCTGGACAACCGACACCCTGTGTTGTGGGTAGGTACGTTTGGTCAGCCACAACACCCGATTGGTAGGTCCCTCGAAGCTGGGTGCAATCTGGCCAATGGGACGCAGTCCAAACAGTTTGAGGGACCTATTTATACCCATGCACATGACCCAGAGTTTCCTCTTTCAGCACATGCATTTGGAAAACCCGCCCACCTCTCCCTACTTTTAGGGCGTTGCGCTTGATCTTGCTATGCCATCGTGTGTCTTCTGTCGTTGGGACAGGGGCATGGTAGGAATTTTCCCCACTTCGCTGACTGGCTGTTGCCATTTGGGTTTAGCCTGCTGCGCAGCAAATCGTCGCAACTTGTAAGGTTGCGGATAGGCTCTGGTTCAGGTGATAGAGATGGGAGAACGCTCTCGCCATCCCTATGTGAAGGGTATTCCGTTAAAGGAATCCAGGGACTCGATGGTTTGGTCAACCCCTGAGAGGGGGTTGTGCCCATGCCTGAGTCCAGGGGGACATTTGGGTGGCGGAGTTAGCCCATTCCCGGCTTTCCGCATATGTGTGGGATGTAAACACAGGAGCAGTCAATGACAACATTCCTAGAGTGTACATGTTAGAACATGGGGAGGGATGTCTGTCCAGCAAGCAGGTAAACTTCCTGGGGACGGACTTCCTCCGCATGTGACCAGAGGTGGGTGTGGCCTCACCTGTGCAGGTAATGACAAAAGCACAGGGCAGGCAGCCATCTCTCTCTCTCTGCCATTTTCCTTCGATGAGGAAGCATCTAAAGATGCTCTCTTGGCTCTCAGCCAAGAGAGGAGGAAAGGACTATCTTGCTATAAGATAGATTCTGAATGTATGTAACCTTTTTAAGCTATCTGCCTTCTGGGATCATATTGTGAACAGAACGTGAGTAAACTCTTTTATACTTTTATAAAGACTGTGTCGTGTCTTGTATTTTAAGAGGGAACAAAAGGGGAAATTACCAGAGTAATTATTATAGAGGTTCTAGCGAACCTGTGCACACGTTACCGTTGTGAACTTAAAGGGGACTTTATAAACTCTGCTGATATTTTGGGAACTTGTTAGCACAAGTTGGATAAGGATATAATTAGTCAGTATATCCTCTCCTGCACCCCTGAACATTCCCACAATATGCAGGTGTTCACCCTTGGCTGACCTATGCTGGAACCCTGGGTCAGCGCTACCTTCATGGCAGGGAGCTAGTCGAACCAGAGCATATGCAACCAGTCACTTTCTGTAATCAATAAAGTTGTGGCCTAAATTCTGCCAAAAACCAAAACCAAAATTTGAGTCATGTGTGAATTTATTTAGGGGGGAGGTTTCTGGGTCTGAACACGCAAACACATTGATTTGGTGATAAATACTACAGGTGACAGAAAATAGTAAGAGATGAGTGCGTCTCATTGTTAACCAGAAGATTGGTGGTTTGAGCCCACTCAGGGAAGGCTGTGGACAGGATTCTTGCATCGCAGCGGGGTTGAACCTCAGGGTTCCGTCCAACTCTACAATTGTTGTTGTTGTTTAGTCGTTTAGTCGTGTCCGACTCTTCGTGACCCCATGGACCAGAGCACGCCAGGCACTTCTGTCTTCCACTGCCTCCCACAGTTTGCTCAAACTCATGCTGGTAGCTTCGAGAACACTGTCCAACCATCTCATCCTCTGTCGTCCCCTTCTCCTTGTGCCCTCCATCTTTCCTAACATCAGGGTCTTTTCCAGGGAGTCTTCTCTTCTCATGAGGTGGCCAAAGTATTGGAGCCTCAGCTTCAGGATCTGTCCTTCCAGTGAGCACTCAGGGCTGATTTCCTTCAGAATGGATAGGTTGGATCTTCGTGCAGTCCATGGGACTCTCAAGAGTCTCCTCCAGCATCATAATTCAAAAGCATCAATTCTTCTGCGATCAGCCTTCTTTATGGTCCAGCTCTCACTTCCATACATCACTACTGGGAAAACCATAACTTTAACGGTACGGACCTTTGATTCTAATAAGTGAAACATAATAAATGAGCATCTGCAGCTGTGAATGTGCCTGGCTTGGTTGCTCCCTGGTGATAATATGTTTTTAAAAATAAGAAAAAAGGAAGCTGCAGTGACCATGTAGGCTCTAGTGGGCCCCAAGATGTCTGTCTCAGCTTAACACCAGGCCTCTTTGATGCTGCCATCTTCTTGTTCTTTGGCTGGTCATGGGGTGTGTAATGAGCTGATGGGCCCTGGACTTTGACCACCAAGTGCTGCTCCATCTGCAGAACTGCTGTAACATACAGCAAATAGATTTCACCATTTGTTTAAACAGTCTGGTGCTTTATTCATTTGCTTTCATTTTCTGCATTTGTCTATATGCTTCCTTTATTTATTCACTGTTTTAAACTTGTTGTCTCTTGGCTGCCCTAGGAACCTAATTCATCATATTAATTTGCCAAGTCCTGAACAAATTAGGCTCTTGCTCAACCTACGTATCCCCAAATGCCCAACCACTTAGGTCTTGGAGCTGCGGTGGAAAGGAAAGATGAATTCACCTACGCAGGAAAGAACGGGGTTGCTTGTACAATGAGAGAAAGGGGCCTTGAGAATGAGCGAGTGCAGCATGTTACCCTTTGCTGGTTAGCGCCAGACCACACGGCAGGAAAAGGAAGTTGTGGCTGAACAGTGTTTCAACTGACAGAACTTTTGAAGACCAGTTCCGGACAGAAAAGGCCAGGGAGTGGAGAGGAGGAGGAGGAAGTCTGAAAAGCATCTCCAATGCTCACAGTTAAGGCAAAAGCAGTCGGATGAACTACTGATAGTGAGGTCATCCTGCACAGGAAGGATGTTGCCGAGAAAATAAGCAGGCATCAGGTGGGACTCCTCCAAGATTCGCATCGTCTTGGCATCTGAGGCAAAAAGGCTTCAGCCTTCCTTCACAAGCAATCTCCTCTGCGAATGGGCTCCATTGTAACCTCTGCTAGCAAAAGCAGTGTGCATCATTCTAAGATGGCACAAGCAGGCAGTGTCCTAGAGGAGTAGCATAGGCAGCAATTCATCCAATGCAGTTTGTGCAATGGTAGAAAAATGGCTCTGTTGCAATATAGATATGTGAACTGGAGAGCAGCATTGATGCATAAGGAGGAGCATGCACAGAATCAGGCAAGGAGCCCCACCACACACACTTTTGACATGGCACATTCGTTAAAAGTGCATACCAAAAATGTGTTCACAAAGAGAAATTCACACTGAAATGCTGAGGAATATTTGTGAAAATGAATACATGTGTCCTCCCACTTATGTGTGATTGACTTGCACACAACTGCACACATGCGCAGTGACAGGAAATAATGAAATAATTCAATTCCAACCAGCCCCAAAGACACCAGAGGCATAGCAGGGCTTTGTTTATGCTTCTCAGCCTCCCCGCCCAATGGCTGACATGTGGGGTAGTGCAGCAGCAGCCACCACTTTCCCACACGTCCTCCAGCCTCCTGGCAGTCCTAGAGCTTCGATTCTAGTTGTGGGAATTTTTGGATACAGTGCTTTTGTTATGGATTGGAGAGAGAGAAGCAGGGAGGGCATTTAAAGGGTGTTAAGGGGGTGCTCACCACTTTTGGAAATTTCATTTAGGTGCACAGGCACCCGGAACGTATGCCCCATGCAAATGGGGTATCAGCTGTAAATTTCAGATTGTTGCAGAAATGTGGAAAACTGAATTTAAGACTGGGGAAATGAGAAAAGGAGAGACCTGAAATGGACAGATCCTTCCAGAATTGGAAGTGGCGAGTCTTGTTGCACTCATGTCCCGACTGCGAGCTTCCAGTAGGCATCTGGTTGGCCGCTGTGACTAGATGGATCACCCCCCTGACCCAACATGTTCTTATGCTGGTTTCCACAATTTTAACAGCCCCAGTTTGAACTGGGGCATCTCCTCCCACCACCTCGCCCTCACATACCAATTTCCTTGGCCAGCGCAAGGCCTTGTGGGTACGTAATGGGTGCCAACTTCTTCTCTTTGAGCTTCTCTATGGTGTCCTTGTCATCTCGGAGATCCAGCTTTGTGCCCACGAGGATCATGGGAGTGCTAGGGCAGTGATGCCGTACTTCAGGGAACCACTAGAAGAAAGTTCAAGATTTGAAGTGGGAAGAGTGAGGTGAGAAATGAAAGAAAGAAAGAAAGAAAGAAAGAAAGAAAGAAAGAAAGAAAGAAAGAAAGAAAGAAAGAAACTGGGCTACATTTTGTATCATTGTAGTCTATCTAGCAAACACTTTACAGACGATAAGAATTGTCTCGCTGGATCAAAACAAATCTAATATTACCACCTTTGCCAAGGTGGAACCTTCCAGATGTTTGGGAGTTGCAGTACAAAACATCTGGATGGCACTAGCTTGGCAAGGGCTGACTCACACCATCCCTATTCATAATAGGGGAATCTTTTAAGAAAAATTTAATTTTAAAGCAGCCTGGGGCTCTGATTTCGATATGTGTGCTGGAGATGAGGAGTTTGATCTTTTCTCGTGTATCTTTTCCTGATCTATATTTCACCCCTATGCTGGTAATAGTGGGGAAATAAATACAGGCATCTATATTTACACACACACACACACACCAGATCCAGCAAATAGTATCTTTGGGATGTGGGTGGGGAGTAAATTTAAACTGGAAAAGTGGCACAGGAGGAAACAGTTAAGCATCGCCTCCCCAATGCTGCTGCTCTGATGAAACCCAGACCTCTCCACAACTGTTTCTGAAGCACAACCAGTCAATAACCAGGAGGTTTCATCATGGAACTCTTGTATCACATATTTTTTTGCCTAGGGCCAGCTCCAGGTTTGCGTCGTGCCCACACCTTCCATTCATCATGCTGCTGCCCTCTACCCATTTGTAACAGGCAGCCCCTGTTCCACTTTTGTATCCTCCCACTCCTCCATCCTGTTAAAGTCCATTTTCTGCAGGCAGGTGTGTGTGAGGAAGCCACCCACAGAGAGGAAGAGAAACAGTGGGGAGGTGTGGACAGAGGAGAAAGTGGAAGCGACACTGGTCCCTTGGCAGATTTCTGGCAACATCACTTGGTGCCTCTGGGATTCATTTTGTTCTTAACTATTATGATGGTACAATCTGATCTTCATAGTGGATCTTAACACTCATTATGGTACAAAGGAAAGGAGGCGGTCTTTCAAAACCTAGGCCTTGGCATTTCAATGGACCCCAGGACTAAGCCCTAGCAAATTTGTCAATTGCAAGGGATCATAGCTGTCAGGGCTGGAGTCAGAGGCAGATCAGCAATAAAGGAAGCAGAGCTCTGTTGCAGCGGCAGAGCATATGCCTGCGCTGCCCAGGGAGGATGTGCTCCCGAGGGGGGCGGGGCATGGAGGGTGCCCTCCCAGATGCAGGATTGCCACTTGGGTGCATGGAGCGGTGCACATACCCTGCAGCTGGGGGCAAAGTGAGCTGCCCATGGGGTGGAGCGAGCTGCTGATGGTGGACATTTGGCACGCCATGCGCCCATGACTACAAAGCCTCCCCTGAGCTGTCAAAATGAAGGGGGAAGGGGGGAATGTTGCCGGCAAAGCGGTGCAGCTCCCCCTTTCCCCCACTGGCTCAGGGTAAGCTTGGGAGTCACAGGCGGGTGGCGCGCCAAATGTCACCCCCTCAGTGAAGACATCTGGGGCAGCTCGCCCCCGCACCCCTTCCTCCGCCCCTGCTCTGTTGTCAATGAAGTTCACTCTTTATTCAAGGAACATGCAACTCAGCCTAGTGGTCTCAGCAACACTCTCCAGTAGGTCTAGTTCCTATGGAACAGTTGCCAGGTCCCTGCCTACCACCCTTTCTAAGGCTCCTCCTCTCCCAGATGTTTCCCAAGCAGTCTCAGACTGCATCTGTGCACCCCTGATCTCTGTTCTGCTCTTCTTGTTACTCTCCGAGTTCTTGGAGACCAGGGGAGAGGGGAGCTGGTCACAGCAGGAGAGGGAGACTTCCTCTGCTTCAGCCTCAGAGTCTGAACTGCTCCCTGTCACAGGCTCTTCCTGCTCACGAAGCCCGGTTGCCCAGGGGCAAAGAAAGGCGTCGTGACACCCGGGGCTGACGCATGCACCGTACATAGTGACACTGCACATGCGCTGTATAGTGGTTTGCTGCTGCCGCCGCTCCAACGCTGTACGGACGGTGCCAGGATCCCTCCGTTGCCACTACAGCTGCGAATGGAGGATCCTCCGTTTGCAGCTGCAGCCACGAGAAGAGGGTCCTGGAACCACCCGTACGGCATTGGAGCGGCAGCGGCAAATCGCTATACAGCACATGTGCCATGGCGCTACATGCTGCACATGTGCTGTACTTAGTGGTTTGCCGTGGGTGCCGGGATCCTCTGCTTGTGGCTACATCTGCGAGCAGAGGATCCTCCACATGTGGCTGTGGCAGCACGATGGCTGCTCGTGCTGCCGTGAGCCCCCGCGGGGTGACTTCTTGACACCCCTGCAGACATGGAATCTGCGGTACTCCACCCTCCCGCCCCCCATTGCGACACCACTGCTGTTGCCCCTTCAGCATCCAGCACCTCCACCCCATCTTCTCCCTCTGACCTCTCCTCGGTGTCCCACCACCAATCCCCTGGCTCTCGGTCTTCCTCCTCTGGGGTTTCCCTTGGGGGTTCCCTGGCTGGTGCCTCCCACTACTCCTTTTCATCCAGCCAGCTCCTGCCGAAAACATCCAGGGTCACCACGTTTTCCACACTGCAGCTGGCCCCAAGGCCAAGTATGATCAATTTCTCACATGCCCTGTGCCTCCTTCCTCAGCTGCACAAACACCAGGATGATCTCACCTTAGCACGGACATTCTCATAAGATGCGGGGCTGACTAGAGAGAAGCAGATGAGGAAGACGTCCTGTGGGCATAAAATAAAAATGGACACTTTAAAAGTCACACTGAGGGTTGGTGCTGTCTCATGTAGCAAAACACAAAACACACCAATTATTTATACAGTGCTTTGCCCAAGTACTCAAAGCATTTCAGGTACTTCATCACAGCAATCCTTAACCACCATCCTGTAAGGTGGGACACTATCATTATTTCCATATTAGCCAGTTATAAAGTGATAGGGTGAAAGCAACAACAACCCTGCAAACAGTGCATCAAACCATGCAGATCAAACTAAATAATTATAATCAGGGAAACCAATCCAAAATGAATATTAGAACCAAAGACGAATGGCAACTTAAACTGATGGAATACGCACAGCTTGCAGACCTAACTTATAGAATAAGAGAACAAGAAGAATGCACATTTAAAGAAGACTGGAAAATGTTTACTGGCTATATTGGTGAAAATTGTGTTTATTTAAAAACACTGATAGCATTAAGATAAATTCAACAGTGTAAATAAGTTTTGATGGATGTAACAATGGAATACTGAATGGATTGTTCATGTAAACTATGCAGGGGTGTATGGTATGCAAAATGAACCACGGAAGGAGAAGAAGGGAAGTCATTGATTTAAGGTTGTTTAAATGAATATTTTGAAATGTAATTTAGAAAAATGTAATAAAAATTATTAAAAAACAAAAACAAAATGAATATTAGCACACTCCAGTGTTTTTTCATTAGACTGCGAAAATTAGAGCACGATCCGATTAAGCATTTTTTTGGGTTCCATTGATTTTAATAAGCGAGTTCATTATCTGTTTCATTGAAATAAATAAACAGCACAAATAACACGCTAAACATTAGAAAAGGAAGATTGCATTGACGTACTAAACTGATTGAGCGACAGAACAAACCCCAAACTTACTAGTGCTATTTCACGAATAAGTGAAAGAGAACCTAGAAACTGAAGAAGAGTGTAGGGCAGGACATGTTCCTTCTGACACCCTAGGATAACCTTTATTAGTTACCTTTGATTCTTGTCACCATCCCACATACAGGCAGGTGAGCATCTGTTCTACATTACAGAGGACCACCCTTTGTTTGAAGGTCTATATGTTCCAAGTCCTGATGCTGCTGGACTCCAACTCCCATCAGCCCCAGCAAGCCTGACCAATGGCCAGGGATAATGGGAGCTGTAGTTCAGCAGCATCCAGATGGTAAAATGTTTCCCACACCTGACACAGAGTATTAACTTCTTTGCTCCATTTCAGGCTTTACCTGACAGTTCATCTTAGTCTATGACAGGAAGAAGAAGTGATTTTGGCCTATTGCAATTTTTCACACAGAGAAGCCACAGCTGCTTTAAATACAGTGGTACCTCGGGTTAAGTACTTAATTCGTTCTGGAGGTCCGTTCTTAACCTGAAACTGTTCTTAACCTGAAGCACCACTTTAGCTAATGGGGCCTCCCGCTGCCGCCGCGCCGCCGGAGCACGATTTCTGTTCTCACCCTGAAGCAAAGTTCTTAACCCAAGGTACTATTTCTGGGTTAGCGGAGTCTGTAACCTGAAGCGTATGTAACCTGAAGCGTATGTAACCCGAGGTACCACTATACTCGCTTTTGTTTTTCTATTTAAGTTAGAAAAGCCCTGGTCTCCTTTGTATCTGTGAGAGAGGGGGAAAGGCAGTACCAAAAAGGAAAACATAAGCCAAAGCCTACACCAGTGCTGAAAAAGATGACTTGATTTTGCAGAATAAACATAATAAGAAGTTCTATTATTTTTTGGTTCTGAAGGATAATAGTCAAATGTGATTTGTTCTTTAGAGGCAGAAGCAGTGTTGAGTGGTCCACTTCAGGCCACTGGGAAGACCCTCACACAGGTCAATCATCAATAAGGTGGTATACCAAGCATAGAGGCTGAGGTAGTTGACACTGGGAAAGTTGCTCTTTTAGGTGCTTCTGCCCTGGGCCACTTATGGCTCGGGTAGCTGACTGGCAGCCAGTGCAGTGCTTTCGGGACCAGGGATCCATGGTCCCATTGAGCTGCTGCACTTAGCAGCCTATCAGTTGCCTTCAACACTAGATGCAGCCTCCAGATTGTCTCAAAGGGCAGCCCCACACACGGTGCATTACTGTAGTCCAGCTATAGGGAGGTCACCAGAGCATGGATAACTGTGTCCAAAACTGCAGAGAAAATGCATATGAGAAAACAAGAGGAACTCACTGTCTGAGGATAGGAGAGAGGTCTCAAGCGGTCATAGTCCTCCTGGCCCGCCGTATCCCACAACCCCAGGTTTACAGGTTTGCTATCAACCATTACATTGGCAGAGTAGTTATCAAATCTGTAAAAAAAAAGTAGGTGTCAGTTCCTTAAAGCTTACAGTTAACAGGGTTGCCATATTTCAAAAAGTGGAAATCCGGACACAAAAGTTGTTCAGTTGTTGTTTTTGGCAAAGTCGAGCTTTTGCCAGTTTCTACCCGGACACTGCTTCCAGCTACAGTAACATGAGCTGTTTCGAAGGGGAGGATCTTTGCCCATTTTAAGACAAATTTAGAAAGTTCACAGGAGGAACACATCTCAGCCTACCCCTTCTTCACCCAGTCACATGTGTCCCACAGAAAGCCTCTCCAGTGGGAATGGGTTTATGGGGTGGCTGTGGCGAGGGGGATGGGGAATTGCTTAATATTGGGCATGGGAGAATGTGTGCAAACTGTCATGATATAGTTTAGACATTAGGTGGCACAGAAATTTATTGTATCTGGGTGGAGTCAGGCGTTTCCTGTTACTGTTCTTTTTCGTTTAAGGGAGAGAGGCAATATAGTTCAAGTTCTGGCTTGCTGACAAATGCAACCTCATAGGTTTTACATGACAGATCCTAAATAAGTAAATTTAAGGAAGTTAATGGCAGGAAAGTTTCGCACCTCCACCTCTCTTTTAACGCACATTGGGAGAAAATATAACTACAGCCCTCTATAAACCTCTTAACTTTCTGTGGTTGCTACTTAGGGGACACGTGACATTTCATTCCAACATGTAACCTTTGTAGTGATATCACAGCATGCCTGTGCATCACAACAGTGGCCTGCTTTTTGTTTTTTGAAATTAATAATTGGTTAATTTTTACATGATCACGATCTGGATCAAGTTGAATTATTGTGCTTTTATAAGGGATAAAGCAATACAGCTTCTGCCTTGGAAATCAGTTGAATGGATTCCATTTCAACCTGCAAAGAGAGCCTTTTATATCCCAGCAGGCAACAATAGCACCTAGGGTGACTCAAAAGTATCTCTCAACTACTCTGCCTGTTCTGACTCAAGTGGTAAAATTCAGGGCTGCACCACTTCAGATTGGAGGGGTGTTTATGTGTCAAAGCTTTAATCATCTCCCATATAAGTAACTCCCTGCATGTATACTAAGCCTAAACGAAACCTTTTTCAGTCAGAGGGCAACATGCCAGTGATGGATGGGGCCAGAGACAAAAGTGGGTGGAGCAATACACGACAATGTTACCTTTGCACAGCTAGCTAATTTCTACACAGATGTTTCTGAATTATCAGGGTTCAAGGACACATACCAGTCAGGCGAAAACACACAAGGAGAAGGGGAGTCTCCCAGGGAGTCTCCCAAAGGCCAAGATAGAGAAGTCTTGGAAGCCTGAGCTTCCAAACACCTTCTCTACACTAAACCAATACACAAATGAAGCATGAGTGGACACGGAGGGGGATGTTACTCCAGCCAGGAGGACTTCCTGTCACACCTGTTCTGGAGCTTCCTCCCCCTGCATGTGACCAGGTGCATGACCCTGGGAGACCCCAAAAGAGGCTAGTCATGCAGCCATCTTCCCTTCTCCTCCTTTTGATGCTCTTGATGCTTTTTGCTGTCTGCTGGCTCTCAGCCAGCAGCACATGGGCTCATTCCTCACAAGAGGAATCCACACCTTTCTCTGTATCTGTAACTACAAGCTAAAGCCTGCCTTCAGGATCATATTGTGAACTGAATGTAAGTAAACTTCTCATTACTTTTAAAAGAAGACTGTTGTATCTTTATTGCTTTTAAGAGGGAATAAAGGGGAATTTACCAGGAACAAATCCAATCTGGACAAGCTAGACCCGATTGCTTAACTCAAGAGATTCTAACAAATCTACCAATTAGCTTCCTGCTATGTACAAGGGAAGGTGCGCTGCTATTTGCTCACTAGCTTGAGTGAGGAAAGATAATATTTAATCAATATATCCTCTCCTACTATCCACAACATTCCCACAGATACTGCATTTACATGAGCTGTGGGGACTTGCTACCTTCTTATTTTCTCTCTACAGGCCAAAGACTTGGTGGAGAAACAAAAATAAGCTTTATCTCAATTCTTCAAAAGCTCAAGGTCCACAGCCTACAGATCCTTTGCCTCTGAGCTGCACCATACTCACACGGTAGGGATGTATTCTCCTGGGAAGGCATTTGTGGTGTAGCTGATCAGGAGGCAGGTTTTACCCACAGCTCTGTAGAAAAGGGGAAAGAAGCACATAGCACATATTATTCCAGTTTCTGCAGTAATATGCCTGCTAACGAAGCAGAGCAGGAAGTACAGACAGTAGAAAAAGGGGGAGCCTCCCTCCAAGGGCCCCTTCTAATCCCAAGGTAATGAAAAGCTGGAACGCAAGAAAAGGTGTCTCTTTCATTCATCTATTCATTCATTAAATCCACCTTCCCATTTAACAACAGCAACAACAACAACAACAACTCAGAGCAGCTGGTATGTTTTCAGACCAGTTGAAATACACAGCAATAGTAAAATAAAAATAATTTAAATGATTTTTAAAACTCTCAATAATTTAAAAGCTGGGATAGTTGGATACGTTTTGAGGGGACTTTATAAATGGGGAAAGGGTTGGTGGAATGGGGTTTCAATCTGCTACGAATCTCGAGCAGTGAAAAAGATTAGTGGGTGTGCCTGGGGATATTCTGTGACATTGTGGGTGCCACTACTGAAAATACCCTGCTCTACATATTTACAGATTGTGCCTCTCTAAAAGAAGGTATATAGAGCAGGACATCACATGGGATGGTGACATGGTTCATACAAGATTTTAACAGGGCGATCCTATACATGTCTACTCTGAAACAAGTGTCATTGAGTTCAACGGGTCTTTCTCACAGGTAAGTGGGTATAGGATTGTAACCTAAACTACTACCTGAACCCAATGAAGCTCAGGTGAGCTCTCAACAATGGCCAAAATGGGAAGTTGTTTTTGAAGAGTAGGATAGAATAGGGCTCTGTGCCTGGCCTCATGCTGCCCACACGACATTGGGTGGGGAGGAGGAGGAGGCAGAGTAGGGACACAGGATTTGGGAGGGGGCAGCCCCCTCCTTGAAAATTTGGGAGAGCCTGAAGACCCCTCAGCCCCCACTACCTGGTGCATCTGCCAGATCTTTTTAGTTGGAGATTGAATATGTAATCTAGTTCATACACGTACTTGCCCTACTGAACTGCTCAAGAGAACGGTGCTTTCTGTTTTCTAAAATTTGCATGCATATGTGAGAAAGAGAGCTTAAGGACTTCCTCTTTGGGGTATTTTTAAGAGGAAGGGACTAGTAAAGGGCAGGGAGTGGGAAAGTCTCTTTGTCTGCTGCTGGCCCAGGTGACAACCTTATCCAGAACTCCTGGCATTGCAATATGTGCCACTCTCTTGATGTTGCATTCGAAACTTCTCTTCAAGCTTCTCTCCTCCTCTCTAACTGTCCATAGTGCTACTTAGCAGATACGTGCACAGATCCTATCCAAGATGCAAGAAACTAAATCTGCAGTCCAAGGAAGTGGAGGGATGGGGGAGAAATGGGATTGAGTTTGCTTTTAAAGGGAAGCCTATCAAATTGGGACTTTCCAGAACAATGTGTGAATGAAAACCTAAAGGCATATTTCAAAATTCACACTTCTCTGAATTTTGCATTGTAGTTCTCCAGCCAGTTAATGTGCACCAAAATGCATATTCTGGGGCAAAGCGTGTATAAAAATGTGTTCATTAGAAAATAACATGCAAAAATGTGTTGCATTAGGGGAAACTGACACCCCCCAAAAATGTGTGCATTAGCAGAAATTGCCTTCAAAAATGTGTGCATTAGAAGAAATTCTTATTAAAATGTTGATTATAAGTTCCTTGTGCAATTTTTTTAATGATGTGGAAATGTGGAGAAGTGAATTTAAGATTGCAAAAAATGGGAAACCAGAACCTGACAGATTTGTACATTCCTAAACTGAGTCGGGCTTTCATCTAAGAAAACATGCATAGGATCGGGCTGCAAACCTCAGACATAGAGAAGTTGAAAGCTTGTATGGAGCTAGCTTCTGTTTGTGGAAAATAATATGTTTTTGAGTCACCCAGACCACATAAGCAGAAAGGAGGTGAAGATGCTGCCCAATGAAGAAGTCTTTGTACTGCAAGCACTTTGCTGAGCTGAACCTTTTACAAACTGGAGCAGTAAAAGATGCTCTCGTTTAGTACTGCTCATTTCTCACCCCACCATCCATCATGGGGGCTTCTGACTCTGGCTCTCTCCAATCAGCAACTAGTTTTACTGGGGGAGTACTTAGAAAAAGGAAGAGGTGTGGGTCAGGCCAAAGGCCTAACTCCACCTGCACATGTCTACTGTTGCATGGTGGGAAGCCCACAATCCATCTGGCTCCCCATGTTTTCACCTCTCACTTGGAAACTGTTGGGCCAGGTGGTATTCCCCCAGAGGCCCACATTTAGCCCTTGCCCCTCCAGCTGCTGGCCCAATTGCTGATTGTTAGCAACACCAGGAGGTGATTCTTCTGGTTACACCTTTAAGGGTCACATAGGTGCCTTATACACAATAGAAACTCTTAGTGCCATAGGCTGCCACGGTGCAAAGGCCTCCGCTTTCCCATGTAAGCTTTTGCCTGTGGATGGTCACATGCATATTCTCTCTTGAGAACCTTTAGGGGTGTCCATATGCTGCATTCAACCTGCATGTACAACCGGTGTACATAAATAATTGAGCTGTACACTCATACAGTGATCCACATGTAACATTCAATAAGTGCCCATTCTATGTACCCGGTAACCTAAGCTGCACAAATCAAGAGCTATACACTTTCACACAAGCACTCATTGTACGTGTGTTGAGGCAGATCGGTGTAATGTGTGAACAAGCCTAATGGAATGTAGACGGTTGGTCCATCTAGCTCAACCTTGTCTACACTGACTGGCTGTGATGCTCCAGGGTTTCAGGAAGGGAACATTCCCAACCATACCTGGAGTTGCAAAGCAGATATTCTACCACTGAGCTGTGGCTCTTCTTCCAAACGTGTTTCAGATTAATCAGTCTTCTCAGCACAGCAGGGAAAGATCCCAGGGAAGGATTCAGAAAGCAATGTGTGTGTGGTGCATTTAGATATAATGCAGAGAAAGCATGGCCTAAATGCAGGGTTGCCAATACAAGGGCCACATCTTCACTTGCAATTCATTTCAGAGATGACTCTGCTGTCCCACCCTTCAAACCCACCAACCCATAGAATTCAACTGTTTCTGGATATGCTGTCAGAAAGACCAGGGAAGTTCTTCAATCATTCCCACAGAAATCAGACCCCACAAGCAACACCATAAAATGCAACACAGAAATAACACACTCTGTATCCAAGTCAGAATTTATCAAAAAGCACCTTCTTCTTATGCAACATATTGAAATGGGGGTGGGAAACCTGTGGCCCTCTAAGATGTTGCTGGACTCCCATCATCCCTGACCACTGGCCATTCTAGCTGGGACTGATGGACCATTGCTCACACTAGCTGGAGCCCCACGATATCTGACAGGGCCACAAGTCGCCCACTCCTGGCCTAAGGCGTGCTCTTCCCCCACCCTTGATTGCTCTTGAAGCAAGTCACAGTTCCTTCCTGTGCTTGCGTGGCCTCTCTGAAAGACACAGAGAGAGAAGCTGTCAGCTCTGGGGCCTCGGAGCAAGGAAGGATCTACTCCAAGGAAGAGTCACGCCTTCCCTCACTCTCCCCTGTCCCCTCAAGCAAATGGTACATACCCATCTCCAACCACCACACACTTGATGGCTTGCATGGCTGTGGCCTAGCAGACTTATGGAGTTCCGTTGAGTCCCCCGGTCAGATCTAACGGCTTGCAAGCGATGATGGCGGAAAGCCTCCGGCAGTTATGTCAAAACGGAAGCTGAATTGAACAGCAGATTGTGGGTTAGGAAGGAAAGGGAAGAGAGGCTGTTTCTCAACCCGCCTACTGGTCCCTTCCCCCCACCAGGCAGCCAGGGAGGGGCATGTGCAAGCATGCCATTTCAAGAGATATTTTCTATCTTTGCTTGCCCCATATGGCTAGCCATTTCCTCTCATCACACTCTGTGACTCCAGGCTTTGGACTTGTAGGGGAAGCTACTTGTGTAGCTTCCAAACATCCAGAAGAGCAGATGGAGGGATGGGAGAAGCACAGAAGGGGAGCCTCTTCTCTTTCGTAGCATTCCTAGTTTAGGAGAAAATATCTGGGTGAGGAATGGATTGGGCTCATGCTGTAGCTCTTTCCAACCCCCTGGTGAAGAAAGAGAGAAGCTGCTTTCTTTCAATGGGGAATGAAGGGTTTCCATGTTTAATAAGACACTGACAAAGTTTCAGGTTGCCTCCGATATTTTGCCGGAGGGATTCAAGAGCACACCGGAAATTTAGGTTTGTGCAATTAAAGTGGATTAAAGCGCTCTGTCATCCGAGTGCAATCGACGAAATCAACTTTCTGCCGTTAGACCTAAGGCTCAATAAAGACCAAACACTGTCTAAGCTTTGTGTAAGCAAGCAAGTCTGAATGGATGCTCATTAAAGAGATCACCTGGAGGATGAAATCAACACCTCCCAAAAGAAAAGGGGCCTCCTATAATTGAGCCATAAATCTTTCAATCACTCAGTTTATGTCTATTCTTTGACGCACAGGAAACCACAGGAGGGGGGCTCTTGTGCTTGTGTCCTGCTGGAGGGTTTCCCGCAAGCATCTCAGTGGCCACTGTGAGAACAGGATGCTGGACCAGATGGACCACTGGCCTGATCCAGCAGCCTCTTGTGTTCTTATAAGTAATGTGGCCCAAGAAGAGAGTGTGTGCCCACTCACTGTGTGCCCCTTTAAAAGCAGATTGGTGTGTTTTAATGAAGGGTGAATAGTCCATGTGATCATTGCAGCTATCACTTGACAAATTACAGCTTTCATTAGTCGCCACTCTGCTCCGCTAACAAGCACACAATTAATTACTGCCATTGCCTGTACCAAGTCATTACGAAACAATGGGGAGCAGTGCGGCACCTTAGTGATCTGTCATGTGTCAGCTACTGAACCATAGTGAGGTAATTTAGCTCCTGTGGAGGGGCAACTGGATCATGTCCTTAGATGCTATGAGGCTGGCATGGTTTCCCACAGTATTCTCGGGCTTTCAGAAGAAGGGATTGTGACAACAGTGATCACACAACTCAAAAGATAGTTGCTAAAATACCATCAATATGTCTTCCCATTCCATCTCCATCTCTTCTTTCTGCAGGACCTTCTTCCAGAGCACTTTCAAGATCTCTCCTCTGCAAATTTTCCCCCACTCTGCTGTCATGGGGTATCACCCATAGTGGTGCAATTTGGTCATTTCAGATTTGGGACATAGTGGTCTCATTACAAGCTACTGTGTATCAAGGATGGACAAATTCAATACATCCTTGTGCAAATTTCAGTTTCTCTCAGTTTCTCATTTTTTCTTTCATAAAAAAATCATTTTTATTTGATTTTACAAATACAAAATTATAACAAACCAAATGCATATCCATATATAATGATTACTCTGAATCTCCCAACTCCCCTCCACCCCCTCCGTGGGTCTTGTTCTCAACATTTATAACTGCATATTATTCCATAATCTATATTGTATATCAGTTCATATTACCCATGGTATTTGTTACATTACAAATGCAATTAAAATCCTGCTAATATACTTGGAAGAGCAGACCTAAACAAATGAGTTTCTATATTACATTGCCAATCAGACTTTACAGTCCACCATATTGTCTTTGATGATCGTTCTAAGTTTTGGGGCTGCAACCGTGAATTTTGCAACTTTGTCTGTCATGAACCTATTGGTGCAGACAGCAAATACGTGATCTTCACTTGATCATCCACATCGAATGGCAGATTTTTTTTTTAAAAAAGCCATTGCCTGATGACCAGCACAAAGCCTTCAGTTTTCTTCTTACCTTCTTCTCTGTCCAGCCAGGGGCGCTGTTGCCCAGGGTTCTCTGTCCTGTACATAAGAAGCAAGTGGAGAAAGGGTGGTGCTGTTTTCTATTTCTCAGCCTTGCTGTTTGAGGAAGAAGATGCCAAAAGGAAGTGGAAGAGGAATTATTGACATGCTGACGCCGCTTGGCTGTGCCTTGTGACCCAGAGGAAACAAATGTGGTAGGAAAGACAGGACTTCAGTGCTCATGGCCTGTCTTCAGTCTCCACTCATGATCAGAGAGGCTTCCCAAATGATGAAAATATGCCTCAACACATCATTTCATTCCCATAGACCAGTGTCCAAACTTTTTTCAAAGAGGGCCAGATTTGATGAAGTGAAGGGCAGTGAGGGCCGACCAAAGGGCAGACCAAAGTTGTTAACCTTTTTTTATTTTAGGATTGAAGTTGTTGAGCTTTTTTATGCTTTTGCCCCAAAGTTGTTGGAGTGAGATTAAGGGGAAAGGCATAAACTACACAAATCCTACAAAGAATCCGATTGCATTATGGCTCCAAACTAGGGCCACTATGGATAATATTGAGGCAACAGACCACAATTTATATTGCAATTGCATGGTAGTCGCCTATACAGAAGTCAGAACAGTGTCAGGTTAGGATCTTTGTGCTTTGCACACACTCTCAATTCCCCAGAGTCCCCCTTTTGGCTTCCTGCTTTGTTGAAGAAGCAGAAGTGAGTTATGCACATTGTCTTTAATGGGCAGCACTGGGAAACAGAAACTGTGTGCACATTGGGGCATTAATGCATCCTTGGGCCTCTTTTTCCATATGCACTTTGTTGCACTTTCCCCCATGCATGAGCACTTCTAATTTTATGCCTCCCAAATCTATCTCGAAGTTTTCTTTCTAAACCATGGGCAGCACTTTATGGGATGTATTTGTAAAGTGTGCTGTTGTCCTCTCCTCTCCATTACTACTTTCCCACCTTCAGTAGTTCTGGAAACGTGAGGTGCACTGTGGTGTGCTTATTTATCTTTGCACATTATTATTATTATTATTATTATTATTATTATTATTAACCTGCCCTTCACCATAAGCCCCTAGAGAGCATGTGTGGCATGGTGATTAGAATGTCAGACTAGGACCTGGAAACCAGGGTTCAAATCCCTATTTGGCCATGATGCTCATTGGGTGACCTTGGGCCAGTCACTGCCTCTCAGCCTTATCTACTTCATAGGGTTGTTGTGAGGATAAAATCAGGCAGACAGGACTACAGTGGTACCTCAGGTTACAGACGCTTCAGGTTACAGATTCCGCTAACCCAGAAATAGTACCTCGGGTTAAGAACTTTGCTTCAGGATGAGAACAGAAATCGCGCAGCGGCAGTGCAGTAGCAGTGGGAGGCCCCATTAGCTAAAATGGTACCTCAGGTTAAGAACAGTTTCAGGTTAAGAACGGACCTCCGGCTTGTTTATTTTTTGCTCTGTTACTCTGTATGGTTTTTCTTTGTTTCTGTGATTTTAAATCTGGAATAAATATTATTTTAAAAAAAAAAAAAGAACGGACCTCCGGAACGAATTAAGTTCTTAACCCGAGGTACCACTGCATGTATGTCATCTTGAGCTCCTTGGAGGAAAGGTGGGGTACAAATGAAACAAACAAACAAACAAACAAACAAACAAACAAACACATAAATTACAATTTTAAAAAGAGTTCAGAACATCTTACACAGGTGCACTTAATTAAAAATGTTTTGTCCTTGGAATTGTGCAAAAAGTAACTTCAGACAAAGCAAACATTTCAAGCCTGTTTCATGGTGGGCAGAATGGCCATTTAAAATAAATAAATACAGTTGTGTTTTCGCATGTTCTGGCTTTACATGATTTTCAAAAATAAACATACAGCATTTTCAAAAAAAAATAATAAACAAACATGAGCATGTTGCATCTGGCCAAGCCCTGTGCCAGAATGCCAGGGTACAGAACGGCAATGGGTATCTGTAATACCCAGACCAGAACTTGAGGTAGAGTAGAAAATATGCAGTATGTTTCACACATATATACATATGGCTAAGGAAAGATGAGGAGATCAATTTTGGGGTGAGGGAATAAATTAGTTTGTTCCTTTCCCTTTCCCTTTTTATTTCACACCTCCTGCAGCTGCTGATTCTTCCTGAAAGGCCTTTTAATATCTATATCCATATCGCTGTTTTGTGCAAGAGCAGTTCTATACAAAACAGCTTTAAAATAAAAATAGAATAAAATTACCATGTATGTGCCTTCAGCAACTACTGGTGGAAACAGGGACACTGTCAACTGCATCCTTTTCTTTCCACTGATGAAAACAAGATAGTTCAGGTGTGCTCAGGCAAGGAGCAAACGGAAGTATGAAGTGTGGCAGTGGACAGCACCCACCAAAACATCACCACACACATGAACCCCTGCCTCCCACCCACACAATGCGTTTTATTGCATCCACAACTGGGTACCTTGCAATTTTATATTGGATTTTCTTCCCTTATCAGATTAACCATAGATGGAGGAAATCAAACTTAATTGGGGAGAAAGTGTGGACTTCCACTTGAACGAGGAAGATTCTGTTCAGCTTCAAACCCACATTAAACCCTCGTGTGAACAAGCCCAGAGATCCTGGATGCAAAGAACTGAAAAACTTGCTTCCTTTTTATTTACTCAGTTGATTTGCTGTGTGGAGCCTGAGGACTAAAAAACAGATGGGGATACATTTGCAGCACCAAATCATCCTCTTAATAAGCAAATCCTTTTTGCACTTCCAAGTTCCCTTTTCCTTCTCAGAGCATGCGGGGTAAAACAGCCATCACAGAACTGCTCGGTCCTAGACTGCATGACAGCTCAGGCCACAAAATCCCATTTTCCTCAGCGGGGCTGTCATTTTGTCTGTAAACACCTTGAGAGCTGTTGCATTGCTGCACATCTGCAGCTCAAGACCCTTTTCAGCAAGAATGGAACGGCTGCTCGTGGCAGCAATACTGTGGCTTTTCTTTCAGGAAACAACCAAAGAGCATTTGCACTCGTTTCTGAACCAGGACCACGTGGCTTCCTCTGTCAATCTGAACCCACAAGGAGGAGGAACCAGAGAGAAAGAAAGGGGGTGGAGTCACAGATGAGTGCAGTCCTCCTGGGCTGCTCCTACATTTTAGTTACTGTTCCTCTGAAGTCACTTTAATTCCGAAGAAGCACAAAGGGAAGAGAAACCCACACAGCTGTACCAGAGTTGGGAGGATTGTCTTCTCAGCCCGGCTTCAGAATGGATGCACATCCCACCAGTAAGTCAACTCTTTAGAAAATGGGGGCCATGTCTTTATTCTGCCTCCAAGTTATACATGCTGTGGGGATCCAGAAGGGTCCGCCTCATAGGATCATTGCCAGCCTAAACCAGTTATTGAAAAGAAACGAGACAACAGGGATCTCTTGGGCAAGATGTTGAGGTTTGCCAGTCTGGTCTGAAGGATTTATTTCTTTCACTTCCACCCTCCCAAAGCCACCTGTGACTGAAAGAGGTCTGGCTCATGTGTTCTTTCTGCATTTGATGCTTTACAGCTACATGTGAATGGAGGGATACCAGGGCCGGCTCTACCATTAGGGAGAAGGAGGTGGCTGCTTCAGGCAGTGGATGCTGGGAGGCTGGGAGTGGCAGCAAGGGCATTGGACGACAGAGCTCCCTGTGCCACACAGCCTGTCTGGTGTGCCCCTAAACTAGCCTGTGAAGGTGCAGTGGAGGATGCTGCCCTGTGGCCAGTGTTGACTCAGGATTCAAGCGCCACCAGTTTCCTTGGTTTCTGGATGTGGGATAGGAAGGGTGTCCACCTTCTCCTATATCTCAGCATTCCAGTGGTGTTGGTCCACAAAGATGTTGTTGGGAGACAGCCAGATTTCACCCTGTGCTTTTTATTTTATGCCATCCAAAGGAAAGCTTTCATATTCTTTGAAGTGTGCTTACAAGTACACCTATTCTGGCTCAGATTGTGGATGAGCTTCCCCAGTTTGCTGACCTTTCTGCATAACTTTCAGATTGGGTTGAGCAGACCCAGCACCTTGGGGGTGAAGGGAAAGGATGTGTGCCAAATGACCTAGAGAAGTACATTTGGTTAAGGGGAAAGACTGGAAGAAGGGGCGATCCAAACTGGGCAAGCAGAGGTGCCCGCAGGATTTTTCCTGGGGAGGCAGAAGAAAAACACTGAAAGGAGCGATCAGGTTAGTTTTCCAGGGAAGGTTGTGTGGCTAATATTGCCTGTACGTTTTGCCTCAAACCTCAGGTTCTACAATTGGTAAAAACTTATTTTAATTAAAAAAACACACACAACTAATGTTGGGAATCTGGGTTTCATGATTTATCTGGGGCGGGGTGGGGACTGTTCCATTGCTCCCCAATTGTGGATCCCTATGTGTGAAAATGCTGTTCGTGTCAATGGTCTTTACATGGGAGTTTTGAGACCTCCACTGCATTCTCCATTGTATCCTCCATTGCATCTGAGAAACAATAGGAAAATTTGGGACAGTCAAGTGTATAGGGCAGAAAGGGTTTGCTGAAGGCAGGAAATGAAGGGTGGTATTCAAGTAAGGGTTACTCAGAGTAGACCCGTTGAAATAAATAAACATGGTTATGTTAGGTCCATTAATTTTAGTGTGTCTAATCTGAGTAAAACTTAGTTGGATACCATCTGAAGTAGGGGTTGTATTCAGCTAGGAAGCCTCTGCCCATTTCAGTTTTCTCAGCTTCTCATTTTCCCAGACTTAAATTCAGTTCTCCATTTTTGAAGCAATTTGCAAAAAAAAAAAAGAAAGAAAGAAAAGAAAAGAAAAGAAAAGGAAAAAGAATCCTCACAAAAATCCACCAGCAAGATTTCTCTTAAACACATTTTATATGCAAGCATTTTCCTCTCATATAATGCATTTTGTATGCTGTTTTGACTAATTTATTCCTTGTCATCCACATGTTCTCCCAAAATGTGCATTTTTGCAAACCTTGTTTGGTTGGAGAACTGCCTTGCAAACTTCAGATAAGTGCGCATTCGGAAGGATAGCTGCGTTATGGTTCACGTGTTGCTTCAGAAAGTGCAGATTTGATAGATTAGGTTTTAAATGAATATTGAATCAAATTTCCCCTCAATCCCTACTCACCATAGACCTGTTGGATTGTATCTATCTATTTATTTATTAAAATTTATACCCCTTGATTGGAAAAAAAATCCTCAAAACAGTTTACTAAAATCGTTAGTCCAACTCAGGAGTAGACCTGTTGAAAATAATAGACCTAAGTTTCTCATGTTCATTAATTTAAATGGATCTGTTCTGAGTAGTACTGGATCCAACCGAATCTGCTTTCCTATTAATTATTTTCCTTGAAAACTTTCTGCAATTGTGGCATGTAAGCTGAGGGGACACTCTGCTTCTCTCCCAGCTGTGGCAGCCCCACCAGTTGCCAGAGCCCAGAGAGGCAGAATGGGGCAGTGGTGAGGGTGAAGGAAGCCACTGGGCTGGTGGCATCCCACCTCAGTCGCCATGTTTTAACTCTCTCCAGGGGGCTCAGAGCCTCTCCATGGTGAACCCAGCTCTTTCGGCATATGTCAGCTGTACCTTATCATTGTTTCAAAAACGTGTAGGTGTGCTTTTAGCTACCTTTTTATCCAGGTGATAAACTCTTAGAGCATGTTGTTATTTAGATTTTGTGACGTTAGTCTGTTTTTATTGACTGTTGATTTATTTTAAGTGTTTTTTTCTTGAAGACTATTAAGTTTTACGGCAGCGGCTTAGGCAATGAGGAATTTATCACTTAAGGTGGAACACAAACAAAAACCTCTTTTGGGGTGTAGGCAAGGGAAATAAACCATGTGGGTCTTCAAACTGTGGCAACTCTTAGGCACTGAGGTGGCTGGTGCCCATTGGGCCTAGTAGGGCAGAAGGAAGGAGCCCATAATCTCGGCGGCCATTTTCGGTGCTCCTCTTGCTCCCACCCAAAAGAGTTTTTTCAGGGGCACATGAGATCTCATCCCCAAATAAACTCTTTTTCGGGGCAACAGTGAGACGCAGGTCAAGTGACTCACACAGGACTGTGTCCCAGAATACACATGTCTCAGTTTTGCACTGGGAAAAGTTGGGAGGTTTGGGAGCGAGAGTAGGTGGAGCCAAAGCCAATGACAGACAGAGCCAACTAATTCTAGTTTTGTGCTCCATCCTTCCCCCTACTAAGGCAACACTGAGGCCTAAGGAGGAGAATGCTGACAGGAGGTACCATCCCTTGGACTAGCAGTTGGCATGAGGGCAGATCAAGGTTGGTGGGGCATTTGCCCTAATGGTGGCCCATTTGCCCTAATGGACTAGCCTCCACCTGTCAGAGTTTGGGAAAGGTGCTCTCTCAATATATAAAATTTATTTCTACAATTCATTACCCATCATTCTGTCAGGGATACATAAACATTTAGCTTGGCTTCTGTTTTAGATTCCTACCTCTTGGACGTGGACCAGGCAGACAGTTGACACCTGCCTTTGCTATCACATATCACAAATAAATTGTATCCTAACGGGCTGGAATGTTGGAAGTGGAGAAAGTTCACCAAGACAGACAAGGGTCCATGACAAGATCCTCAGGGCCTTCTGAAAAATGAGCAAGGAACATGTGCCTACTTTCCCCTCTTCCCAACCATCCCAAAGCATCTATAGCTAATCACAGCTAGATGGATGGGGGGAGATTTGTCTCCTTGTGGAAGTAGGCCAACTGTGATCCTTCCCCTCGCAAGGCCCCATGTTCTCTTTTGCTGTACATAGGGTAGTCATGGTGGCTTCCAAATGGGATGCTGTCTTAGGTCTGGGTAACAGGAAAGCTGCCACCCACTTCCCTCCAAATCTAAGAAGACCCTTGGAAGCTCCATGTTAGAAGAGGAAATCAGGAACTGGCCAATTACTGGTTCCCAACTAAAAGAGTGGGAAGCCAAGTCTTGTTTTTCAAGGAAGATTTATCTTTGGGAGACTCCTCTGACTCCTTCTCTCTCTTCCCCCCTCCTCTAGATTTTGTTATAATAAATTTGATTTTTAAAAAATGTCACTTTATCCACTATCTGACCAAGATCTAGGTCCATAAGGTGCCTTCCAAAGTATCATCAATAAATGAAAAGGGATACATTAAACTTAGCTAGACTAGAGTAATGTACCTGTGCCTTTCCACATGGTTCAACTATCAATCTCTCTTTCAAAGGGAACTCTGGGAATTGCAGCTCTGTGGGGGGGGGGAGGTCTCCTGGCAGCTCTCAGCATCCTTAGCAAGCAACAATCCCCAGGATTCTTTGGGGAAGAAGCTTAGAATGGTATGATGCCATTTTACAAGTATAGAGCTGGTGGGCCCCTAGTCCATCTACACAACTATTAAAGGTGCAAGAAACCTGCCTACTTTCACATCTGCCCCCCCCCCCAAATTGGGACACCCTGATTGGGGTAAGGTTAAAGCATATTGCATTGTTCCAGTGGTTGTGGTGATGGTTCATTTTTTATGTGCCACATACTATCAAAACAGGAAAAAACCCCAATCATGCAACATGGTTAGAACACATTATAATTAATAACGCACCATAATTAAAATGCACAATAAAAGAATCCCATTAAGATGTAAACAACTGTAATTAAAATATTCAATAAAACAATCCCATTAAAATACGGTAATTGAATCAGGTGACTCAGAGCAGGAAATCAAGAGGATGTTTGTGTAAACAGTTGGTGTCCAGAGCCATTTAGAAAACTGCCAGCTACAGAAGTGCAGAGAGAGTGGAAAAGGAGGGGTTAGCAGTGCAGTCCTAGGCATGTCTACCCAGAGGTAAATTCCAGTGGATACAATGGGATTTACTGCAAGGTAAGTGTATTTAGGAATGCAGCTTTATTCATCCTAATTCATAACACTGAACTCGGAGTCTCTCGGTGAGATTGATTCAGGATAGATTAAAAAACAAAGGTAGTTCTTCATGCAACACCTAACTAATTTATGCAATTCATTGCCAGGAATTATGGTGACTACTAGCTTCAAGGCTTTAAAAGGGAGTTAGATGACTTCACGAAGAAGATGTATCTCAACAGCTGCTAACCATGGTGGTTAAATGGAAAATATGTGTTTATTTTCAACTGGGGAGGAAGACTGAGGTCTCAGGAGGGTGGGGAATTTTTATTAACACATTTTAAATGGTCAAGTCACTCTTTCTCCTCAAGGGCGGTGGACAGTTGAGATAGTCTACCCCCAGGGCAGAAGTTGTGCCAAAAGTGGATGCAGATTTGCATAGAATGTGCATGTCCTAATATGTATATAGCTACAAATTTAGAAACAAGTGTCGTGATATAAATAGAAATACAATACATCCCACCATAGTGAGGAGGACTGTTATTGAATGACCTGTGTGTCAGCCTGCTCAGTCTGTTGTCTGGGTGCTAACTGTTGATGTGCAACTTCATGGCCCCTGTTCTTCATTCATAGGGTTCTTTGTCTCTAAACTTGGCTATGGAAACCAGGTAGACCTTCAGATAGAAGTCTGTCCTCTACATGGTAGGACACATGGCTAAACTATCCTCCCCTTCAGGTTGATGCACCTTGATGGTTTCATGAGTACCATTCTCGAGTTAAAAGTTAGCATGACTGTTGATACCCTGGTTGGTCTGTGGAATATATGGAGATGACCAGGTATTCCACATAATTGCTCCTGAGCTTCATTTCCTATTAAATAAAAAACAGGTTTGACTCCTTGGTGTATCATAGAATCATAGAGTTGGAAGGGACCACAAGAATTGTCTAGTCCAACCCCCTGCAATGCAGGAATCTTTTGCCCAAGATGGGGCTTGAAACCCTCACCCTGAGATGAAGGGTCTCAGTCTCTACCAACTGAGCTACTGCAGAGCAATGGTACAAATATTGTGGGACTCCACCTCTGCTAAGCCCAAGTAAGCATGGTTTTTGGTCACTGTTGGAAGCAGGATGTTAAATCAGATGGACTTTGGGGCTGATCCACAAGGATTCTCCTTTTGTTCTTGTATATGCCACACACCAGTGAGCCCCCACCATGATGCTACTGAGAGGTCCTTGGCTAGTGCCAACCTGGACCCCTACCCAGCACTGCTGCTGCTGCTTGAAGTGTCTCAATCCACCTCCCCAGGGTTCATGGAAGGCACGGTTTGACCACAACTGGGGATCTATGGGGTTTCTACTCTGCTGTATAGGATTGCAGCCTCTGCGTAGCAACATTGAGCTGCTGTATTTGGAATCAATTTCCTTCGGAAGTTCACCAGTTCAAAGAATCCTGGAACGCCTTCATCCGCTGGAACAAGCCTCAGGCCTCCCAGGAGCTGCTTGGTTATCTTGATCTTTTAATTGCTATCTCTTGGGCTCTCATTTGAGAACTCTATTTAATTTTAGCCCCATGTCTTTGAATGTTTCCAGAGCTTCCTACAGCCTCTGGTTCTGGTCTCCTCAGATCAAAATGCCATCTGTGAAAAGCTTGGTGCTCTGGATATCTTCAGAAACATGCCACTTACCCTCACTGAGCAGACGGCTCTGCAGAATGCCTCTCAAAGAGGAATTTGCAGAAAGAATATCTCTGAAGTAGGAAGTTGAAAGTACCCATCAGGGCACGTTCTGTGTCCAAGGGCACTTTGACAAAACACAAGGGAGATTTCGAAAGGTGGAAAAATACTCAGCCACAGCCAGCTTCTTAAATGTTTCTTCTTGCATTGGCTGTGGAAAATCCCACCAACTTGGGCACATCAAGGTACTGATGCAATGTTCCATCTTCTATTTATCCAGTTTTGACCATCTACACTGCTGCCTCTTTTTCCTGCTATCAGGTGCTTCAGTAGTCTGCCGGATCATTCTTGTCTGAAACCCTGGAGGGATGCCAGTTGGTGCAGACAGCATTGAACTAGGTGGACTTGGTTTAAGGCAGCTTCCTATGCTCTTTACTTTTCTGTTTCACAGCTTTGAATCCAGAGGCTGGTACAATTTAGCTTTGCCAGTTCCATGGATAGTTTCCCTTGGGCCCTAGAACAGGAGTGAGGAATCTGTGGTCAGGGACGATGGCACTTCCAAGTTAAGTGCTTATAACAGTAATAGGAAACCTGTGGTCCTCTATGTGTTTTTGGACTCCAACTCCCATCAACCCCAGCCAACATTGCCAGTTGTAAAGGATGATGGGAGTTGTAGTTTGACAACAACTGGAAGGCCGTAGTTCCTCACCTCTGTCCTACAATAATGTTTGGGACAGCAATCCTATACCCATTCACCACTGGACCTGAACCCCACTGAACTCAGTAGAACTTACTTCTGAAGTCTTTTTGCAATTAACAAGACCTCAGCATCCATTTAATCAATGAAGTCTTTTGCTTTCATTTGGACTTATGCACATTTAACCTGGACTGTATGCTAGGAATGAATCCTCTGTTCTGTCTAGCAAGTGTGTGGGCTCTGTGCCATTGAAATCAGTGGGACTTTGCATCCTATGCTCTCTTTTTAAGAAGTAAGCCCCACTGAATATGTGGGACTAAAAGCTGAGCAAACAAATATAGGATCAGGCTGTACAAAATATTTAGTGCAGGTGAGTTCCGGCACCTCTTTTCCTAGAAAAATAACACTGCATAAGCCCCTCATATTATCCTCACAACAGCCCCGTGAGGTCCTTTCATCTGAAAGATAGTGACTAGCCCAAGGTCATACAGTTAATTTCACACATAACTGGGGATTTAAATTCTCCCAAGTTTTAGTTTTATACTCTAACCCCTAACCTGGTACCCTTCATAATGCATGGCCCATGGTCAGGGATGATGGAAGCTGGATTCCTTCTGGAAGGCACCAGGTTGAAGAAAGCTTGTTGGCTCTCATTATTCACCTTGCTCATCTGAGGATGAGCATCTAACTTTGCAGAAGTGCTGCATGCCTCCAGGTGATGGGTTAACCACACAGAGCTGCTGTATCCTTCAAGGTCTCTATGAAGAACTTCTGATGGCTACATGCCTCCTTCCTTTTTTTAAAAAAAATATTTATTAGGGTTTAACAAATACAGAAAAAAGAAAAACAAACAATAAACAGTTAAAAAACTTCAAAAGTAAATAAAAAAAGTAAAAATACAGTAAAGAACAACAGTTACAATACATCAACTCATTAAGAAAGAAAAAACAAAAACATTTAAAAAGCAAAAACATTTAAAAAAAAGAAAAAAGAAAAAAAAGGGCCAATGTTTTCATGTCCTTAACTTTCATTTGCTTATTTCCTTGACTTCCTCACACCTCCCTTTTTGTATTCTAGTTCAATTATCTATTTCAGCAAATCCTTTCCCTCTTTCTCAGATTTAGTTCCATAATTTATCTTAACACAATTTAGCCTTAAATTTTACACCTTTACCCATAATCAATCCATTCTTACTTAATTCTCAATAACATTTCTACTAAAGCCATATATCTTCTTTCTAGTATCCTTCTAACATTCATTAATTTTACAATATTTCTGTAAGTATACTTTAAATTTTTTCCAATCTTCTTCCACCAACTCTTCTCCCTGGTCTCGGATTCTGCCAGTCATTTCCGCCAGTTCCATGTAGTCCATCAGCTTCATCTGCCATTCTTCCCTGGTAGGTAGATCTTGTGTCTTCCAGTGCTTTGCGATGAGTATTCTTGCTGCTGTCGTAGCGTACATAAAGAAAGTTCTATCCTTCTTTGGCACCAATTAGCCGATGATGCCCAGGAGGAAGGCCTCTGGTTTCTTCAAGAAGATATATTTAAATAACTGGTGTTATGTACCACCTATAGATCATTTTCATTAAATTCTCTTTTAAGGCATTACATGCCGTAAACTTCATACCTGTGGTCCATAACTTTTCCCAGTCAGCCATCATAATGTTATACCCAACGTCTTGTGCCCATTTAATCATAGCAGATTTCACCATTTCATCTTGTGTGTTCCATTTCAACAGCAAGTTATACATTCTTGACAAATTCTTAACTTTAGAATCTAACAATTCTGTTTCCAATTTTGATTTTTCCACTTGGAAGCCTATTTTTTAATCCACATTATATACCTCCATTATTTGATAATAATGGAGCCAGTCTCGCACTTTATTTTTTAATTTTTCAAAACTCTGCAATTTTAGTCTGTCTCCCTCTTGTTCCATGCCTCCTTCCTGTCCAGCCCAGCAGTGCAAAGGTGATGTGATGGCCTCACCCCCGGAGCACAACGGAAACTCAGCTTATGTTTATCGCACTACAATGTGACCAATGGTGTTAGTTAAAGTGGAAACTGTGCACATAGTTGTGTGACTGGTCCCCGAATGCAGTCGAATTGTAATAACCAGGAATGTATGAGGGTGGGACCTTACTTGAGTGGGTCAAACCCACATACTAAGGAACATGCATGACTAGGCTCCTCGTTCCTACCTCTACACCTCAAAATCTAGGTCATTGCTTCCCCTTTTCTGACCATATATTTAGCAATGGTATTGCACGTGCACTGTAGCATAGATAAAGAGTTTCCAGGACAAAATGGGTGGGACTTCCCTTTTTTGTCCAGACATGAGAAAATAAGATAAAAATAAAAGAATGGTTTACCACAGACTAGTGGCTGTGTTTGGAAAGAAAACACAGGACTCAGCTATACAGTTGCAAATGAAACATTTTAAGTGTGTTTTAAGTGCAGTATACAATGAGACACTAAATGGCGGTGGCCATTGAATTTATGGAAAATTCAATGTATTTTTATTATTATTATTTTTTTAAAGCATTTTCAGAATGGTTTTTATATGTGTGTAGATTCCACCACAATGTGTGAAAAGCATAAGGAGCCAAAGTCAGTCCATAAGGGGGGGGGGGACTCCAAAATGCAAGGCTGGGCATAAACCTTTGTTAGGACCAACCAAAATGTCATGAAATTGAGGTGAGCTTTCAGACTCTCTAGAATTCTTCAGCAGGCAGGGTGTTACCTAAAACAGGAGAAGGAGGGAAAATAATAAAGCAAAAAGGTACAAAAATTAGGCTGGATGTTGTAGCCATGGGTCAGTTCCAATATGGGGTTTGCAAACTGAATATGTCCCTGCCAGGTATTACAGGTATCAGATTACTCCTCTAGGATTGTGGAATAAAGAAGCAATGACTGTTCCCCATTTCCAAGAACAGCCCTGCATCTTAATCAAAATACCAGTTCCTGTTAGGTACAACATGTGAAGTATGTTTTCAATGTCATTAAAGCAGGTATAGCTTGAAAAATAAATCAAAAGAGGACTCCAACGTGGTTTAAAATGTATCATGATATTGGATGCCTCCAGACTTGCATTACTTTGCAGAGGGATTCAAGAGGACACCAGGACACCAGGTTTTGCACAATTAAAGGGCTCTGTTGGCCTAGTGCAACAAATCCACTTTAAGGCAGAAGTGAGCTTTTGGCTGTTTGAAAAGTGATAGCATTGAAAAGCAAAGGATGAACAAAAGACGAATGGGAAGATGCATACACAACGCACAGTAACTCACATAACCACCCTGCAAACAAATTGGAATAAATGCTCATTAAAGACTGGAGACAATACTTTTGCCTAAGCTTTGTGCAAGCAAGTCAGAATAAATGCTCAATAAATACAGGTAGGTAGCTGTGTTGGTCTGACGCAGTCGAAACAAACAAACAAACAAATGTATGTCCAGTAGCACCTTAGAGACCAAATAAGTTTGTTCTGGGTATAAGCTTTTATGTGCACACACATTTCTTCAGATACACTGAAACAGAAGTCACCAGACCCTTATATTAGTGGGAGGGTGGGGTGGGGTTTTTCTCAGAAGGGTGGTGGGAGATGAGTGATTGACTCAATGGGCATGGTAAACCTGTTGACGACTGTTAACGACTGCAATTAGTCATACATGAAAAAGCAAGGGATAGTATGCAGATGACCAAAGATAGCTTTAGCATATGTAATGAGACAAGAATCCAATATCTCTTCTGTTTCAGTGTATCTGAAGAAGTGTGCATACGCATGAAAGCTTATACCCAGAACAAACTTAGTTGGTCTCTAAGGTGCTACTGGACTATTTATTTATTTATTTATTTATGCATGCATGCTCAATAAATAAGTTGCCTGGAGGAGTCCTTTTATAATACTTTTTTTTTTTTTTGCTATCATCATCTAAAGAAGTTAGCATTTGCTGCAGTTTAACAGTTACCCCCAAATCTGTCATCTGAAAAGAGGGTTACCTCAGTCTATCTAATGGTGCAGCTATTCCTGATTCCCACAAGGAAAATAGATATTGTGATTTCTGAAAACTGTTGAATTCAAAGTCCAGTCTGAATACCCAATTCCGTTTTTACAAACGCTGCAGCCTTCAGAGAAAGAGAATCTTGATGCTGCTGACATTTATTTTCAGCTACTGCAACAGCTTCCCATTTATTGTCAGAATCTTGCTGAGTGCTCTGAGTAATCTTTATTTAACTATGGAGCTGCTGGCCCCCAGACCGCTACTTCTTCTTCTTCTTGGTCTGTAGTGAATCATTCTGTGGTTTTCTCATCTCTGACATCACCCACCCAGTTTCCTAAGAATAAAAGAGGAACTACGTACAACCTACAGTAACATCTATGTGTAGCCACTGGTTGATAAATAGCAAGGCCTCCTCTGCCCCTTTAAAAACCACCAACACCTTAGCTGCCACCACCGCTCCTTAAAAATGGGAGTCAGGGTATGCAAGCCCAGTCAAGGGGCATTTCCACCAAAGATCTAATGTAAATGTTAGGATCTGGAATGCTTTTGCACTGGGTGTGAATTTGTAATTGTTTGCTAATTTCAGCAAAATATTTATCTGATTTGGATTCTTCCCACTCCAGGATGCTTTGGAAGGAAATTATGGACTTGGTAATATTTTGGGAGCGATACTTCTAGTAGTTTGGAGAGAGGGTCATGGGGAGAATTTTAGGGCAACAATCCCTATGTGTGTTTTTAGTCTTTTTGGCTTGTATTTACCTCATAAACCATAACATGGGCCCTGCTGGATCAAACCAAAGACCCAACTAGTCCAGCATGCTGTTTTCTCAATTACCAACCAAGATACCTGTGGGATGTCTACAAGCCAGACATGAACACCATACATTCTTCCCACTTGTGTTCCCCAGCAACCACCTCTGATACTGATAGGGATGTTTCCATCATGGTTTGTAGATACTGATTGCCTGATACTCCATGGATTGGCCTAATCCCTCTTTTAAAGCTATCCAAGTTCATGACCATCACACTATCTTGTGTAGCGAACTCCATAGTTTAAGAACGCAGGATACTTTCAAGTCCCCAAACCGCTTTTAAGACTTTAAGGAACAGTTTGTGGGAACAGCGGGGGATGCGGGTGGTGCTGTGGTTTAAACCACTGTGCCTCTTGGGCTTGCTGATCAGAACGTCGGCGGTTCGAATCCCCACGACGGGGTGAGCTCCCATTGCTCGGTCCCTGCTCCTGCCGACCTAGCAGCTCGAAAGCACGCCAGTGCAAGTAGATAAATAGGTACCGTTCCGGTGGGAAGGTAAAGAGTGTTTCCGTGCGCTGCTCTGCTTTCGGTGTTCTGTTGCAGCAGAAGTGGCTTAGTCATGCTGGCCACATGACCCGGAAAAACTGTCTGCAGACAAACGCCGGCTCCCTTGGCCTGTAAAGCGAGATGAGCGCCGCAATCCCAGAGTCGTCTGCGACTGGACTTAACTGTCAGGGGTCCTTTACCTTTACCTTTACCTTTTGTGGGAACAGCACCTGAAGGACCAGCTCTGAGAAAATGTAGGTGGTCTAAATGTCCGTATCAGACAAGGAGTGGTGAGACCTGGGTTGAAATCCCCACTAAGCCGTGAAGCTCACTCAAAGGTCTTGGGTTGACTGCTGATTCTACCCCATAGAGAAGTTATTAGGATAAAATGGGTTTGTGTGTTTCCAAGAGAACCTTGTATGCTGAGTTGTTCAGAAGACGAGCAGCTTGAAATGTGCAGGTCAAAAAATGGCCATGTTCTCTTCTGGATCATATTCTTGACATTCAGAGCAATCTCGGGTGGGAGTAAAAAAAGTTTATTTTTCTTTCAGGCACATCAGATTTAAATGAAACCGAGGAAGCTGAGCTACAGACTATCAAAAAGCATAAGGAAGAGCTGCTGGCAGACATCCAGGTGGGCACCACCCCAAGAGCAGTTAGGCCAAGTCTTCCTCAACCTGGTGTTAGACTACAATTCCCATCAGCCCCAGCCTGCATGGTGAATGGAATGGGATGATATGAACTGTAGGCCAACATCGTCTTCAGGTTGGCAGTGGCTGCAGCATTGCCAGAATTATGACTATCGCTGGGAAGGGTCCAAACACAAGAAGCTTCCTTATTCTATGACAGACCACCATTGGTCCATGTAGCTCATTATTGTTGATGCTGCTTGGTAGTGACCCTCTAGCATTTTAGACACGAGTCTTTTCCAACTGTACCTGAAGATGGTGGAAATTGAATCTAGGACCTTTTACATGTAAAGCATGGGCTCTGCCACTGAGCTATGGCCAGGGCAGGCCCACCCATGAGGCCAGGTGAAGCAACCACCTCAGACGGCAGGATCCACGGGGGCAGCAGATCCCAATGTAGAGCTCTCTGTTAGGTTTCTGTTTATGCCACTGTGCAGTTTTTAGAGTCACAAGACTCTGTTGACATTCCAGACTGTTGGAAGTCTCACGGGAGACAGGAGACGGATGTTGATGTTACTGGTTTCCTGTTTTTTTGTTCCAGTTGCTCACTGACTCTCACAGAGAGAAGATGCATATTCTTTTCTGTCCTGCGTAGTTAGAAATAAACGTAGCGATGTAGCACATATTTCCAGCTCCTTCAGCTGTTTGTATACTCTGCGTAATGAGGGAACATGCCTGAAGCCTCATTAAAGGGTTAGGTCATTAATCACCTTCGGAGGAGAGCCATTACAGCTCGGCCATATGCAACAGAACCTCCAACACTTTCTTCCCTCTTTGTTCCTTCACTCACCCCTTCTTCTCTGGCCAGAGTGGGGGCAGCATTTGGTGGTTCGCTTCAGGTGCCAAAATGTCTTGGGCTGGCCCTGGCTAAGGCCCTTCCCCCAAGGCCAAGGCCACACCTTTCCTCCCAAAACACACATTCATCATAATCACGGATGCAGCCCCAGGGAAAGAGTCCCAGCCTTGTTGCTAGAAGACTTGTGACCAACCATCTCTATTCAGTCTCTGGCTTGCAATGTATCTTTAAAAAAAATTATTGACTTGCTACCAAATCAATTATATTTGTGATTTGCTTTATAATTTTTATTGATTTGCTACCAAAAAAAAGTGCAAACATAACAAAAAGAAAGAAAATGAAGAATAAAAAAAATATAAGCCATAGCCTGGAAGGACAAAACCCCATAGATACAATGCTACTCCAAAGGGACAAAAAAATAGTTTAACAGTCAGTCATTTCCTTACAGGGAGCTCTGGGAAATGTAGCTCTGTGAAGGGAATAGGGGGTCTCCGAACAACTCTCAGCACCCACAACAAACTCTAGCTCCCAGAATTCTTTGGCTGAAGCTACAAGTGCTTAAAAAGTATGGTGTGAATGTGGTCTCAGTCTCCTTCTGCAGATGTTATTCATCTGTAAAATGGGAATAACCACAGCAACCTCCCCCTAATGACTGCCTCAAGGATAAAGATTGTACAGCAGTTACCAGGGCTGAATCCACAGCAAACAGTTTCTGGGGAAACTACTAAATGTTTTGACCACTTGATGGACAGCTGACTTTAAAAACAAACCAGCGGTATGGGTTCCCTTCAGATGAGAGCGAAGTGACTGTAACAAGCCCCAAGTCTATTTTAGTAACCAAGTGTAACTGGTCTTTACTTCCTTTTCACACGTCAGACTTCTGCAGTGAATACCTATTCTGTGTGCTGTTCTTTCTTCTCTCACCCCTCCCCTCCCCTCCCCTCATTCTCTCTCTTTTCTCTCATTTATAGAGGCTAAAAGATGAGATTGCAGAAGTGTTTGAAGAGATAGATCGTTTCCAGCAAACACAAACAAGGTGAGGAGCCAGGGATGTTCCACAAGGAGGAGGGATGGGAATCTTCTGGCTCTCTAGATATGTAGGACTCCAGCTCCCATAAGCCTTAGTTAGAATGATCAATGATCAGGGATGATGGGAGTGGTGGTCACGACCACGTTAAGTGTTTATAGCTTTATGGGAGACCCTATATTTCCTGGTTAGCTGATAACTAACCCATGTTGTCTGAATACCAGGTGTATGATGCTCTCTCTTTGTGTTCTTCTGAAAGAGAACCTAATCTACTGTACAAATTTCTTTATATTTGAAAAAATAATGATGATGGGCTCATGTGTTTCAGGTGACAAAGAAAGGAACCAAGTTAAACATTATTAAACCATGGCATATTCCTTTCACCAACATTCCCAGCGACGATCTGTGAACCATGTTTATTTCCCAGCATCTCCCAATAAACAGATTTTCTTTAATTTCCAAAATAAGATACCTAACCTCTAAGTCAGGGTTGAGCCCCCTACTTTTGACTCCCACTGTATTTTGGGCTGTGAGCCTGAACTGCTTTGAACTGTGTATCACTCTGAAATAGCATTTCATATAATCTTTACTCCATTACATCATAAACAGAAAATATCAACCGTAGTATCTTTAGCAGCTGATCAGCTAGGTTTCCTCTGAATCTGTTATCAGCACCATATGTCTCTGTGAGTCTAAGAATGTGCTATAAGTGTAGTTGTGGCACTGCCAGAAAAATTGCCAACTAAAAACAAAGCAAAAAGGGGACTGCGTTTAAGAAAATAAACAAAAAGCATGAGACTAAAGAATAAATCTATCCTGTGCAAATAAATCTAGCCCATGTTTTAAACATATACTATTATGAAAGTTGGCATAGAAGACTGTGTACAGTATATACAAAAATATAGATGATTTACACTGGAAATGTCTAACCAGGTTCAGGAACACCCAAGATGCTACAATAAGAATTCTAAAAAAGGAGTGCAAAGGCATTAAAATGAATCTATATATCCCTAATATTCATAGCAAATTCTTGGAAAGCCTGATGTGAGATAACTATGCCGTCTTGCATGGGGCAAACAATAAAAGTGATATACTGGTACATGCCAGTCTTTAGAACAATGTTCTTCAACACTGAGTCCCCAGATGTTGTTGTACTACACCTCCCATCATCTCTGGTCCAAGTGGCTGAAGGTTATGGGAACTGTAGTCCAACAACATCTGGGAACCCAAGGTTGAAGAACACTTTAGAGCAGAACATGGTTAGCAGACCCTTGCAATGTTAGCTACTGCTCATTTACATCCAAGTCAATGAGGTTGAAATGCCATGACTCCAAGTCTCAGTAAAGTGCCAGGGCTTGAGTGGATGGACTCTTGAATGGCCCATCTTAAGGGAAATACATTTTAAAAGACATCTGAAGGCATCCCTGTTCAGGGATGTTTTTAGTGTGTGATGTTATATTGTGCTTTTACTATTTTTTGCTGGGAGCTGTCAAGACTGGCTGGGGCAACCCAGGTGGAATCTACACACATATAAAAAAAGTTCTGAAAATGCTTTTTTAAAAAGCACTTAAAAAAAATAAAATACATTGAATTTTCCATAAGGAAATTTCACCATCTAGTGTCACATTGTATATTGCACTTAAAACACACTTAAAACATTTGCAGCTTACAGCGGAGTCCCCAGTAAGATGGGTGGCACATAAATAATAATAATAGTTGTTGTTAGGTGAATGGGGAAGCTGTCCATTCAAAGGGATGAACCATTCAAATGTGCATTTTAATATGTTGGCCCTGTTGAAAAGCTACACACTGTAACCTTGGTGGGGGTAGCCAATGCTGTGATGTGTATTAATTATTGTTCAGAATGGGCCAAAGTACATGTCACATGCGAAAACATGTAACAGTAACCTGATGGTCTCCCCCACCCCACACCTTTGGATGAAAAGCTGTCGGAGCAGGAAAGAAGTGGGAGCAGGGAAACAGTGGAGGGTGCCTAACCCTTTCCCTATGGGTGGTTCCCCTAATTCAAGTATACACACAAATGCCCACCAAGCTACCATAAGCCATGATCCTACATCATGTTTAATTTGACCCTGCGGTCTGGCTCAGGCTGGAGGAAGGTGAGCCATAAATGGGTTCAGTGCCAAGACAAATTGGCAAAATGGTGGAGCATCTCCTGACCGAGCCAGAATTGAGGAGATTTGGATTATTTTGCTGGGAAGTCAGCAAGCACCCAGGAGGAAAAGTCTAAAAGTCATAGGCTGCTCTTCTTCAATCTGTTCCATATTTAATCAAATCTCATCTTGGTTTTTGCAGCAAGCTGGTCCAGAGGGATAAAGAAATGTGCGTTGGACGGAAGAAATTTAACATGGACCCTACTAAGGTCAGGTCAGGTCTATGTGTATTTGTACTGTATAAGTGGAGATTGACTATTACATGTAAAATTCAAGATCTGGAGTTTTCGTTTAAAAAGAAGCAAGTTTCTAGTCCCTAAGGTTGTAAAGCTTTTGTTTTTAAAGAACAGAGTAGGCACAGGCCTGCAGAAGACTCATCAGTGCGGTTCCTAAATCATATTCAGATGTCCTCTCACGTGACTTTACAATCACCTGGAAGGAAGGTGGGGCTGTCGCATCCTCAGTTCCTACTGCCTACAAGCATTTTGCGGGGAGGGAGTCACATTTGTTGAGAGGAGATTGCTGTATGTACCTACGATGCTGCTGTGATCTGGATAGACAGGTCCATGTGTGGAGACACAACAGTGCCCTTAGTTCAGTGGATGCAGCCCCACCCTTCACCGCCATGTGATTCTTAATCACATAAGCAAATGTCCAAGTGCTCGGAGAACTTTTTGGATATATATTCAGTTAAGCCTAACTTCTCCAAAGACGGCCAGCAGTTAAGCTAAAAGATATATGACATTTCAGAAATTGATAATGAAGGCAACGCAGACAGTTTTCAATAGGAGACGACACCAACAGAGAAGGCATCTCACAATCATGGCTCTTAGATGTTGTGGCTACTTGGAGTCTGTCACAATCTTGACAGCAGAAAAGGTGGAGTCCAAGAACAAAGGAAGTCCCTTTCACTGAGTCAGACCATTGCTCCGGCTAGCTCCATGTCTTCTACACATTGTGGCCTGCCTTTCCGTCTGGTGGTGCTGTTGCTTAATGCAAGCTCAGTCCACAATAAAACAACTCTCATCCACAATTTGATGGTGGATGAGGTGGCTGTTCCAGTGTAAATCTCAGACACCTGGACTAGTGACTTTGCCCAGCTTTTCTCACCTGGGTATTCAGTGCAGCACCAGTCCAGGTTGGTTGGAGTGTGGCAATGATCCATTGAAACCCCACAATTCTCCCCAGGAGGCAGACATGCTGTTGGTGTCGGGAGGCAGAGACGGAACAGACTGTCACTATATTCAAGCGGGATTTGAATATAGCTAAACTCAATTTAGAGCTCTTGTGCAATAAACCCACTTCCAAAATAATCAAAATGTCATTTGCGATAAGGAAAGTGACAGGAAAATGCACAGGGACAAATGGCATTTGTTTGATGCAACGTGGTCTCTGACCTCCCTGCAAAACAATTAGAACGAATGCTCGATAGAGATGCAGAATGAAGAGGAACTATTAGGAAGGACTGAAAAATCAGCAACAAGAGGCAGAACAGAACTATTGTAAGAATTCTTCTTCACCAGGAATATATGACACCATCCTCAATTCTTCTCTCTGGAATTGAATGGAAATGTTCTAAGGACGCCCAGAGCACTATCACCTCCCTTATAGTCCAACCCCAACCAATGTTGCAACAGCCAAAAATGGAGAGGCAGTGTAGCATAGTGGTTAGAGAGCCAGACTGGGACCTGGAAGACCAGGGTCCAAATCCTCACTTGGCCATTCAGCTCCCTGGTGATCTTGGGCCTTTCACTACCTCACAGGGTTGTTGTGAGGATTAATGAGGAGACGTAGAGCCATGTATACCACCTTGAGCTCTTTTGAGAAAAAGGTGAGCTAGAAATGCAACCTAAATAAATAAATAAATAAATGTCACCTTAAAAAGAAGATGGGAACATTAAAAAGAGACCTGGAGTGTCTCCCTCCTCTGGGTGGTTCATGCAGCATCTACTTTAGAAAGAAAACCAAAAACAACAATAAAAGTATTTGCAGCCCTCTTAACCAGAAGCTCTTGGTCTTGCGCCATCTTTCTACAACAAGCCCTCATTTAGCACAGCAAGAGAGAGACCTGCAAGGAAAGTCGATGAGGCCCAAGCCCAGAACTCACCTTGGCTGGACTGAAGAGAATTGAAGTTGTGTCTGCTCTTATCTCTCTTTCTCTGGCCTAATTACATCTGTGCAGTCTATCAGCCCGAACCCAGTCTTCACTGCACTCCCTGCCAAACCGTTCCTTTCAAAATACTCCCAACTTAATTACTCCCCTCTTACTGTCAGTGCTGCAGTCAGGATCAGAAGCTCCACAATTAAGCAGTAGCTAAGCCTCAGCAGAGCAGCAGATACACTGGTGGGGAAAGGCATCTCTGGGGTGTAGTGGATGGGAAATGTCAGGAAGTGCAGCCCTAGTCCTTTGAAAGCAGTGATGTTAACTGCTAGAGCTCCACAGTAAACAATGGGACTTCCTTGCTCCTCAAAATGAATGAGGCAATAATGAGGCTTTCAAGTTTGACTGTTGTTTGTGACCTGTTAGCTTTGAGGAAATTAGGGAACCATGCCAGCATACTAATATATGCCTGCCAGCTGATCGTAATAAATTGGGTTTTGTGCCATCCTAATGAATTGGGTTTTATGCTCTGTGTGTCTGTAATGGATTAACACAAAACCTTCAGTTTTTGGACTCTATAGTGGTACCTCGGGTTAAGAACTTAATTCATTCTGGAGGTCTGTTCTTAACCTGAAACCATTCTTAACCTGAGGTACCACTTTAGCTAATGGGGCCTCCCGCTGCTGCTGTGTCACCGCGGCTCGATTTCTGTTCTCATCCTGAAGCAAAATTCTTAACCCGAGGTACTATTTCTGGGTTAGCGGAGTTTGTAACCTGAAGCATCTGTAACCCGAGGTAGCACTGTAATTTTGGACATGGATAAGGGAGCTGTCCTGATGAGCTTCTGCACTTCGAAGTGGACCATTCTAATAGTGGGCATATTATATGCTACCATGGTAGGGTTAACTGCTTCTGATAACTGTGGCACTAAAATACAGTTGAAATTATTCTGGAGGCAGGTAAGGAATGTTGATTAGGGTTGAGGCTCTTTTCTTTTGCCCTGTTGGCATCGCTGATCACCTAGGTTTTGCAGGTTTTGAAGCACTGCGACTACAAACCAGCAGAACCTGTTTACAGTATTTGACTAGAGAATGATGTCCAGAACAAATTACCATCCTTCCTTCATCATATAAGAGTCACTATAAAAATATAAATATAAAGCACAGCACCTATATTTAATTCCAATAAAATATCCAGTGTAAGGAGTATAAACACAGTGATAAATCGGAAACAGCTGAATGAATTTAACAAAATGAAAGTGCAAGAAGGGTGTTGCATGGGCAAAGAGAATTTTAGAGAGCTGGTGCCAGGCAGGTAAAGTATACATTTTTGCATATAAGCAGTATATAAATGTGTATTATTACTATTATTGACTCCTTCATGATAATCGAGTCTGCTTTTCACAAACAGGGCATCCAGTATCTGATTGAACACAAAATACTGTCATCAAATGTGGAAGAAATTGCCAAATTCCTTTACAAAGGAGAAGGCCTCAACAAGACAGCCATTGGAGATTACTTGGGAGAAAGGTGAATACTCTTTCTTTCTCTCTCTTTTCCCCATACACCTGAAATCATTTCTCCCACTGCAATAAATAAATATTAATGGTGGAAAACAATTTCAAGTAGAGAAATATTTCATTATTTTCATAATACTTCATAATTTAGAAATGTTCTTTTCTTATATTTATATCCACCTTTCTTCCATTCTGAAATACAAGGCAGTGTACTGACAGTCCCCAGGCTGTTACTCTATCCAAGCGGCACTGTGGTCTAAACCACTGAGCCTCTTGGGCTTGCTGATCAGAAGGTTGGCGATTCGAATCCGCACAATGGGTGAGCTCCTGTTGCTCTGTCCCAGCTCCTGCCAACCTAGCAGTTTGAAAGCATGCCAGTGCAAGTAGATAAATAAGTACTACTGTGGCAGGAAAGTAAATGGCGTTTCCGTGCTCTCTGGTTTCTGTCAGGGTGTTCCATTGTGCCAGAAGCTGTTTAGTCTTGCTGGCCACATGACCCGGAAAGCTGTCTGTGGACAAACGCTGGCTCCCTTGGCCTGAGAGCAAGATGAGCATTGCAACTCCATAGTCGCCTTTAACTGGACTTAACCATCCAGGGGTCCTATACCTTTACCTTTACTTTTACCTTTACCATTACCAAGGACTATAAGATAGTATTTCTCTCTTGAGCCTCATACGCCTTCGGAACAAGCTGCTAGCCATGATGGTTGTGTGCGCCTTCCACTGTCAGAGGCAGTGCAACAAATCCACAATATATATTTTGCAGTTGAGTGATGGGAAAATGTTTGAAAAGTGTGGGATGAACAAATTGTTAATAAGAAAATGTCTTAACACCCCACAAATCAGGATGAATGTCCATTGTGGTATAACCACTCTGCAAACAAATCAGAACAAATACTCAGTATAGACTGGGCATAGTCTAACCTCCTCATAGGCTTTGTGAAAGCAAATCAGAATGCATGTTGAATAAACAAGTTAGGGGTGAATAACCTTCCTCTTTGCTTTCTCCCCATCTCACACTGTTATTTTTCTTCCACCAGGGATCCACTGAACCTCCAGATTCTGCAGGCCTTTGTAGAATGTCACCAGTTTGCCAATCTCAACCTTGTACAAGCATTAAGGTATGCTCTAAGCAAAGCATTAAACACTTACAGATGGAGAAATTCAATTCCATTTGTATTTAAAGGTGAACTTACCTAATTCACCATTTCTGAAACAACATGCATACTGAAACACAACCTTCCTTCAAGATTTGCACTTCTCTGACTTTTACAGTGCTGTTTTCCAACTTAGTATGATGTACAAAATTGCATATACTAGAGTAAAATGCACATGCAGTTGCATATACGAGTGAAAATAGTGTACAAACATGCATTTTATGGGGGGAAATTTCATACAAAAATGTGTCTATTCAGAACAATTTGCCCTAAGATGCTGATGAATTTTCATGAGGAAACTTTTAAACAAAGAAGCAACAGCCTGCAAACCGATGTTTAGACGTGGAGAACTAAACTTAAGATTGGAAAAATGATTGACAGAGAGAAGCTGAAATGGACATTTTCACACATTCCTGCCTGCAGTATCCTATGCTGATTTGAGGACAGGTGCTGTGTCTCCCTCTTGACACTTCATGATGGACACCCTTTTGGATAAAAGAAATCCAGGTGCTGCTGAGCCAGAATAGTTGAACTTGGAAAGTCTGGGTTTTCAATTCATGCAGCCACCCTTTAACTCATGGAGAGCTGAAACAAAGAAGAAGATGATGAACCAGAGGCTCATGGTTTGGCAGGGAATTCCCTCTCCTCCCCATGTGATTGTTATAGGGCTTTGTTGAAGCTATACATTCCGGTTCTTGTTGCTCTTTGAACTAACTGGTAACGACTTCATCTCACATCAAATGAGCTAAAACTGGTACTGGAAAATCTACTGTTTCCCCAGATCCCTAATACCGGATTATCTAGCTGACTGAGAATCTGCTCTTGGTGACAATTTGTTGGAGGAGATAGCTTCCCTTTTGCACTTTGACGTTTTCTCCAAATGCTTATTTGTCAACATTAGGTGGGTCTTGCTTGTGGAGAAGACATCTTGGAGCAGAGTTGCTTTGAGATAATTCCTGAGAAGGGAGCAGTGAGGATGAGGAACTGATACAATATTGACTCAGAGCTGCTGAACACATGATGAATTTCCTGCTCCAAAATCAGCCAATCAGCTTATTGTATACCCTTTGCTTTCACCTAAAAACCAAAGCAAGAACTTTTCAAGAAAATAGTCATTAAGAATGAAATACATTTTGAGTCATTCATTACGTGGAATTTGAATAAGATGATACATACAAAGAGACATAGAACAAGTTGCATAGATCCTGCTCCAGCACAAAAGATGATTCCACATTTATGTAATTCATGCTGTGTGGCAAGTAGTGGTCAAATGCACTTTCCACAGATGTGAAGAACCCATGAATTACCCATGTACAGCATCACATGAGACAATCTGTCATTAAAATTCCATAAAGAGACTCCATGTTGGCTTCTAGTAAACTGGCCCTCAAGAGTTTCAACTTTTTGTAGGAAGATATGTAGTCTAATCAAATAGGATCAAATGGAATGAATATTAATACTTTCTTCAATTCAGTAACCTCCAGCCAGTTGTTAAGAGAATTCAAGATTTCCAGGATTGATACCAGTTTCAGTGGAAGACTCTCCCATCCTTATGCCAATTAGCAGACTCTGATGGTTTGGTTTCTCATTCCCAGACAGTTCCTGTGGAGCTTCCGGTTGCCTGGGGAGGCACAGAAGATTGACCGTATGATGGAGGCCTTTGCCAACCGGTATTGTCAGTGCAACCCAGGAGTTTTCCAGTCAACAGGTAGCTGAGAGGAAGGCTGTGAGATGGAAGTTGTCAATGTGGTGCCCTCCAGATGATGGGCTCCAACTCCCATCATGCCTCTCCATTGGCCATGCTGGCTGAGGCTGATGGGACTTATAGTCCATAACATCAGAAGGGTGCCTCATTGGCTACGCCTGATGCCGGGAAACATTTATGCAGGATTTTGTCAAAATGAATCAAAGGGTAGCCCTAGTAACCACTGGGCTGCTCTGGTTGAGCTCTTCTTCCCTAGTTTTTTGGGGGGGGGCTCTCCCCTGAAATTTTGTTTGTCTTAACCCCTCTGCCGAACCACACACTGACCCCATGCTTCCACAAGCTAGCACCCCAGTCCCCCCACTGCTGGCCATCTTTCCCCTTCCTTCAGCTACTCCCATGCTCCAACCGTGGGTATTTCTATTAAGGCTGGGCTGAAATCCCCCTGGAGTTTCCTAAAAAAATACCCTCCCGGCCATGAAAATAAGGTGCAATTTTCAGGTGCTTTCTTGGGGTAGAGTGGGAAAAAGTTCTATAGAGATTTGGGGAGGGGGCTACTTGGTTCTGCCAGGTAATGAGGCTAGTCGGAAGGTGTGGATAGAGCCTCACGTCACTTCTCAGTAGAACCACAGTCCCTTTGCAGTGATGCAACACAACACAATGTCTCTGAAGACATTCTAGGAAGTGGGCCAGGCAGGAAGCTGTGGAGAGAGCCCTGTGCTGCTGTGAAAAGCATGGGGCTGTAAAAGAAAAAGAAAAATCAAGGAAAAATTAAAAATCCTTGGTTACCTTGTAAAGCTAAATAAGGCCAGTTTGGATTTCTTCCTGGAGGATTTGAAAAAAAATTCTTACCCCTCCAGTTTTTTGCAAGACTCAAATTTCCACAAATGTGTTCTTTTTCTTACTACTATGTGTACATAAAAACGTAAGAGCTGGCCTGTAGCCCATCTAGTCCATCATTCTGCTCCCACAGAGGCCAACCATTTGCCTGTGGGAAATCACCAATAGCCTTATCCTCCATGAATCTGATGGACCCTCTTTTAAAGCCATCCAAATTGATAGCTATCACTGCCTCCTATTTCAGGATAATCATAGAGAACCACAACTGAATATGAACACTGAGCTTAGGAAGCAAGCCTGTTGTATTCAACTGCATCTACCCAAACTAAAGATTCTCTTTGAAGCTTGCCACAATGCCTATTCTTCGAGCTTCCTAGAAATCATAGGCTTTAGGCACACCACTCACTCGCTTGTTTCCTTTCTTTGGCAGACACCTGCTATATCCTCTCTTTCTCCGTCATAATGCTGAACACCAGCCTGCACAACCCCAACGTCAAAGACAAACCTCCCTTTGAGAGGTTTGTGTCCATGAACAGAGGCATCAATGATGGAGGGGACCTTCAGGAACCACTTCTGCGGGTAAGAGAGCTCTGTGCTTCTCTCTGCTTTTCCTGCTAGTTGGAAGTGGAAAGAGAGATCTTCAAGAATGGCTGAAGAGCCCACATATTCACCTATGCCATCTAGTTCTGGCCATATTACCCAGAAATCCTCAGGAACAATGACTTCAGAGTTTTCACTTCTCTCTTCTCAGAAGTTGGGTTCTCTCACTAGTGGTATTGTAAGTGAGGCCAGGCAGTAGATATTTGGCATTGACCTAGTGACACCAGCAGTCAAATTAGCCTCTGTCCATTCTGGAAAGGGCCTGAGAGATGCAAATATTTCTTTGGGATTGAAAGGTGCATTGCAGTGAGAAGCAAAGGAGGAAGGGTAGACAGGAACTGCCTTGTTATAAACCACTTTCTTACAACAAGCAATGTATAAATTTTATAAAATAGATGAAGAAACTGAACTGTGGGAAATCCAAATAAGAAAGGCGGAATAAAAATCTTGGACAAACTAGTTATGATTTTGGGTGAAAAATGATAGCAGAAAAAAATATGTATACCTAGAGTTGTCATCTATTCCACACACACACACACACACACACACACACACTGGTTTTCCCCGCAGGATTTCAGGTTGGCAGGAGCAGGGACCGAGCAACGGGAGGTCACCCCGTCGCAGGGATTCGAACCGCCGACCTTCTGATCAGCAAGTGCTAGGCTCTGTGGTTTAACCCACAGTGCCACCAGCGTACTAATGACACCCTCCGCCATGAGAGGAGAAAGGGATTATGCCAGAGGACATGCCCCAAATGCCAACACATGCAGTTTGAAAACTCATCAGAGACTCCAAAATAATTGTGTGTCTATCATTCTCCTCCTCCTGTGCCAGACTCCACTCTACAGCAGGCGGTTCTCAAAGCACCTCGTAATAATGAGCTCTCCAGCAGACAATTAATAGACCTGTACAGAAAGGGAGCAATACTAATTCGTAGTCGATAGCCCATCAATTTCCCAGGTGTGGCAAATTCTTCCAAAGCTTCAGAGGATGTCATGAATCATTCTTCCCTCTCCACTAGAAATATTAGCTTCCTCTACTTAGTGAAGCCCTTAATGAGCTCAGGTTTTCTGCAGTACTGACACTGACTCAGCCCATTCTCCCGGGGAAATGTTGATGGGAGTTATTTATCTGATTGCATGTGATTATTTTCACAGGCACATAATATGTGTTAACTATTACCTATATACCCTTTGCCTTAGTAGAATGCTATGTCGAACGACTATATATAGCCATTGATCTAATAACAAATTTGGGTGACCCAGTGCCTGCCAGTTTGAAACAGGAATGGGCCATCCCCAAAATGAGGTGGCGATGGTGCAAAGCTGGGGGATTCCCTAGGTTTGAAGATGTATCAAAATTTAAGAGAAAAGGGAAATATCAAAAATAGCATGACAAGGACCTGTGACCTTCCAATGCATACAGAATGCCAACACATCAACTGAGGAGGAAGGGGAAGGAAACTGGAGCAGGGGAGAAGGAAGGGTTGGACTGCTCAAGTTTCTAATAACATATAGCAAGTGTATGATGGAGGGAGAATCAGGGTTTGTGGGAGAATTGTGGGCCAAGAGGTTACACTCTCCTCCCTTTACTACAAAGCAAGGCTGCAGGAAAAAAGAGAGGACAAAGAACATGTTTCTCCTTTCCCACTCTCCAAATTGCACCCACTCTCCCACCCACTATATACTTATAAAATATTCAGGGTCAGGGCTAGCTATGATGTTTCTGGCTGCTGAGAGTAGGTGGGTTATGAGCTCTTTATGATGTGAATGGGTGTTGTTATCTTGGAAGATGTTTAGTAGGGCCAGTTCTGGGGTGACATCTAATACTTGTTTAGTTATTTTGCATATTTCTTGTATGATTGCTGTCCAGAAGAGTTGGATTTTGGGGCATTCCCACCACATGTGGAGGGATGTGCCTGTGGAGGTGCATCCTCTCCAGCATTTTGGTGAGGTTCCTGGGCGTATTTCCATGGTGTTAGGTACCATCTGTAAGTGAGTTTCATAGTGAGTTCTTTCCTTTTCATTGATATGGATTTAAAGGGCGATTATGTCACATTCTAGTCCATTGGGTGGGGTTAATCTCATGTACATTGAGCACTAATAATGAAACATATGTTGTAAATTTCCCCCCACATTTATTATGCTATTTTTGTGATATACAAATGAGATAAGAAAACGTGGTATATTTGTTTGTATAACATTATCCTTGTTTTAAAAAGAGTCAGGGCTAGCTGCTAGCCCCAAATCTAAGCTCTATAGTGCTGGACAGCAAAACAGATAAAGGGTTTTTTGGGGGGGGAGGACAGGAAAACATGTTGCTCCCTCCTAAAACTTCTCTCCCCTCAAGGAGGCTTGAAAAGCACTATAAGCGCTAGGAAGGCGCAAGGTGAATATAAAATGGAAGAATGGTATAAAGAGGTGCGGGGTATAGCTATTAATGATAAATTAACATGTGCTATTAAGGTAAGATGAGGAATATGCGGGAGAAATGATTTTGAGGAAGGTGTTTGTATAATTTGTACTGTTAAAATGGAAAGGGGTCAAACCATCATAAGAGCTGTTGAATTTTTGGGAGGTTGGATAGTTACAGTGGAATGGTATTGGGGGTGGGGTGCTCATTTTTATTCTTATTTGTTTATTATTATTACTTCCGGTGGTTCCCTCATTGCAAGAAGTGAGGTTACAGGGAACCAGACAGAGGGCCTTCTCAGTAGTGGCACCCGCCCTGTGGAATGCCCTCCCTTCAGATGTGAAGGAAATAAGTAGCTATCTTATCTTTAAAAGATATCTGAAGGCAGCCCTGTTTAGGGAAGTTTTTAATATTTAATGCTGTATTGTTTTTAACACTCGATTGGAAGCTGCCCAGAGTGGCTAGGGAAACTCAGCCAGATGGGCGGGGTAAAAATAATAAATTATTATTATTATTATTATTATTATTATTATTATTATTATTAAATTAAAAAGAAAATTACAAAAATTATAGAAAAAGAAAAGCACTGTAAGCCTTGGGTCCTAAACAGGAGTGCTTTTCTAAGGGTCAGGATATACCACAAATTTTGTTGCAGGATTTGTGTGCTGTGTGTGTGTGTGTGTGTGTGTGTGTGTGTGCATGCACCCACATACCCCTGCCTGCCTGCCTGCCTGCACCCAGCTCTCTAAAACTTTCTTACATTTCAGTGAGATTAGTGTCCTTTTTTTAATCTATGTTTGACTTTTGAAGACTTGGGAGGTTTACCAGAAAATGCTGCTCTTAAACACAAACAAACACACACACACACACACACACACACACACACACACACAATGTCCTTACCATTGGAAACATTGGAGGTGTATGATTACAGGGCAGGAGAGACCATATTCTAAGCAGGATTTGCTTTTGTCAAAGTGTGGCTCACACAGTCAGGGGAGGCTTCTCACAGTGTCCTTTATTAACTAATGCTACACAGCCCTGGACAATTTCTGCAGGAATTTTGCAATTTCTTCCAATTTCAACATAGCCTACCTATCAAAAATTATTCTGAAACACCACTCAGGGGGCAACTCTGATTTTATATAGCAACCACTGAAGTGCCCTTCATATGAAAAGATTGGATTTCCTGCTGCTGGCAGTCTGGAGGAAGTTGCAGTGACATTACATAATGTGTGACAGCATGTTCCAGTAGTCCCAGTGTCACTATTTTACTGGACAAGAAATGAGAAAATCCCCTTGTGAATGAGTCAGATGTGCATAACTGGGACTTTATGTTCCTCCAATTTTGAAAATAAAGAAAGAAACCATTTAAAGGAAACCCACTTGCTGAGTATAGAATAGCTTATGGAAATGAAAGAGATGTTTTTGATTCTATTTGGAGACCAAGAATCAAGTTCATTATGCTTGAAAGGGAGAGAAGAGTGATGAGAGGAGGAAATGGGTTTGAGGTAGGAAGCGTTGGATACTGTGGAAACTGCTGAAATCTGGGTTGCTTCTACACTGGCCCTTTTCTCTGAAAGTGTCATCCTTTGCCCTCTCACTTTTCGCATGTTTAACAAATCATTCCATGCCAGTCATTAATTATAGGTTGACCTACAGTCTATTTTTTAGACCAGATTTGTGGCCGTTTTTAAATTGGAAACGCATTTGCAGTGCCATCCAGTCCCATGTGCTCTTTGGGGCTCCTGTGCCTTTAATTAAAAGCATCTTGCTGGCAGTTTCACCTCTTGATTCCTATTGAGCACAGGATTCCTGGCGAATAGCCTCTTAATTGCCCCTTGGTCTCTCTTAATCGCACCTTATCAGTTAGTGTCCCTGCATTGCTTGTGTGCATATGAACACTTTCATTCCCTATTTCATTCATGGCCTATTAACTTTTGTGTGGAAAAATTGGCACTATCCCTGTTATATAAAAACAAAAAGGAAAGCACTTTGGCCAGTATTTTACTAAGTCAGAAGGAGACTTCATTGGTTTCAGAGGGTCTACTCTGAGTATGACCCACACAGGATATCTCCCTGTGAAAGGAAATAAGTGATTAAACACACAGGTGGGCAGGAGGAAAGGGAAAGGGTTGAGGGAGGAACCATAGCTCAGCTAAAAGGCTCCTCAGTGCTCAGTTTGAGGGATCAGGTGGTGGGAACGATCTCTGCCCATGATGCTGGACAACTGCTGCGCTGAATCACCGTTACTAATACCACACAATCCTAGAAGGCACCAGCCTCCTTTGTCCCTGTGGTGAGATGTGTGGCATTCCCCTTCAGGATTTTCCTCTTTCTCCTTTTCCTGAGGCAGAGTTTGTTTGACAGCATCAAGAACGAACCATTCTCCATCCCAGAGGACGATGGGAACGACCTCACCCATACGTTCTTCAACCCCAGCCAGGAAGGCTGGCTCCTTAAACTAGGTAACATGTTCGTATTTTGCTGAAAATCTCGCTGCCGCCCCTCTACCCCAGGTTAGCCCTCCCCACCCCCCTCAATCTCTCGGAAGGAAAACCAGCAGAGCCTTTCCTCATGAGCTCAGGACTGCAGCAAGCTGCCAGCCAGGCATCCTTGCATTGTGGTGGGGTGACAGTGACCCCTGGCGTTCAGTTCTGCTCTATATTCCCTAGAGATTCCCTTCTTTCAATGCGCAGGCTGTCTTATCCGGCTTGGTTCTTGGCCTGGATTCTTGGGGCAGGAAGGAAACGGTACCTGTGTTGCTGGAGAAATGGCCCTTTCGGAAGATGCTCAGAGCACAGATGTGGGTGCAAGGATCCATTCCAGCGACACAAAGGCTGCATACATGCCATGCATCAAAAACACATTTCCTCTCCCCCCCCATAAAGAATCCTGGGAATTGTAGTTTGCTGAAAATTGTTGCTCTCTGAGGGGTAAATTAATATCCCGGGGTTTATTTGGAGGGAAGGGAAGAGGTATGCTTTAAATGCGTGTTGTGTGCACAGCCAAAGATGCTGAATAATGTTTTAGGGTTCTTTCCTGGATGTTCTCAAGATCAAGGGCAGGGATAGTCAACCTAGTGCTGCAGATGTTATAGCCTGCAACTCCCATCAGCCCCAGTCAGTAGAGCCAATTGCAAGGGGTGATGGGAGTTGTTGTCCAGCAACTTCTGGAGGACACCATGTTTTCTACCCCTTATCTAGGATGTGCAAGGTGGTATAGTATTTCTTTACAGTTTCATCATGGTCTCAAAGCCTTGCAAGATTGGACTGAGGGATAGTAACTTGCCTGAGGCTACCCATTAGGCATCATTGCCAAGCAGGGCTATGAACCTAACAGTAACCTTCTAGACATGGCAGCCCACCACCACATCCAGAATAATTTTAGCCACGAGCGTTGTGACCATGAACAGTCAATGTTTTACCACCCCTAGGAAACATGGTCATTGCTTTTCTGCCACGTGGCTGCAATCTGCCATATTGTTCTGATGTGTTCTCAGAGAACACTAAGATTGCATGCATACCATACATTTAGAGTGAATTTAAAGTACATCTTGCCCTCCCTTCCAAAAAGAATCCCGAGGACCGCAGTTTGTTAAAGTTGCTTGGAATTCTAGCTCTGTGAAAAATATACTACAGTTTCTGGGATTCTTTGAAGAGAATGTGCTTTAAATGTTTGGTATATGTGCAACCTAAGCCTTCTAAGATAATTCTAAACCAACTCAAGCTATAGCAAGCATAGCTTAAAGATTAATCCAGTCTTAACCATGCATTGTGTGTGTTTTTAATTCCTTTTGCACTAGGAGGCAGAGTGAAGACTTGGAAGCGCCGTTGGTTCATTTTGACGGATAACTGCCTGTACTATTTTGAATACACCACGGTAAGAGTTGTGTCCCTTCCATTAAAAAAAACCCACAAACCTTATCTGAAAGATGTATCCTCAGAGAATGTGAGGGACATTCTAGTGTGGTGCAGGGATTAGAGTACTGGTCCGGGACCTGGGAGATCAGGGTTCAAATAACACAGCTGTGAATGAACCTGGACCAGTCACTGTCTCTCAGTCCAACCTGCCTCACAGGGTTGCTGTGAGGAAATAAAAGATAGAGGGGGAACCATGTATGACAACCTGAACTTCTTGTATGAATAGGGGGATAGAAATATGGTGATAAAAACATACATAGAACAGGGTCTCTTTTATCTATTACAATTATATACCACCTTGGTCTTCAAGGTAGTATACCTGGTTCTCCCAATTTAATCCTCACAACAACCTTGTGAGGCAGGTTAGGCTGATGGTGAGTGACTGGCCCAAGGTCACCCAGTGGGCTTCATGGCTGAGTAGGGATTCAAACCCTGGTCTCCTAGGTCATAATGCCAACCTTGTTCTCCAGCCCAGGGTCAGCGGGCAGCTGCTAGCACTAACTTCCTAGGTACTGCCTGCACATTGGGAAGGTAACTCATCTCTGATTTGAATTTTTTTCCAGGACAAGGAGCCGCTGGGGATTATTCCACTGGAAAATCTATCTGTTCGAAAAGTAGATGACCCGAAGAAACGAGTAAGTCACTGCTACTAACTGTGACCAGTGGTTATCATCCTTTCCTTAGACACAACAAATATTTTTTCTTCCCCAGTTCAGTAGATTTGCTGTAGCTTGAAACTCCAGACCAACAAGGCCTCTACTTCTGGTTCTTTGGTTGTAAACTAGATGGTCCAAGCAGAGTCCGCAATAAAATGTCATGTGGATAGCTCTTTTTTAAAAAACAAACAAAACAAAAACCCTTTATTATACTTCAGATAACAAAAAGTAAACATAAAACCATCCAATACATTACATTACATACATTACATATAATACATACCTTATATACCTACACATCCTACGTGTACACCACGAATATTAGATTTCCAACTCTTCTCTTTGTGTTTCATGTGGATAGCTCTTGTTTAGGACTCCAGACATCAAGTGGTCCCCCCTCCCAGATTTTCCATTTGCTTTTCTACTTCAACCGTCAGTCAACCTGCCATGCTAACTGAGCATTGCTCGGTCCTTAGTGAGCTGTTTCTTTCCCCCACTGAGGATTCTTTCCCCTATATTTACTTTGTAGTTCTACAGACTTTGGGGTTCCTCTGGGTTTGCTGATCTCTCTGTCTTGTGCGTGGATGATACCATATTGGGCACATAATGATACTTCATTAGCAAGACCCAGTGAAAATATGTTACTACTAATTGGTGTCTGTAAAGCTTTCAAAACACAGGTTCAGCCAAGCTTCAACCAGGCTCCATCTGACTCTCCTGTGATGCACTAGATTCCCCCAGCCTCTGCTCTGGCTTCACCTTCATCCACACCCAAGTTCCAATACTTTTGAAGTTCAAAAACAACAGCCTTGTTGATGATAGTTCTTGGAATTCCCAATGACAAGGAAGTGGATAGAATTAGATTTGGTAGTCTAGCTTCCCTCTTCTTCTTCTCCTCCGCCTCCACCTTTGCTTACATCAAAATATCCACCGTAAATTTCCATGGAACACCAAAATCCAAGTCACCCAATACGTATGTTATGCAGCAAGCCTGTACCAACTTAGCCAAGAGTAAGACTCATTAAATACAGTGGGATTTACTCCTGATCCAGCATGTATTGTAAATAATTTTCACCTCTAAAACTTTGTGGGGGTCTTTTTTAAAAAAATGAATTAAGGACCATGTGCTTTTCAATCATACATGTGCGTTGGCATTCAGAACACCATAAAGTGGGAGACAACTTACTGCTTGCTGAGTAACTGGTTTAATTCTCTTCCCTCCCAACCAACTCCATAAAGGACTAGGGCAGCCTTCCCCAACCTGGTGCCCTCTATACATTTTGGACTACAGCTCCCATCAGCCCCAGCCAGCATGACCAATCGTCAGGGACTATAGAAGTTGCAGTCCAAAACACCTGGAGGGCACCAGTGTCATAGCTCCGCTCCAACTCCCATTGCCAAGCAACAGGGTGCAGAAATGGGTGGAATCAGATAGGAGGTGAGACTGATACACTTGCCTCAAAGTGAAATCCGCATGCGAAGTCCTGTCCATTCTGAGGGTCAGGTGAACAGCAATCCAAATTGTCAGATAATCCAGAGGTCACAGAATGCAAGCGGTCATGAAGTGAAAGGTCCAAATGGAAGCAGCAAGGTAGGGCTGGGAACCACAGACATTGTTTCCAGCATCTGACTGCTGCCCAAAGTCCTGTTTAAGAAGGCTGAAGCTGGCTGGTTCTCCTCTGTGTCCTTGAAGGCTGACTAGCTGCAGGTGGAACCACTCCACCTTCTCTCCCTTCAGGCTGCTGTTCAGTAGGGGAAGTTGAGTCCTGGCCCATCGCAACCAGATTAGGTTTTTTCGAATAAAGAAAGTGAAAATTTCAGAGAAGTGGACTGGGATATCCTTAAGAACTTGACCAGCAAAAACCCCTTCCTTTAGCATCTGCCCCTCTTGCTTCTACACACCATTTGTTTCCTCCACAAATTACCGGGGAAAACCAGGTGCATTTTGTAGAATGCTTAACATGTATGAAAATGCACCAAGAGGGAAGGTGAGCTTCTCTTGGGGTTCTCAAAAGCTCATTTTGGAGCATCATGGTACATTGAAAGAGGCACCTGAAACCCTCCAATTACTTTTGCATGTCAGTACCTTCCGAGATGGATAGCAGCGGGAGCAATACACCTGTCTTTAAAGAGAACATTGAGAAGCAGCGCTTTGTTACTGGTGTCTCGGCTAATCAAGATCTTGAGGGAGCCCACCCCTTAGCGGTGTCTGTCAAGGAGATCTCATCTGAAAGTTACACTGAGGAGGGGGAAACGGGTGCCAGATCAAAACAGACGATATCTGCCGATAGCTTCTCCCTGAGATTGGAGTGCATCCATTCAGCAGATTACTTGATAGCTTAACTAGAAGTGCACTTGAGAGATGGGAGGTGGGAGTTAGAATTCTTCTAACAGGATCTTACAAAAGCGACATGGTGCCACATCAGGAAAAACACCATAGAAGGCAAAAGCAGTTAGGCAGTTCTACAAAGCTGCTGCCAAATCACCCAACTTTCTGCATCTCTTTGGGACACAGAGCAGTTGGGGGTCCTTGCCCAAGGATACAGGAATCAAAATGCCCTTCAAGTGGGCAGCTGCCTATGAGCGCAAAGGGATTCCTGGCCCATGAGTTGCTTTTCATTAGAAAGCTGACACTAAGGCTGCCGAATGTAATCTTATTATGTGTAATAATCCTTATGGCACTCACAAGTAAAAATGCACAGGATTGGGCTGCCCAGGAGCAACTGCTATAAGGGTCCATCTAAGTGCCCCACAAAGGACTGTAGTTTAGTGGTACAGCAGCTGCTTTTCATGCAGAAGGTCCCAGATTCATTTCTGTGCATCTCAAAGTAGAGCTTGGGATTCCTGTCTGAAAACCTGGAGTACCACCCTCAACCAGTGTGGGGAGTGCTGAGTAGATGGGTCAGTGGTCTGGCTTGCTATAAGCTTCCTATGTTGTTGTGTTCTAATGCAATGGTTCCCAAGCTGTTTCCTGCCCTGGACCACTTGAAAATTGCCAAGGGTCTTGGCTTAATTATTCTCCCACATGTTGCTTGGAAATTGTAATATGATAGATGCTGAAGTATTTTAATGGAATTTTAATGAAACACAACAAGAGCTCAAAGAAGCAATAAACATAGAATTAAAAATTGGTATTAATATTTTAATACTTCTTTCCCTTTCTCGAGACCTCCCCTTGTCTTGCCACCAGCCATGACTTTATTCCGCTGAGGAAGGCAGAGCTTTCCCCCCATCGTATCAACTTCCAGCCTGCCCCACTCACCTTCCAGGAGAGCCATTGAGTTCTAAGAATGACGGAGCAGCCACCGCACTCACAGTTCTCCACACAAACACACACTGCTCTTGTAGCTGTGCCTCTTTGCAGAGTTACTTCCCTAGGCCACCTGAAGGAAGCTCATGGACCACTGATGGTCTACTGACCACACTTTGGGAACCGCTTCTCTAATGTGTAACAACGTCCATCTACATCCCCGCTTTTTCTTTTATGAAGTCAGAAAGAGGATTTGTTGTACTCAAGTTATTTGTAGCTCTTTTGTTACAAAATGTTTGACAAATGAAATTCTTTGAAGGAAAGATTATGGATGCAAGGGGGTATTGGTATCAAGGCACACAGAAAGACAAAATTTATACCTTCATTTCCCAAGATGCAATGGGGTGTTTTTCACGCCCCACCTACCTGTAACTATTCTTTTTTTAAAAAAAGAGACAAAGCTGCACATTACACATTAAGCCAGCCTTGGTAGCTCTCCAGATGCTGCCCTGCAGTTCCTCTCATCCCTGATGAGAAGTGGGCTTCATTTCTTGCCTGTGCTTGCTTCACACTCGTGGTTTTTGTCACACTGGCTTGGATGACTCCAAATCAAAGTTTGCATTTTCTCTCAAAAATACATTATGTATACAAAAAATTTTTACATACCACTATTTGTTGAAAAAATAATAGTACAATAATAGTTTACAATAATAGTATATACAACCATACAGTGAAAACCATACGAAAAGGTTAAAATCAGAAAACAGCGAACTCTTGTGGAAAGACATATTCTTAATAGCCTGCAGACTTTCAAAAGTTGAGACGGAAAGCCCTGGTGGAATCTCTCTTGGCAGAGTATTCCGCAGTACTGGGCCAATGGCACTAAAGGCTATTTTTTGTTGTTGTCAAATGAGCTGCACCAACTTGGAGAAAGACTAGCAATGCTCCTGCAGATGATCTCAGTGATCAAGCTGGAATATAAGGGTTCAGGCAGTTCCTAAAGTACCATGGGCCTAAGTTGTTCTTGGCTTTGTAAATTAATACACAGACCTTTGACCTGGTTTGGTAATAGATGCACAGCCAGTGAAGGTGCTTTATTAATGGCATCATACATTTTCAGCAAGATGCCCCCATCAGCAGTCTAGATGCCTCATTCTGCACCAGCTAGGGCATCCTAACCAGACCCAATGGCAGCCTCACATACAGTATGCCTTTGAATATGCATGTGAGTATATGCATTTCTGCATGTATTTTCTCTCGCCTTGAAAAAAATAGATTTTGATACGGACAGATCAGATGGGTGGCTATGTTCTGATCCACAAATTTGCCCAGGAGACATGGATCGGGTCAGCTCACGCCAGAATTGGCAAAGTTCAAATCCCGCAAGTCAATAAAACGAGTAAATAAAATGGCATTCTCTGTTGCAAAGCCATCCTTCTCTAGATAAATTTCAGTCTAAGTACACAGTTGAGGAATGCAATGCGAAGTGTTTCCCCAAGGTCAAGCAGCCAGTCCTTCTCGGAAAAAGGAAATAAATCCCAAGTCCTTCACAGCGCAGTGTCGTTGCCACGAGATCACATAGAATTTCAGAATTATTGTGTACGTGAAAATCTGAAGGGGGATGCCTTTGCAGCTTTGACCTAAAGCACAGCAGAAACAGAGGCTTGCCGCATGTTGGATCTTGTAGCTTTGTTGATTTCCAGTCTCTTGATTCCCTTCCATTTTCTGTCCTTAGAATTGCTTTGAGCTCTTTAATACAAACAGCAAGGGGCAGAAAATCAAAGCCTGCAAGATGGACGGAGACGGGAAGGTGGTTGAAGGCAAACACCAGTCTTACAAGATCTCTGCACCCTCGGCGGAGGAGCGTGACCTATGGATTGACGCAATACGGTGAGAAGAAAGGCTGTCAGGGTGATGTGGCAGCATGGTGGTGCTATGAGAACAGTGGGAACAGGAGGGGAAATTGGAGGGAAGAAATACTTGGGGATAAGGCACATCATAGTTCCCCACCAGTGTGACAATTGAGAGCCCAGTGTGGTCCTGAAGGGTGATGCACCCACAAACCCTCACAAATCTGTGCACCTACATGGCCTCATTTGATTTCTAATCGCCCGTTAGCTCTAAGTAATTCATGGCAGAATGTGTGGACTGTCTCCACTGCAAAGCACAGTGTTTTGAACTGATGCAAATGGTCCGTCTGTGCCATTTGATCTATGATGCTGATTCATCTTTCGGTGCTGCAGTCACCAAGCGAGGAACACGCATGTGTGATCCACCTCATTCACAGTTTGGTTCAGGATCTTTTAAAAACAAAATAACGAGACTGCCAGTTTTTAGTTATAAAAGGTGGCAAGACCAGACAGGTGTAGAGGACATAGACACATACTGAATTAGCCTGGTACCATACCTTGTAGCCCACTTTCCGTACTGATATCTTTGCTAGCCCTGGGAAGGAGTGAGCCCTTTGCTCCATTCTATCAACCACAACATCCTGCCTTTCCTTCTGCTTTGTCCCTTAAAGTTTTGTGCTAATCACCAGGTGGCTTTGATTCTCCTATGAGCAGCATCCTACTTCCTACAGTGGCTAACCAGATGCCTCTAGGAAGCCCCTAAGCAGGGCCTGAAGGCAACTGCCCTTCCATCTTGTGCCTTCCCAGGAACTGGTGTTCAGTGGCATATCACCCCCACTCTGAACATGGAAGACAGGGGCTGGGCCATAGCTCATAGGCAGAGCATCAGCTTCACACATAGAAGGTCCCAGGTTCAATCCCCAGCATCTCCAGGCAGAGCTGGGAATGTTCCCTGCCTGAAGCCCTGGAGAGCTGCTGCCAGTCAGTGTAGACAATACTGCGCTAGATGGACCAGTGGTCTGACTCAATATGAGACATCTTCTTTCCTTCTTATGAATTTCTCGTGGCCTCATTTGACTATTTCCCCATAGCAGATGCCTAGGAGCCTTGTCCTGTTTATTGTCCTGCCAATAGCATTGTTCTTAACTGAAAGGTTTTTATGATGTATTCACGATTTTTAACTGTGTATTTGCAATATCTTATAAGCTGCTTAGAGGATCCCCCCCCTTTCTAAAAAATATTAAGTGCTACAAATTATTTTCTAAATAAATTAATAATGCCCTCCTGGTTCCTGTGAAGGTGATCAACACTTTGCTGGTGGCCGAGCCTTGAATATCTCCCATTTCCACCCCTCCCTTTTTTATTCCAGAACCAGCATCACACAAGACCCCTTCTACGATCTGGTCGCTGCTCGTAAGAAAAAGATCGCCAGCAAGAAATGAGCTCTCCGGTCTCCATCTTGCTAATGTTTCAACCTCAAGAAAAAAAAAATTGGCTTCCATGAAGTCCTTCCTGCAAAGGAACTCAAAAATACCTCCAGATTCCTGTCCAAGGAAGGAAAATGACTGACAGGCTGATGGAGGATCTCATTTTCTCACTCCTGGAGTAAAAATCTAACATGACTTGAGACTGTAGCTCATTTGCCTGAGCAAGTCCTTGCATTTGCATCGCATGGAGCAGGGATTGGATGCTTATATTTATTGCTCAATGATCTGGGTCAAGGAGAATCATGGAAAGGAGTGACCTTTTCTTAAACTAACCTGCACAGCTGCCACTTATATATCAGGAAAGTCTTGTGGATGTGGATTCCTGTCTCACTTGTCATTCCATGGCCTTCCGGGTAATTGAGTTTTGCAGGATGTAATGAAAACACTCATTTGGAATAATAAGATGAAGGATAAAATTCATCTGGTGAGAGGCAATACAATGGGGTGGTGGTGCTTGTCCAGAGTAAGTCCATCTATGTTTTCGGTCTACTGAGCTTGCCGTATGGTTCTTTTGAACTTTGTCTTTTCAGGACAGAACCGCCCAGGCAGAATCAGAACCACCCAGGCAGAATCTGGCTCTAAAAGGTCAAGTAGGGAGTTGGTGGTTCCTGTGTTCTAGCTGCCTGCCCCAGCATAGGGGCGGGTTGTACGTGTCTTGTCATTTTATATTGGCCTTTGGGGAGAGCTACTGGGCTGATCGATTGAGACATTGGGGCTTTGGTCTGGGAGGCATGCATTCAAGTTCTGCCTCACCCATAACAGGAGGAGCAGAAAAATGGCTCTCATTCACCCTCAGATTCTCATCTGTAAAATGGGTATAAGGGCACCTGCTGCCCTGGATTCTTATGAAATAGTACTGTGTAGAGCACTTTGTGCACTGAAAGTGCTATGTAAATTATAAATAGAAGTAATAATAATAATAGTAATAATGAATTGCCACAGAGTGGCAATAAATAAATAAAATTCAAGCAAATGTAAAAATATATATGCCAGATGTACTTACACATGCACACATACACTGAGTAAGGGTGCAGTTTTCTACACACACACACACACACACACACACACACAGGGTTAAACAGATGGAGAAATGACAACTTTTCTTTATAAATAAAAATGTGAAAAAACATTGCAGCCTCTTATGCTCCGTTTTTGTTTTGTGTTATCAGCGCCAAACAGAAGCAGTAGGAGTGCTGTGTATTTGTAGTCTTCTTTCCTTTTTCCCTTTGATACATGCAGCCTTCTAGCCGGGGAATTTGAAGAAACCAAAACATTGGCGCAGTTTTGAAGCCGATGGTTCAAATCAGTGCAGTTTTGAAGAGGCTCAGTCCGCCGTCTTTGATTCAAAATGGCATCCAATTGGTTGCAATCTCATAAGAAAAGTTGCACAGTGAACAAGCAACTTGCCCAGATACAGAGTAATGAATCCCAGCTACATAAGTCATGTCTATTTGGAAAGGAGCTGTAGCTGAGTGGTAGGACACATGCTTTGCATGCAGAAGGTCCTGAGTTCAATTTCTGGCATCTCCCAGAAAAAGTGGGAAAGCCCTGTATCTGAAAACCCAGAGAGCTGTTACAGCACCTTTCTATGTCACCACCTACCTGGTTCGGAAATACTTTGATGCCACTGAAGGATGCAGACGATGTCCTCCAGTGCATTGAGTTTAGCTCTCCATTTCAAACCCCACCTCTGCTACTGAAAGACATTGAGCAAGTTGCAAATAACAGGTGTGGGGGAGGGTTGGTTATGACTGAGACCTCAACAGGGGCAAATGGTTAAAGCACACCACCAAACCATGGTCTTAATCTTGCTTGGGGTCAGCTAGTTGTTGTTGTTTTTTAAGCCACACAAGAACTTTGTCCATCCACACTTCCCTTTGTCCTGTGAGTTCTTCTGTTTGTCCCATGATTTCTAGGGTCTGATAGGTTTTCCTTCTGTCTCTCTGCTTTCTCCGGGAAAACCCACAATTTGCTGCTGAATCAGAACAAGCATCAATTCACAGGTAACCTGACTGGTGTTTGTTCCAATTCAGCAGTGAATAGCAGGTTTTCTTGGGGACAAGAGGAAAAACCCCATGCCTAGAAATCACAGGACAGACAAAAGTGATGATGAGTCCTGTGTCTCGTTGGACTCTTAGCCCTCTGCAAAACTGGAATGTTATTTCCCAGCTCTCAGAAGGCTATTGCAAAGCTGTGCAGTGGAAGGACTGTTAAACTTGAGCCGATGGTTTCACTCCTAAGAGCTAGGAACTTGCTTTCTTTTTCCAAAACAAAAGTACAAATGAATGATCGGAGCACTCAGCTCTGAATCCACCACCGCCTGGTGCACTTCCACAGCACCACGTGATAGAGGACTCGGAGCCAAGTGTCCTGATAAGTCCTCCTTTCATTTTGAAAGGAGAGCAAGTTTCTAGCTCTTAGGATTGCAGCCATTGGCTTGCAAGAGGTTCAGAAGGTCATGCCAAACAGTTGCTGGAATAAGCTGTCCTGGCCTGCCTCGTTCTTCTCTGCAGAATGGAAAGCCAAGATAAGAAATTGTGCAAAGCTATTCCATTTCCATAGTTTATAACTGGTGGAGAAATCGGGGTGGGGGTTGTGACAGGGCATTTAATTCCCCTGGGTGCAGAATTTTGATGTGGTTTTGTTGCAGAAATGGGGAGCAGCATACGGTCCTGGTGAGGATAAGGTCCATGATGCAGCAGTAGCCAGGGGGGAAAGCCACTGCGTCAACTGCAGAGTGCAAGGCACAGAGGCTACCCTGACCTCTCTCCCTCCCCTCTCCCTCCCTCTCCTTGGCTCTTTCCCCTGTTGGCATCCAGTGCCCTTTTCCATTCACTGGCCTTCCTTGTTTACCTTCCTTGTCCTTTCCATCTGCAATCTCCGCTCTCATTTCTCACCTCTTCTCCTGAAGGGGGCTCTGTCCACAAGGAAATCTGCAGCGCGAAGGCTGCGCGCCAGTTCATCTACTTTCCCCTCCTCTTTTTCTTTTGCCAATGCAACAGGGCAGTTGAATTAATTCCAATAGGCAGACCGAGAGAGAGACTGTATCTTAGAGTCAAGGCACGTGCAGACCTGGGAGAAGAACACAGAGGTTTTCCTCTAATGACGGCATTGCGCAGGTCTTTCTTTCCTCTAATGACGCCAATGCGCCGAGGATCTTATTGATTGATTTTGCTGGCTTCTGCGTGCCATGGGTCTCCCCCCCAACTCCAACCCATCGAGAGAATGAAGCCCTCCACCCCAATAGAAATCCCAGTGGGTTTCAGATGCGGCATTAGCAGGAGGGAGGGGGGAGAGCATTTTACTCCGCTGGAAATGAACCTGCAGAATGTATATTGAAGGTTGAATTTGCCAGTCGCTTCGGTTGGCTCTGAATCAGAAGCGCTTTGGAGAGTTTGGGCGCACTATTTGCTCAAGGTATTTGCTAGAGACGGCAAAAAGATAATCTATTCTTAGGGCCCAGAGAGTTGTAGGGGGTTTGTTTCATTTCTTTGCTCTTGCCCAGAAGAAGCCACCTCCAGAGTTCATTCCAGCCAATATGAAATCCGGTTCCTGTTGTTTTTTTGTTGTCCTCCCTGAGCAAGGCTTAATTTTGAAAATGAGACAGACCCACCCAAATGGCAACAAGCCCAGAGCATCCCTATGCATTTAATGACAGCACATCAAGCAGCGTATCAGTCAGTTTAGTTCTTCTCCACCGTAAGAACACAGATGTGCCAAATTGCCCCCGATATGGGGAAGGGGCATTATGCATGTATGACATCACACATGAACCACCCTCTCAACCTGGCCAGGCTGACGTGGCCCGTCACTCCGACTCCCAGCCGCCTTACCTTCATGAAAGAGATGTGCCAGGACGAAGATGCTTTGTGCTGGCATTTCCCTGGGAGAGAGCGCCTTCCAAGGGACATGCTGGGGTGCATCCTTTTGAGGATCACCACTGGATTTGGAATGGGTGGGCCATTTTTGAAAACATTGGGCAGCCCGGCCCCTCTAGGTGGCACCCCTTTAAGAGCATAAGAAAAGCCCTGCTTTGTTGTTGTTTAGTCATTTAGTCATGTCCAGCCTTTTGTGACCCAATGGACCAGAGCACGCCAGGCACTCCTGTCTTCCACTGCCTCCTGGAGTTTGAAAACCCCTGCTAGATCAAGCCAAAGTCCTGCTAAAAGGTAAAGGTAAAGGGACCCCTGACCATTAGGTCCAGTTGCAGACGACTCTGGGGTTGCGGCGCTCATCTCGCTTTATTGGCCGAGGAAGCCAGCGTACAGCTTCCAGGTCATGTGGCCAGCATGACTAAGCCGCTTCTGGCAAACCAGAGCAGCGCACGGAAACGCCGTTTACCTTCCCGCTGGAGCGGTACCTATTTATCTACTTGCACTTTGACGTGCTTTCGAACTGCTAGGTTGGCAAGAGCAGGAACCGAGCAACGGGAGCTCACCCCGTCATGGGGATTTGAACCACTGACCTTCTGACCAGCAAGTCCTAGGCTCTGTGGTTTAACCCACAGCGCCACCCGCGTCCTGCTAGATCAAGCCAAAGTCCTGTCTAGTCTAGCATCCTGTTCTCAGAATGGCCAAAAGCTGGACCTGAGCACAACAGCACTCTCTCCATTTGTGATTCCAAGCCACCGGCATCCAGGAGAATACTGCCTCCAACGGTGGGTGCAGAATATATCCATCATGGTTAGTAGCTGGATAGTAGTCCTATCATCCACAAATAGTGGTCCTATCATCCACAAATTTTTCTAATCCCCTTTTAAAGCCGTCCAAGCTGGTGACAATAACATCTTGAGGGAATGAACTCCATAGTTACTTATGCACTGTGTAAAAAAGTACTTTCTTTTTTCTGCCCTGAATGGTGGTCCCAAGTTCCACCATAACAAGAGAGGCCTTTCCATTTTCTCCACACCAGGCATAATTCCAGGGCTTTTTTCCAACTCAGTTCTGGTGTCTCTCGGGTGGGCACCATTGCCAGTCTAAGAGAACGAGGGAGGCGTTCATTGGAGACGTTCTAGAAAAATAGCACTGCATAATTCTATATGCCTCTATTATGCCCCACCCCCAAACTCACCCTGTTTCCTAACTGAAAAACTCCAAATGTAGGAACCTTTTCTCACAGGGGAGTTGCTCCAGCCCCTTCATCATGCTGTTTGCCCTTTTCAGAACCTTTTACAGCTCTATAACATCCCTCTTGAAGTGAGGTGACCATTCTGTATGGAATTATTACACAAATACATTGTATCAGGGAATTTGCTTTCAAAAATGTGCATATGAGGCAAAACGCCATACAGGGGAAAATGGGTGTATATGGAGACATTTGCACTAGAATGCTGATGGTTTTCATGAGGATTCCAACACACACACAATGAAGAAATGTAGAAAACTGAATATTGGAATAATAAGAAATGGAGAGAAAATGAAAAGGTGAGATTTTTCCCTCCCTGGTTCCAGGGCATCAAGAGTAGGTCCTATGAAGCCAATAGGGACCTGTTCCCTCCCCGCTCTCTCTCTCACACACACACACACTGCAGTTAACATTTTCCCCATCAGACATCACTATTGGTTCCCTGCGTTGAGACTTGTAGCAGCCCATTCATGCCCACTGCCTCACCGCCTGTGTACACCTTCCCGTCTGCACATATACGAATATACAATCCCCTGTCGGATAGTAAATTTGATGGATTGCTGGCCAGCTAGCGTGTTTCCGTCCCTGCTTGGGAACGCAAGCATGCTTGGAGACAGAAAACGAAGGCTGTCATTTGGGGCTCTCTCTCCGCCACCCACCCCCTGCATCAAGGACTTCTGAGTGCAGCTGGTAATTTATTTTCATAATAAAGGTCGATATATCTTCATAAAAAGCCAGGAGGCAATGGGCATAAAGCAGAGGGATATGTCAGGCTCCCGCTTTGTCCCGCCTGCACCTTCCCCCTCCCACCTCTGTTTATCAGCTCCTCTTTTGAAAGATAATACATTTTAAAGGGCTTCAAGAAATCATTTGCCAGCGGAGGAGATTGAAACTGGGAGGCCAGCCAAGGATTTTGTTCAGCTGAGTTTAGAGAGACGTGCAGGACAGGATGCAGAAAACATAT